GCAAATTGTTATCTTCCGGCCAGGTGTTATGTTCCATATTATCTATTTCCAATTCCACTTAGGGTTGTTGCAATTTAGTTTTAGTGACAACCCACACGTTAACATTTTACATTTTTGACTCTTTGACTAATAGACAATGAAGGTTCGCTGTTAGCCACTACAAGACTGTCAGGCCACACAAAATTCACTGACGCTAGCACGACCGGACCAGTCCAAAGTTTATGAATAAATGCGATGAAATCGACATGCTTGCTGCTCTGAAGCGACTGAAATGATGGTCCACCAGCAAATACGTTTCTGTGTACATTTAGTTTAAATGTTATCGTGCTTGCTGAAATTTATCTTCAGCAAAGCCTGAGTGCGGGGTACGATGTGTAGATACATTATAAAAAGCATTTCCAGGCGTTTCATAAAATGCATGTTGACATACTTTTGTCAAAATACCTCATTGAGCAAGAATTCTGTTCCACTTTACACCTTATTTCGTGTCTTGCTGAAATTAGCCCCTTTTTGGAGGGGCTGTCCCATCTCTTTGTAAGCGAGTGACTGTATAACCTGCCTCATACACTCCTGGACCAATGGCCACTCTGGCTTTACAACAAGAGCAACATTTTCCTTGCAGGAGCATAGCCAATTCAAGTTGGGGAAACAAAATAATAGTGCTGTTAGCCCTTGCGGAAAGCTTCAGTCGTACTGAGCGGATGTCATGTACTCTTGTCAGTTTTTTTGTTTGTTTTTTTTTTAAGTGATAATATTAGTATATTTATCAAAGCCTCTTTCAAATGGCTTCAAATTTCTCTGACAGAGCCACAAAGTCCTTGTTAAAATAGGCCAGCAAAAAAACAAACTTCAATCATACTTGGTATAAATCCAGAGTAGCCTGACAGTAACAACATTACGGCTCATCATCTGTACAGAGTCATTAGCGTCTTCTACAGTGGATGAGAAACAAGCCGCGTGGCTCACTCACTCTTGGGCGGGTTTGCCGTTCGTCTGTGCTAACAAACACAAGATTAAACACGGCCTCATGTTCAACTTTCCAGGTAGTGAGTTCTTGTTCTTGTCGCAACAGGTTTGCGCCAGCACTTCAGGAGAATAGTCGGCGTATTTTAGATACTGCAGAGGGTGCCCACTTGTTCTTACATTGATCCGTGCATTCAAATCTCCAGCCTTAATTGTCTCCCAAATGTAAGGCTTTGAAAAACCGCCTTTTTCGACACATGACTGGAAATTCCACAAAGAGAAATTTGGGGCGCCCTAAATAGGTTATTTGTGACATATCGCAGCAGCGCGTACAGTATTAACGATACACATTTTGACGTGAGTCGGATTTAAAACGTGAGTGTATGTTCACTCTTGCAGGCTCACATCAAGTTCCCAGTGGACTACCCGTATTTACCGCCAACCTTTCGTTTCATCACCAAGATGTGGCACCCCAACATCTATGAGGTATTTTTCTTCCATGTGTTCCATCCTTTTTTTAGTAAACGTCTGGCTGTGCACATGTCCACTGTGTCATGAAGCGGGCCCTCTTTTTTGTGTGACGTTGTGCGATGTGGTGTTTTTTTCTCAGAATGGCGACGTGTGCATCTCCATCCTGCACCCTCCGGTTGATGATCCACAGAGCGGGGAGCTGCCGTCGGAAAGATGGAATCCGACCCAGAATGTCAGGTGCACACAAAAGCCTTTTTGCATTTGTGACTCTGACGCTGTAGAATAATTAATCAACAGCGTAAGGTGAAAGTTGCCCGTTTGTACTCGGGCTGCCACAAGCGACTACTTTGCCCAGTCGAGTAGTTACCGATTGGAGTCGTGATTAGTCGACTAATCGGATCGTATGTAAATTGCAGCTCCTAAATAACCAGCGTTATTTTACAGCTTGAATTATTTCAGGTATCTGTGTAAAGACAATTAAGATGATAGTACCGGAGAGAGACCAATCAGACTGCTTTAAGCAAACGTGGAAACTTGAAAAAGCCCTGCTATATTTAAAAAAAAAATTAAATAAATTGAGGCGGGTTAGCCTGATCACCTGCAAATCCTGATCATGGGTCAAAAGAGTTGTTTCTCAACATCTTGTCTCTAACACATGTGAAAGGACTTGCTTCACGAGTGCATTTTTTGAATCAAAGGTTGCATTTTTTGCCAACAACAGTGAAAATGCCAGAATGTGTTCTTCAGCCTGTTTTAGCGAGGACCCATCGGAAGCATTCGTCAGTGCCAAAATCTAATTCTGGATGGTGTGCTTCTGTTTGCATGTTTTGTTTTGTTTTTTTCTTTGACTAGGACCATCCTGCTTAGCGTCATCTCTCTACTCAACGAGCCAAATACCTTTTCCCCTGCCAACGTGGACGCTTCGGTGATGTTTCGCAGATGGAGGGACAGCAAAGGCAAGGACAAAGAGTATGCAGAGATTATCAGGTAACGTTGCATGCGTACCATTCGGCCATGTTTTGACATACACGGAGGATCCACGCTGTAGTGCTGTCGATATACAAATGTGTGGCGTTTGTAATAACGCCTGCTGTGACCAATCGATGCGGCATATCGATAATATTGTAGAATTGAGACTTTGATTTACTTTAGCAAGTCAAGGCACCTTAATTTATTTACCGCAATGTGCTTCACGTCATTAAAAGTACAACATTTAAGAGCATTTGCAAACAAAAAAAAAAGTTTGACTTTCAAAAGCAATGAAACAAAAAGTAACTTACCAAAAGAACGGTACAGTGCAAAGTCAAGATTTTCTGCTCTTAAAATTATTACTCATTATGTAATCACAGATAACCTGATTGTGATTTGCCTGTCATTTAATCACAGAAAACAGGTGATGTCCACAGCGGCGGATGCCGATCGCGACGGCGTCAAGGTGCCAACCACGCTGGCGGAGTACTGTGTCCAGACCAGGGTTCCCTCTCAGGACAGTAGCTCAGACCTTCTCTACGATGACCTTTACGACGACATGGAGGAGGACGAGGAGGACGATGACGAGAGCGAGATGGAGTCGATAGGCGAAGCCGGAGCGGTGGGTTGCGTGGAGGACGGCGAGACGTCCAACAGATGTTACGACAACCAGGATGACTCTGGCAACGAAGAGTCATGATGATCTGGATCGTTACTGCTCCTTGCCAACTCCCTGAATCCTTTGCCTCATTTTGTGTGTGTGTGTGTGTGTGTGTGTGTGTGTGTGTGTGTGTGTGTGTGTGTGTGTGTGTGTGTGTGTGTGTGTGTACAGTGGGGTCAAAGGTCTACTGCCAAAAACTTTTCATCATCTATTAAACAGTTAAATAGTCAAATAATGTCTCTCCAGTACTTTTTACGTAAGATTTCAAAAAAAAAAATTGTTGTCAAGTCACCGTTTGCCTTAATTACTAGCTTGCACATCGTCTGTATTGCAGAAACAATTTGGCGTTTCTTCAACGCACCCCCAGTAATGTTTAGGATTTTGATGTTTTGTTTTGTTTTTTTTTCTTGTCATTGAGGGCGATTGAGAATACATCCTTATAAACGTTAAACTAGATAATGTGAAGTGACATTTTTGGTTTGAAGATATTCTGGAGAAGCAATTCCCAATATGTACGCTCACTGACCACTTCATTAGGTACACTTGCCCTCTGTAATTGAGATGGAATACGCCAAATGAAAAAAAAAATATTCTTCCCTTAAAATATGACAGTCAGGCTCAGTTTTGACAACTGCGAAGAGATATCATTTGTGTATTTCTATTTCATTTCCGGTATCATTCGGATTACGCTGCCAAATATTGTCGATCTCTTTTATGATGCGTGGAAACGAAAAATTGATTTATGGTGAATTTGGTGGGTAACCAAAACCGTCTTTTCTGATGCAGCACCTCATCACATTTTGCAGAAGTATTGATTGTGTCGGCTTGATGAGTGCTGGTCGGTCGGACCGTTATCAAAATGATGACTGACGTTTATCTCTTCAAAGTATGCCTTGTCTGCCAATTTCGTCAATAATATTTGATAAATGATGAAAACAACGACCTGGTCGGATTCTCCCCAGCCCCACTGTTCATTGTCTGTCTGTTTTTGTCTTCGATGCCATCCCACGTCTCCCTTCTTGTCGCTTTTTTTTTTTTTTTTGGGATGTCCTCCTAAGCGTGTGTTGACTTTTCAAGGAATGAACACGAAGATTGTGGCAAATGGACAAAGTGACAGCGAACGACTAAGCCACCAGGGAGGCCGGCCAGGGCAAGGTGTCTGACGGTGTCACACGTCCGCAATTTCGATGCAATCAGCAAAACTGTCGACGCAAAGCTCTGCTGGGCCCGGTCAACAGCAGCGTCCATCACCACTGATCCCTCAAAAGGGGTGCCCAAGTTGAAGACTTTCTCTGCACCCCCTCTCTGCCTCTTAAAAAGCTCAGGGCCTCGATAGACTTTCACTGAGAGTTGTTTTGAGCAACAAGGGACGACGGTCACCTGGTTTTCTTTCTTTTTTTTTTTTTTTATGTATTAAGAGGGTAAATAGTAGCCTTCAATCCCACAACTGAAGTGTTTACAAGTTTGACCTTGGTCCCAATTAAAGGTTCCTTTTCGTCCCCAAATCACCCAAATCCACACAAGCAGAGAATGTTTTGTTTTTGTTTTTCCTTCCCCCAGAGGTTGCTTACATGATGTTGTTGTTGCTGATGTGAAAATGTTACACTTTTACACCCCGACGCTTTCATGCTTGGATGCAACTTCACTGACAATATGGCACTAGTCCTTTTGACGTGCCGTGGTCCGGTTTATCAGCTGTCAATCAAGACTAGTCCACACGCAGCTTGGTTTTTGCATTTGAATGAAAACCACCACGTTTCAGATGTGCAATTACTTTTACGGGGCGGTATTTGACTTTGGACACTGGCAGGGTTTTGTTCATGCCTCTATTGAACTTGGTGCAGAGTTGCATCTCATGATTCGGTTTGCTCCCATGACTTTTTGTGTGTTTGCGGTGCAGAACATTTTAAGATGTGCTCAGAGCGCATTGGGCAAATCTGGCTGGATTTTATGCCAAGGAATTGAAGTACAGCCTAATCACTTCATTTTCTTTAAGAGGAGCAACAGATTTCCAACTTTTGTTAAAGAGACACATTGATTTTGAATGTGGAAACAAAAAGGAGTGAAAACGTTTCCCCCTGTGCTCTGGAAACTCACAAAGACAAAAAGAGGAAATCAAGCTCCAAAGTGGATCGTGAATGGGACTCATTTTGCGACACTGCCTGACATTTTGTTGTGTATTTGCCCCTGATGTGATTTTTTTTTTTTTCCCCCGTGATGAGAAAGTTTCATGTGTCTCATGCGTCTGTTGAATGTGAAGCTGTTCTCCAACCGCTTGCAAAGTCGACTTCTGTCATCAAATGACTCAAGCAACTTATGAGAATAATGTCATGAAAGCGCCGTGGCCAATTGACGTGATAGGACTGATGATTGACACTTTCTATTAGCCACATATGTGAGTGATTTCAAGAAAACAGGACAATTTCTCCAAATTTCACCAAAATCAGACTGCAACTTGGGAGCGTGTTCAACCCTATGGATATAAAATGCTGTATTTGTTTGGCTTTTTCTTTATTTCGTCCACTCAGTATGTTATTGTTTTTGAGGATGCAAGTGTCACCGATAAAAATATTTCATAGTAACCAAAAACGCCAATGTTTTGTCCGTGGCCAGGTAGTTTTGCGTTGAGCCCACAAGTCATATAAATACACTGTGCACGAGTCGCTGGTTTCTGAGGGGTTGAAATAAGGGTTGACTTGAAAAATGAGGCACAGTTGGTGTGGTAACATTTGGAATTCATCAATAAAACACTATGCTGTTGAATGCTGTTTGTATGTCATGTCATACATCATGGTTTGACTTTGTGAAGATGTTGAATCGAATTAATTTGAAAGGATGGTGAATGGGGGCAACAGGCAGCATAGTGCTTAACAAGTCTGTCTCATAATCCACAGCTCTAGGGCTCAAAAATCAGATCAGGGACTCTTCGATGGAGTTTGCATGTTCTCCCCATGCTTGAGGAAAAAGTTGAGATTTTTTTTTTCTCCCTGGCTTCCCTTGCAGTTGTGAGGTGTTTAAAAAAAGGGACGATTTTGGGCTATTAGTAAATTTATATATAGACAGAAACATTAATGGGATGACTAACAAAGAAAACTGGGAATAGAGTACAATGATTGGATAGACCAAGTAAACATTGCACACAGCTCAGTAACATTAGCTCTGCCACCACAAGTAACAGAAAAATACGTGTGCACGTTGTGCCACCAATATTGTGCACCAATGTTTATTTAAATAACAAACCGCACTTTATATTTATAGCCCCAAATTCTATTTAAATGGCACCCTGCCTTAAAGAGATCGACCTTGATTTTTGGTGCTATTAATTGTTGTATTGACAAATAATATGAGACTGTGGGATTTATTTTAATGAATTTGTTAAAAAATATTTTTAAAATCAATATTCCATAATATTCCAATATTCCACTAACTGGTGTTCACAAAAATAGGAGCAACAAAGGCCATAGCACACAACGTATATTGTAATATATACTATATATACAGTAGTGTTCATATAGTTAAAAAAAAAAATCACAAAAATACATTCGAATAAATAAAGGCCTTAAAATTAACTGTCACACTCACCAGCAAAATTAAACATTCTGTAAATCAATACAAATTGCTGCTTTAAAATACTACTCCATATTCAGCGTTCGTTTTAGCTCTGAATGTCAGCCCCGTCCATGCACAACTCACTCGTGTTTTACCATGTGATCTAAAACTGGGCTAATGGCAGGGATGTGTCCAAGGACCGGCAACCCGAGGCCAAGGCCAAGACCAAGGACTTGACTCCCAAGGCCGAGGCCAAGGCCAAGACCAAGGACTTGACTCCCAAGGCCGAGGCCAAGGCCAAGACCAAGGACTTGACTCCCAAGGCCGAGGCCAAGGCCAAGACCAAGGACTTGACTCCCAAGGCCGAGGCCAAGGCCAAGACCAAGGACTTGACTCCCAAGGCCGAGGCCAAGGCCAAGACCAAGGACTTGACTCCCAAGGCCGAGGCCAAGGCCAAGACCAAGGACTTGACTCCCAAGGCCGAGGCCAAGGCCAAGACCAAGGACTTGACTCCCAAGGCCGAGGCCAAGGCCAAGACCAAGGACTTGACTCCCAAGGCCGAGGCCAAGGCCAAGACCAAGGACTTGACTCCCAAGGCCGAGGCCAAGGCCAAGACCAAGGACTTGACTCCCAAGGCCGAGGCCAAGGCCAAGGACCAAGGACCGACCTTCGGTCCTCGAGCCGGTCCTTGGCCTCGAGGACCGGCTCGAGGAACACATCCCTGGCTAATGGTGCTTTCTTTATATCAGTTATGTGTGTCATAATAATATCAATTGTTACAGCAATGTCATATAGTGGAATACCATAACTTTTGTTGTTCTTATTCGTCCCATGCTGTTACTGTGTCCAGCTGTCGATCTCGATTTTGTCTTTCGAGTATGGCAAAACTCCGCTTGAAGCCTCTCCTCAATGATGACTCCCTGTGTCACTGCTTGTCCTGCTGAGCCTCCAAGTATCTGTGTGCTGCTCTCAGAGTGTCCTGCATGTCTTTGTGCTGGGCCAGACTGCAGGCGTCCTCCAACCGGGCCCAACGGTAGTTCTGGTGCTCACTGGACAAAGTGACCTTCGCCCCCGGGTCTCGGAGCTCGGCCAGCCAGTACAGCACCTCCTTGGGTCGGCCTCTGACCTCGTAGCGAAGCTCCTTCAGGAAGCCCTCAATTATCTGAAGATCCTCTGCGCCAAGCCCTGCCTCTTCCTTGGTCTCTCTATGGGCTGTGGTAAGGTCATCCTCACCTGGGTCCACGTGGCCTGATGGTAAACAAATGCTTTTCACTTAAACTCTGAAGTTTCGGAAATGTTCAAATAAATACTGTCTAAAGATTACAATAGGTAGTCACTTTTTATAGAGTAGGTGTGTAAAGGTTAGGAAAAAACTACTATCACAAGAAGAGTGCCATTGACGAGGATAAAGCATGTTTTGTTTTTTTACCCTTGGGTGGGGTCCAGTGGTGCTCTCCATATGAGGTCTGCAAGAGGAGGTACTCGATGGGGTCTTGTGGAGGAGCACAACTTGCAAGACGTCGAAACACAATGAAGCCACAGGCTCGCAGCGCCATCTTGTGGTATAGAAGAAACAAAACTTTAGCGCTAGTAGGAGCGAGGTTCAAACTCGTCACGCGATTACAACTACAAGCAGAGCGACAATGCAATATTCACAGTTTCACACGTACCACAAAACGGTCTTACAACGCAGTACTTATTATTTTGGTTGGACAGTAAATATACATGAACACACTGACGGGGCCGATCAGGTCCCTTTTTAGAATTTTGACAAGAGATATGAATGTAACCTTTGAGTAGCAGTAGCATAGATTTACTAATGCCTAAAATTTAAAAAAAATAATAAAAAAAGCAGTAAGAGGTTGAATAAATTCACCAAAGATTCAGCAATTCCAAAAGCTAATTTCAGTTTCTCATTGTAAAGCGGGAGAATTTATTTTGCATAAAAATTCCCGTTCAAGGTAACAGTGTAATTATCGTTCTCGTGATCTGTCTGATAGAGCTTGTTGGATTAAACGTGCTCGGTTTTCTTTGGTATTATGCACATTGCAGGCTTGAAGATATGTATCAAATTGTATATGAAAAAAAATCGTGAAACTTACGATTCAACTAGTGAGGTTTGCGTTTGCCTTCTCTTGGCTTGTTTCTTATCGGCATGAAGACACAGCGCACAAGTCAAGTACACCTCGAAAAAAGTCCGGGTCGATGCGAGAACAGATGAAAAGGTTCTTCTTTGTTAAACTGCATCTAATATAAAAATTATACTGTATATCTAATTTGGGTACGTGTGTGTGTGTGTGTGTGTGTGTGTGTGTGTGTGTGTGTGTGTGTGTGTGTGCGTGTGTGCGTGTGTGTGTGTGTTTAATGATTTTCCTGATTTTTAAACTAAAACTAAATTAAATAACATAATAACATATACTTGTTACATGCACTACTTAATTAAATGTTTTTTTTCGGTTAAATTTGACCAGCTCTATAAAACATATGATAAATATATTTCGGGTGATTAAGGAAGTCTATAAACACACATGAAGTCACTCACATCTTAACATTACCATCAACTAAAAATTCGGTTTCAATTGCTGCGGGTCAAACTCATGTGCCCTGGAAAGGATAGACAAAAAAAAATCATGTTCATTTACCTAGATTTTAGTTTACATCATCATCATCATAGTATATATTATTGAATTTTCATCGACAACTAAAACGGCTAAAGCTGTTGTGCATGGAGGAAACAGGAGAGCGATAGAGAGTGTTGATAAGAGCCACTGAAAGCAGCGTGTGTCTGAAGATAACAAATATGAGGCCTCCTTCCCACACAGTGTGGAGTTGTGAGCCATATATTTGCCTGGCTTCGCACAAGGGACACAGAGGAGCTGCTCAAGTCAAAAGTAAGAAGAGGTATTTTCATTCTCAAGCAAAATAATGACAAAAAATAGATATTATATAATAATTCTGGACAGGTAGACTGGTACATTCTGTATGTGTTTGCAGGACATGTTTAAATGCAACGTCATTGACAGTGCAGTGGTACATTGGCCTAACTCTAATGTAGGCAGGGTGGGTTCACTTCCCACTCAGTGATGGTGTGAGTGGTTGTCTGTCTCTATAAAGTATGTGCCTTGTGTGTGACTGGCAGGCGTAGTCTGGCTTTTGCGTGAAGTTAGTTGGGATAGGATTCAGCTCTCCATGACCTTGAATTGGATGAATGATATTCAGGGTGTCCACAAAGTATGAGTACATACAGTCGGAGATTGAAGTGGTCCCCTGGTTCACCAGACCTTCCTCCCCTTGACTTCTTTTTCTGTTGTATGCTAAAGGAGAAAGTATACTCAATGAAGATTACAGATTGAAACCACATGAGAGAACGCATGACCGGCCCATGTGTTGAAATCAACGGCAATGCAGACCTATTCCATCGAGTTCATTTGAATTTTGCAAAGTGCATCAAATTATGCATTAAAAATTATGGAAATCATGTTGAAAATATTATTTGTCAACATTACCATTGAATACAATTATTTTATTCTAAGTATATGATTTTTTTTTACCATATACTCATACTTTATGGACACCTGTAGAAAAGGTAATTGAATTCAAGATCAAAAGACATTATTTGTTCATGGTCTTTCCCTCATGTTATGTAATTCCTCTAACAATTTGGCTGTAAGCTTCCTTACATGCGACTTTCACTCGTACTACTGTGTTTACTCAGCCTGCACTGAGTGCTCATTATTCCACTACATGAATCATTCTCGGGGGTCAGATTCCCCTACATCAAGATATTTATAGGATATCGTCACAAAGACTGCACATGGAGATGAGTCTGGTTGTAGTTCTGGATGGAAGGATGACAGCAGAATGTAGTGTGTGCGATGTGATTTACTTGTCTCTATAATGTAGGTCACGAATGGGGATATCTCGGTAGTGAAGTTATTTTTTGTGTCTGCTCAATTATAAATGACTTTTTTGTTTTTTAAAGTTCCAGTGGTGGATGGTCAGGGACAGCAAGGCCTTCTCAGCTTGCCTAAACACGATCAAAAGCACCGACACACTTTGATCGCCCGAAATCTAATGTTTGTTTCAGATTTTTTTTTCCACCAACATTCGATTTTATCAATTTCATTGCATTTCCATGCCTATGGGGACTTTGCATTTTTATTAATTATTTTTTTTGTTTTAACAGACTTCAGCCTCGATGTGCTGCCATATCGCTGTGATGTGATATGTCACGTTTGCTTTAAAATACATCACACTCACCAGAGGTGCTGATTATTCAACATATTATTGTTACAGATCGACTAATCGAAGTTGTCTGTAACAATTTTTGCTCTGAAAAAAACAAATCAGAGGATGGAAAAAGGCTGACATCATCGAGGGCCAGCTCGCAAACCGCAGCTGACACTAAAGATAAATATGAAATCAGATTGATTATAGAAACAGTCTCATTTCTAATAAAGTTGAAGTTGGGGCATCACGACAGATTCTGAAAGTCCTGGGCGGGTTACACTGACATAGCAGCACATACTACCGAGGCTGAAATCTCATTGGCCAATTGAAAGCTAACATCCACAACTGACGGCTTTGCAGCCAAGACCGTCACTTCAAAATGAAGAAAATACTGTGAAGAAAGAAAATATAAAGTATAAAAAAAATTATCCTGGGGAATAAATTACCACAATTTCCTGAAGGACATTTTAGAATTCAAATTGCAAATGTAGATCACTGCCTCTGATGGTGTTTAGCCTTGCCTTCCATGACCGTCACCAATGTAGTAAATAAAAGTAGACATACAAGCTTGTAAATACTGTTCCCAAATATAATTACGACTATTTCTGCAGAGCCATGGAGATGAATGAGCCACAAGAAGGGCGTCATTTTGTGGGGAAGAAAGACGACTTGATTAACGCAAAGCGCACATTCAAAACACTGGAGGGTCGGGATGTGCTGATCCTCTACCACCAGGGAGGCTTCTATGCTTTGGACTATTACTGCTATCGTGAGTGCACTTTTTGCAGTGGAGACGTCGATCAAGTTGCTTCGAGAGATGCCAATGCAAATCTGATACAGTCATAACAGACGCCATTGATAGTCATAAAAGTGAAGCAAAACCGCCAGACTCTTGCTTGTTGATGATGTATCAGTTGGTTGATTTGTTTTGGAATACTGTATTCATCTTTTCTGATCATCTACTTTTTTTTAACAGATGCTGGTGGAAAACTAGAGACTGGAGACATTGAGGTGAGACTTGGAGCTTCCTTCTCATTTGTACAAGATTTGCCTCACACATGTGCTCATCAGTTTAAAAAAAAAAAAAAAAAAAGCAAGTTGGATGAGTTTTTTTGTCCTTACCACACAGGAAATAGGTGGCACGCTGTGCATAATTTGCCCCAAACACAAGTACAAGATTTCTCTCGCCAAAGGGGAAGGTTTATGCAAGACCATAGACAAGACCCAAAACCCACCTATGCCCAAATGGTTCTCAAAAGGAGTGAAGCAGCGGGTCCACACAGTGAGAGAGACCAATGGGGACGTCTATGTGGAGCTCTCGAAGATGCCCGGATGGATCGAGTCAGACTACTACCAGGGGGAGGAGGGCAAAGAAAAAAGGGCCAAAGCTGAGGCCGAGGCTGAGGCCGATGAGGGGATGGAATCCTCTTAATGGAAACATGACAGCGCCTCTTCTAACTTCCTCTGCGTGGGGTTTGTGTATGCATGGAGACTGTGTAAAATAAAGTTTTCGACCTTTACTTTCATTTCATTGGCTGTCTTTTGGAATTAGAGACACCATGTATAGAGCTCATCACTCAACTTTTATGCATCTTTATTCTCCTCATGCATACTGCTTTTTCACTGTATTGATGTGATCCAATGATTTATATGATCAATAAGGTGAAAAACTGTCTCTTCCTGTTTGTATACATTAATTAAAAACATACAGCCAGTATTGTAGTCATGGCAATCATAATGATATGTGTTTTAGGATCCGTAGCAGTGATGTGATGAATTGCCTCGGTATCGAGTAAGGCTCGGAAATGTGCTTGCAAAATGTTTTATTTGATGGGCTGATCTCTACCAAGTTTATGGTTATGTGACACTTTGAATATAATCAAGATTTGGGGCCTGGGTTGTTGAGGGCATGCAGCGGACCACAGTTAAAAAGTTAGGCATGTGAAATATTGCCATGTAATTATGTTGTCAAATTCATGGTTCACTAAGGGCTGCAGCGCTTAGCTGGTATTTTGAGGTCAGTCTGGAGGAGAGCTAAAGACAACATATGGGAGGATACGGCCCAAGAAGTTTGACTGCATGTAGTGCTGCTATGAATAACACAAGAGGCTAATTAGACCTTTAAGATTTTCTTCCTTAATAAAAATGTAGTGGAAGCACAGGAGACTATTCCAAGAGGAATGGCCAGATGTTATTATCACATTTAAAAGGTCCACGGGGGCTATTTTATATTTCATTTCTTTATCAGCTAATGGTTTTCACCTTGTCATTCCTGTACGTTACCATTGTACCCATCCACCATGTAATTTCTTGGCCATATCTTTAGCTATGTATCCATGCGTAGGACCAGGTCTGATCCAACCCGGAGATACGTGGTGAGGAATTTACAACAGTGCCATCTATAGGTCTGGTGGGGCACGGCTGCACTTTTCCTGTCATGCAAAATCACCCCCCTTTTAAGCTTTTTTTGCAGCTTTTTGTCAGTGGTTTCAACATGTGTTTTTTTTCTATTTTTTGCTGTGTGAAGGAGGTTCATTCGTGAGTCTGTGTGTGTGTTTTTGGTTGGAATCTGAGATTGTGTTAGAGAGGTTTTTTTTCGTGAGTGTGAGGGCTTCTTTTCGTGTGAGATGTAAATGCAATTGCGATGGTGAAAGCTACCCTTTTCCCCATTAACCCCAAGCTACATAAACCATCAGTAAATTAGAGATCTGCACGCTCGCGAGTCTTTGCTGAGTCAAGCAACTGCCCCCCCCCCACACACACACACACGCACACACACACACCTCTCTCTCTCTCTCTCTCTCTCTCTCTCTCGTTCGTTGCCCGAAAGACTTTGTTGGAGAGTCCGACGTCATTAATGTGGTCTGTCTGGACACCGGTGCGCGAGGCTCTGCTCGTCCACGGTGGTTAATTGCCTCCGCCTACCCGCTGGCAACTTGTCAGTGATTTGTCCTTTGAGTGTTGTTGGTATTCCAACACGGCCAGTCAGCCGTCTGCTTGCCGTCGGGACGACGCCGCCGGGTCGAGGCTACCTACGGCTTTTATGAATGACTAGCGAGGCGGGGGAATGCCAGTTAGCGAGACCGGGCTCCAGTGGGACCAGCCGCCGATGAGAGCGATTAACGGCGGAGCGGAGCCGTGGCTCACTGCGGAAAAAGGCGAGCCTGACTGCCGCAGACTGGCGTGGAAACGCACCGTGAGAGGGACACGCTCCACAGCGTAGAGCAACGACGGCACCGTGAACGCAATGTAAGTTGCTTGTTGCCTACAACTCCTTCCAGAGGCGTCACATCAGGGCGCTTTCGTGCTCAGTTCCCCTTGAATGCCGAAACCCCACCACGACCACATCTATCTATCTATCTATCTATCTATCTATCTATCTATCTATCTATCTATCTGATAATTCCATCCATTCACGGGTATGAAGTAAAGATTTGTCAACCGCCGAGGAGAAATTATTTTAAGTTTTTCCTTAACATTAAAAAAAAAGAAGCTATGGCTAGCCCTGACATCTGGCTTTGCTTTTGGCCAGTGAGGCCGAACTGTAATAATTGGGAACACTAATGATCGTCTCATCATATCAGTTCATTGTGGCAAACTTGTGCGGGGCCACAAAAAAATGACAGACAGAACTGGATCTGGTCCACAGGCCTTGATTTTGACAGCTGTCTATGCATTCAAGGGCATTTCTTTATTGGTATAAATTTCTTGGCGTGCTTCTCTTACGAATTTACACATCAGCAACAGTGTGTGGTTTTGAAAGAGGAAATAATTTGTGGTGAGGTCTGCGGTGTCCAATAAATGATTGAAGAAGGTAAATGATGAAGAGCTCGCGATAACTATTTACCTACATTCTCACTTCCCTGATGGGCCCTTGCCAAGCTTGTCGGTATCTGTTCCACTGGCATGATGGATGAGTACCAGGAAAAACAATGAGCGCCTCTTCTTTCTGAAGTACTTCCTCACGGCTCATTTGTCTCCCTCGCAGGTCCATTCACATTGTGGCTCTGGGGAGCGAGTGCCCGGGTGGTGTCGGGCCAGGGGAAGAGATAATGGGCCAGGGCCAGCTGCAGGGAGGTCTGCTGTGGAGCTATTTGGGCCACGGGGCGCTTGTGGGTCCCAGTGACCTGGAGAGGAGCCTGCATAATCCAGCCTTCATGGAATACACCTCACGTGTCTTTGGAGATGTCACCATCGTGGTCCAGGACTGTCCCAGCTGGGTAAGCCATGTTTGCTTTTGGACTTTGGTGTTAGCATTGTATTAGCATCACGTGTCCTACAATTGACTGGCAATTTGAATTCGGACAAGCAGTAGGAAAAAAAATACTCAGTAAAGCGCAGGCAGTTAGTAGAAAGATGCATGCTTGCAACCAAAGCTTTTTAATGTAATTTGATCGCGTACGACGGGAGAGAATTCACTATGGCTAACTCAAAAGGTGTTCATGGAGTACTGACTTCTGCCAAGGGCCACAATGTCCTAATATTGTATCGTCCTAATATGGACAAGCGCCACAATGTCCACTTCCAACATGTGCCCGAACTGGACCAATTAGTAAAGATTTGCCAGGTATTCACAATGTTAGCAATGTCAATGTTAGCAAAATGTGAAACGTCAGCGTGGAGCAACATTGTGTGTTAAGACACTCCTTCCTGCCTCACTCAACAATACTGCTAATAGAGACACAGTGCAGTCGAAAGGTAATCAGTTTTGAGGAGGTAATGCCGGTAATAAAACATGTCAGCAAACTGATGGTCTTACTTTGTATGCTGCTTGTTTGTCGTAAGACGTTTAATCATTTCTTATTGTCAAAACCACTTTCTCTCCAAGCGCTGATTGCAGGTTTGTGCGAAGAATTCTAGCATGCTGTCCTCAAACTCTCTCTAAAAGAATGGAGAAAGAAAAGTGTTTTTTTTTTTTTTTTTTAAAGCACACGAATTGGAGAATTGTGAATTTGCAGCAGTTCACTCAGTGCTCTATTGTAGAGCTGTCTTAGCTTAGCAATAGTCTGTCATTTCATCTTTCGGCTTCTTTGTTTTTATTCAAATGACTCAAAACGCTCTGCAGGCTTCGCCAGCTTTTTTGTTTCAATCAAGTCTTTTTATAAGATGTTAAGCCGATACTGTGGGGGGGAATGGCTGGGGGTTATCTGAGGTCACATCCATGATAGTCATCACAGCAAACTGTCCGTTAATCCGATGTCTCCACCTTCCTCCCCAGGACTTGTTGGACAGCGACTGGGCCAGCGTACGTAAGGTGCTTGAGCAGGCGGACATTCTGGTCATCAAGTATTCGGTGACCGACAAGCTGGCCTTCCAGCAGGTTAGGAATGGATATGCTCCAAGACTCCGCCCACTTCTTAGGCACTGGGGCGTGCCTGTCATCTTGGTGGCAGTTGGCGCGAGGCTAAACGGTGAGGGCGATTTTTTTGAAATACCCCGTAAGATTAATTTTCTCATTCATTATAATTTTGTATAACCGATTAGTCCGTTAACTGTTTTTGTCAGCAATAATATACTTTGACAGGCTCCTCATTACATGCTTCTATTGGCTTCCAGCACATTCTCAAATATTGTATTTTTAGCTTTTTTTTTTTTTTTTTTTGCTCAACATTCTTTGAGATGCTGTCAGTGCAACGCCCCGGAAAGATCACAGTCGAGTTGTGCAAGTAGTACGCGTGCACTCGCGTGTGTGCGTCTGTTTGCGGTGTTGCGCGAGGGCAGAGGGGTTTGGCTTTCTGTTTGTTGCTGCTACCGAGAGAAGGTTCACAGTCTCGCCTCATGACTGCAGAGAGTGACTGCTGAGCTGGGATTGCTTTCCGCTGCTTGACTCGGACCGACGCTGCAGTTACATGCATGAACGTGGCCGTTAAAGCGGCGGCGAGCAAAGGGGCACGCTATTCCGCCAAGGGCACACGCGCGCCCTGGCGCACATAAACGCAACACTGATGTGCCAAGTCGCCGCCTGACAAATGCTCACACCCCCATTTTCACTCTGTCTCGTATGTGCACACACACACACACACTCTTGGCTGAGTGCCTGTAGGTTCTTAGCATTATGATTTATCAAATGCCTCAGCACTTAGCTGTGTCCTACTCATTCTCTCTGGCTCTGTTCTTTGTTCTGTCTCTCTGTGGTCCCTTTTCCTGCGAGATAATCCCACTAATTTTCTGTCAGATACTGTCGCCCCCCCCTCCTCTCCCCCCCTCATGCGTAAACCGTAGCTCAGCACAGCTGGTTCTTGCCAGCACATCACTGCAGATATTACATGCTTGAAAATTGCAGAACACAGCCGGGTAACCGTGTCTTCATTCAAGAAGTAGAACATCCCATTCGATTTTTCTTTTATGCCCCGCTATCTGTGTCTGTCTAAAAAAAAAAAAAAAAAAAAAAACAACAGAAAACATCTCTTGTTAGAATCAAGAGTGGTGTGGATTTTGGGTAAGCACATGACGCCATTGTGAGATAGACACAATGTTTGAAGGCAAGCAAAATGAAACGACAGCTAGAGTGAAGCAAATCCCCCTCTCAGATTCCGCAGCAACCAGACGCACTGAAGCACCGGCCGGCTTTTGATCTATTTAAGTACCGGTAGCTTGGTGATGGAATGCTAAACGCTGTGCATTTTCCGAACAGTCGAGGAGTCCAGTGGCACCACTGATAATGCTCATCTGACGGTGTTTGTGAGGTATTTTGATGAGCGCAAAAGGGAATTTGATGGGCATGCCAAATTTGGTCATGTCATGTAGTTTTTGTTCTTTATATTTTGGAACGAATGAATGAAAATGCGGCCTGATCAACCAAAAGAATGGACTTTCGACACATTAAGATTTGTTTTTGATGACCCTCTTCCTTTCTACAGAGCGCCATCTGGAGATAGCATGGTGTCTAGCGTGTAGCTTGTCTATCTCACACTTCTGCGGTTCAGGGTTCGAGTCTCGGGAAGTTTTTTTAAAATGTATTATTATTTTTTTAATTTGATTCATTTATGTCCTTTCGTTTCAACTGAGACATAACCATTGCTCTGAATAACCTGCAACGTGGCACAAACATTACATTGCGGCTCCTGTCACATTTCCCTGTAATAAAATATTACGCAAAACATGAATTTAGTCATTGTTGCCCAATAACTAAACTGTCATCCGTTCGTACAGACGAGGGCCCTCCCTGTACATGCCCGCTGTGCGCGTCTGACTGGAGCAGCTGCGTGCCTCACAGTGAAGGTCTGCAGCTGTCCCGGGACCTTGGGGCCACCTACCTGGAGTTACCCTCGCTTAACCATGTGTTCGTGGGTCGCTACTTTGGCAGCGTGGTACGCGCACGCACACACACACACACGCACATGCTTTGAATCTCACCTCAGGCTTATTCATTTTTAAGATAGTACATCTTATGATGGGGGCAATTTGTTCCCTAAGCAAAGAACAGATGATGTAACAACTTATTTTTGTACGTTGGTTTTGAATAAGTGTGTTTTTCTGCATTGTTCAGCTGGAGTACTTCATGATTCAGTGTCTGAAACACAAAGCCAAAGAGAAGCCAGAAAAGAGGCGAGGAAATAAAGTCAACGAGCTTCGCCCGCCTCACCTGGAGCAACCAGGTTAGAAGAAGAATTTCGTGTCTAAAATTGAGAAGAGCATTTGAGTGGAAGACAACAACATCATTGCAAGATTTTGTGTTTTGGGTGTCAAGTTGAATGTAATTTTTGTGTGTTTTCTGTTCTGCCTGTGTTCCCATTTCAATCCAGTAGAATGACTCGACAGGCATTTATTTCTCAAGTTTACAGAGCCAAAAAAAAAAAAGCCGTGCTATGGGTCAGTCAGGATCAATATGTCTTTTTCTGAATTGGGAAATTAGAAGTGAGTTGAAGTGCAAGGTAGACTGTCACTGAAGTCGAAATCAATTTTAGTCTGGAATGTTTTCAACACCAGACTGAGAATCGACAACAACTGAGTGTTTTATTCGGATGCAGCTGGGATTGCATAAGATTAGTCATTAATCTTGTCTTTGACCAAATTCACGTCATCAGTGTTGGAATCCGACCTTACATAATATACTAAATACGTGGGCTTGTGTCTACACTTAAATGAGAAAATAATATACGGTTACAGTAAGGACCTTCAGTACTTGGACATTGGACAGATTTTCTATGATTTAGCCATTACATCACCATGATGGATTTGAAAAAACAAAATCCTGATTTGATTGGCATGAAGACTTTCCTTTCTCAATTTATGCTGCCTGCTGATTTTTCTTCAGGATCAGGCAGGCAGGGAAGCAAAAAACAAAAACAAAACAATTGACATTCTTATATATTACCTTCCAGACTGCAAACATGTTTTTGTACTTTCATTTCGATGACATTTTGAGCAGCTTTCTGCGTGTGAAATAATCATTTCAACTGCTCAATCCGCTGTTCGTTCATCTGTCCACTTTGCTTCTGTGTTTGTAATCTGACGTCAAGACTGACAGTTTGAGGTCCTTTCGCCGCTTGCGGGACTTATTGCCGTTTGTCACTTAACTCCTTATTTTACGCTGTCACTTGCTCTGATTCGATGGACTGCTCAGAGAAAGCCAAGAGGAGAGTTTGCGGTGCATAAATGGAGACATAATAGGACTTACTTGTGAAATCATCCCCCCCTCCTCGCCACTCTCCCTTTTTCTCCATTTTGTGTCCATTCAATGCATTGCTCAAGTACACATTTAAATGTTTCTCGACAATTTTCTTCAGAATTGATTCCTAGCCCACAACTGTTGGAGTCGGTTCAAGAATCGATAAGATGAGCCCCCCCCAAAAAAGAAACACCTCATGCCTAATTGTGGAGTTCACAGCTCATCTTGTTTTCCTCCCCCTTGCGCCACTCTTACCTGGCACGCTTCCCGCATCCTCCCTTTTCTCAGCTTGTCTTCCTCCAATTCGAGTGGAGGAGTCCAGCTTCTCGCAAGACATGCAGTGGTTGTTGGAACGCGGCGTGCAGTTTGCCGACGTGGCCTTCTACGCCGGCGACTCTGGGAAAGAACTCGGGTGGGCTCACGCCTCGGTGCTCTGCGCCGTCAGCCCGTATTTCCGACAGCTGCTCCTGGGGCCCAAGACCAGGTAGGAGGTAGACGCATTGTGCCATCCAGCTATTTGACCATCTGTAGCCGGCGGGTGCTCGCCTCCTCCTTTGTGCTGAATGTTGTCTGCTTGGACAGGGAGCGGCCGCAGTCACGATGCGTCTGCCGGGAGAGGGATGCGGCCCCTCACTCGTTACTCTCCACCTGGGACGGTGCAATAATTGACGACATGCCTCGATCTGAGGGACACCTGGCCGGTCGCCTCTCTCGTCTGGTGGTGAAGGACCCTCTCTTGTGTATGTGCTTATGGGAGACTCTCATGTTCATTTACAGAGGTAAAGCACCGGAACACAGTGAAATATTGCCTCTTCATGACACGTGCGATGCGAACATTGATCTTGATTGGGGGAGGTGCCTTCAAAGGGTAGTGGACAATGCCTTGGGTTTGGTGTGAGTTTGGGTCACAGCTGATGAAATATTGAGTGTTTGTGGGTGTGGTGAATAAAAACGGTGAAAACAAAATAGAACATAAACCACAAAATTGGCAATTTCACAGGTTTTGCTTTTCTCGTTCTTTTAACACACACACACACACATCCTCCTGATAGGAGGATCACACATCCTCCTGATAGGAGGACGAAGCTGGGAGTCAAAGTGACATCTTAATTCTTTTGTTCCCTGTCATCGTTTTATCTTCAGAACTGAAACTGTGAGTCTTTTTTTTGTGCTTTAGTTCAACACGAGGGGGAGTTTTGCTTCCCCTTTGCTGCCTTTTGAATCAGACTGGCTAATGACAGACATGATGTTTGGAAAACCTTTGCTCACACGTCGCTATAAATCAACGGACTAGCATTCTGACGCATGTCCTTTTCTCATTGATACTCATACTTGGGTGCCCTGCATGGCTCTGCCGTTTGCCTATATTTTCCTGGGAACTCCAATTATGCTTGCCCAGACTCTGTTATTGCCTGCCAACTGCGATTTGTTTTGTTCTGTCTGCTTCAACTGCAAATGTCGAGGAAGCTTATGGGACCGACGTCAAAAGTGGCAGCGGCGTTGCTGTTAGATGCAGAAATGTTGAATTGTACGTTGGCAGCAGACGGCAGTTTTTCTGTTGTTGGGTGTCGCCCAATGTATAATCTTATGCCAGGGGAACTGTTCAGATGGAAGTGGGGCCGTTTTAATAGTCTGGTTTTATCATACAACATTTTTTTAAACCACTCTATTCAGTCAGAAGATGATAAATATATTTATTTTTAACGTGTGAAACATGCATATGCGTTCATCCTAAAGATGTACCAAGATCATGTTAAATGAACCAGCAGATCGAGTTCTCCTTTCATTTCTTCCAGCACGTGGCGCCTAATTCAACAAGCGTGTGATGTACTCGGCGCCTCGTGAAAATCTTCTCAGAGTGCGGCTTAAAGTCTGCGGCGCCGCGCTCGCTCTGTGTCAGATTGTGGCGCACTTCATCAAAGGCGTGCGCGGTGTGCAAGAATCACAACCGCTCGATTTTGCAGCCTTTCGTGTGTTTATGAGTCGAACGTTGATGAACAGCACACATGCTCACGTTTGCTGTCGCGCTCGCAGGTGAAACACAAAGGCATACCGATAAGCGCCTCGAGAGCTGAGCAGATTATAGGGCGAGACTGAGTCTGTTTGGAGGGAACTGCATAAAGAAGCAGCGCTCGCTTCTTGGACAAGGCTGGCGCAGTCTTGTGCATTGTGGATTTTTCTCATGTGTGGGAGAATACGAAGGCGGCAGAAGAATGAAGGCGAAAGTTGTAAAGAAAAGAAAAAGGGGGCTGAGGATGAGGAAGGAATGTGGAGGATAATAGCATATATATGAGCAATAGCTCAAAAGGCAAAAGGCGCTCCCTTTTGCCTTTTGAGCTTGTGGGGTGAGGAGCCAAGAACAGACTATGAATGTCACATTTCCTCAAGAAGACTGCAAGGAGACAATGTTACGTGTCGCTGAAAGAAATCACCGTCTGCTTCACACGGTGATTCTAATTCAGTCTCCAACCTCGCGCGCCTGCCACGCAAACTGTTCAGTTGCTACATTTGCGTGTTTGGTTGAAAGGGCTCATCTCACGTGCTATACAGGTATGCGTTTATTCTGCATTGCCCAAGGAAACACCTCAGGAGCTATTGTTTGATGTTCATTTGTTTGAAGAGTACACAGAAGTCATTTTAGCTCTTTTTTTTTTTACCCCACAGGATGATATCATGTGTCTGTGAGAAATACACCCCCCCCCGTGAAATAATTTCACGCTCTGGTTTGCCTTTGTGTGTGTGCGTGTGCGTCAGAGGCCATGATTTTACGAGGTTGATACTAACTCTGTCAGACTGTGTCTCCTTTTCCAGCGTGCTGCTGAGTTATTTGATTTGTCAATGGCTCAGTATACTGCGTACAACCGCAAATGTATCACATATTGCACACTAAGGGATTATTGAATGTTGTCCAACCGTCAGATGATGAATTAAGGCAGCGACCAACTAAGTGGCTTTTTTCTTTTGAGCCCTTTGACGTCTAATTCATCTCGAAACCGTTTTTGGGATGTGGGAGGAAGCCAGAGTATCCTGCTAATACCCTGGCCATAATTAGTTTTAGAAACACAGGATGTAGTTTCATTTTTTTTTTTTTTTGCCAACAAAAAGATATTTTTCCATTTTAGTTTGAATCAAGACATTTCATGTGCCCCATGCATAAAAGCTGTGCATCATCGAGCAGATTGATCTGTGAAGACATCCATGACAGGCTGATGTCAACCTAATAGGAAACGTTAAAAAAAAGAGAGAGAGAGAGAAGTAGTCTAAAAGGGGCTATTTTTGGCTCACACCATTGTTCCTCGGCATGTGAAATATTACATATCGCTTTGCATACAATTAAATGTAATAAATAAAAATAAACTTAAAATGACTGATATAATTGTGGAAAAGGGGATTTTTTTTGCATTGGATCTTATAGTACAAGTGATGGTATACAGTATACACCCCCCCCAAAAAAAAACAAAAAAACAAAAACAATAGTATGAATTTTCAAACTGACCATTTGGCAAATACTGTAAGTTAACCCTTTCATGTACCCCGTAACCTGATCACATGACAAGCTGTCCACTGTAGTGAAATGCCCATTTCAGAATACATCCCACATTTGGGGGTATTCATTGACAATTTAGGTCAGGTTATGTGGGTGTTCAAAAAAATCAGGGCCTGCGACCTGTGTTCCAATCGATGTCCTTTGAGAAGTGCGGAGAATCAATGCGTTTGTCGATGTTTCGTAGGCGCGTGGGAGTGGGAGCACCTGCAGGAGGCCTTGGAAGAGAAACTGAAGAACTCGCTTGCAGTGGCTCAGCTCATGGAGCGCATACGATCGCTTATCGGCAGAGACAGGGTGAGTTTTCTTGGTTACTTTCCGCAAACCTCCAGAGTACCAACAAATAAAAATAACAATCCCAGCAAAGTGAGTTGAACATCCAAACTGGTGCAAAAGCGATCACGCAAGAGACTTGCTGTTTCAGCTTCTTGGAAAATATTGACAAGAAAATGTGTATTATTTTGAAGTGCAGCTACACTGACTTGGTCGCTTTAACTCATCAGTATGGGTCGTGTTTACCGCTTGTTGGATCCAAATCTTCACCCAAACGTGCTGGTTCAAATCCTCAACCCAATGTGCTGGGTAGTAAAATAACCCAGCGTTTTTTCCCTGACATTGTGTTAGAGGTTTCATTATGGGTTACTTGAACCCTTTCAGGGACGGCGGTTACCACAGTGGACAGTTCATTTTTATGTTGAGTTGATTTTTTTTGTAGTCCTTCACGAAAGCAAATTGATTATCTTTTTGTGATTGGTCTACTTTTACTTTGGGAAACAATGACCAAATGGATTTCTAAAAGGTTGGCGAGGACAACGTCAATGTGTCCTGTGTGATCGTGCTCAACTGTTGTTTAGTTGTTGTTTTTTTTTAATCATTAAACAATACCAAGTAAAAAACAATAATTGATTCTAAAAATATTCGATCGTGACAGCCCTGCTTCTGATGCAGCAGTTTTAAGCGTGTACATTATAAGTACAGTATTCTATTTCCTGACCAAATAAGAGGTTAAAGTCTTATCTGTGATATGAGAAATCTATTTGATTTTATAAACATGTTTTAAATTGGCCTGAACTGGCGAGATCTTGTTTTGACACAGTGCTGTTATAATTAGCATAGTTACATAATTAGTCACCGTAATCACCTCCCCGACACCGTGGGAATTAACAGTAAATAAACAAGAGATGCTCTCGAGGGAGGAAAAGTAGATTATCTCTCAGGTCTTAATGCCGGACATCAGGCATGAAATTCATCAGCGGGATTTCTCGCTCTGAATTCAGATTGAGATGAGGTGGCCTGTGCCGCAGACCGTCTCGAAGGACCAAATCTGCGTGAGGACGGACGAGCTGAGACGTGACTTCAACATGATGAAGCCCCTTAAGTCTCCCATCATAATACGTTTGATAGCCATCAATGACCTTGTCCTCGCTTGTGCTTCCACTTACTGCGATACTGCGATACTGAATTCTTGACAACGTGATTTGCATATTCCCGTCACTGTACCATTCATACCGGCAGCACAATTAAAAAAAAAAAAAATAGGCATCTGCTTTCCATTTTTCACCTGTGTTAATCGATGCGCCTGACATTGCAATTCACCCGCGTCTGGCTGGCGCTCGGTGAGACGAGCTGAGGCGCCGTGTTTGTTGCACTGGGGATGCGGGAGAAATGTTCAGAATAGCAATTGCCTTGGAACGGCTTGTCATCCAACTCAGGTGTTAACCCTCTGCGTCTTCCTCTTTTGGCTTCTTGTTTGCCCGCGCAGGGCACCAGAGACACCCCAAGCGCACGCGCGGCCCAGCTCGGCCCCCAGACTCTCGTCAACCTCTTCAATTCCCCTCTTTATTCGGACGTCATCTTCATGGTGCAGGGTGGGTTGACGCTGTCATTAACATTCACAAAATGAATGCGCACTCACACGGGAGAGGAAGGTCACATTTTATCAGACTCGATTGAATTATGAGCTTGCTGACAGGCCTGGTCATCCATAAGAAGATAAAACAAGATAAAACGGTCCAAAGGACGAGCTGCGTTCCATCCCTTTTTTTTTTGCGTTTCATCCCACGTATCTTTTTGAAAGGACCCCCGAGATAACAAGATGATAACAAGGACAGCAAGACACTCTTCTCTTAGTACCCGTGAGTTCAAACCAGTTCAGGATTGTTCTGTGAGGGCCATTGTGTTCATTTTTGCAAAAATAATTGCAGCCTGAGTGCCGGCAGAGCCGTCACGGGCTGTGAATGGCACTCTGCAAAAAATGTCACGGCTCGCGCGCAGGCTCCATGTGTCACTATTTCCTCGTTGATTTCAAGAGCCCATTCGGAAAGATCGTTTCGGCTAAATTGGAACATGTTTTGCCCCCCCCCCACCACGGCCATGCAGCTCAGGGAAGCATTTGTACAATGCCGCGTATTTGGAGTGCTTGACTTAAGGCTCCACGACTCTTACATTGCACCCATTGAGCAAGCGATCGCTTTGGAGATTCTCACTCACCCAGTGGCGCTTGTCACAAAACCTTGGCATACGAAGGAATCTACTTTTTCACACCGCAGTGTACAGATATTTTTTATTTGGTGTGTTCTTTCAAGGGAGCGTATTGCCAGCACATCGAGCAGTGCTGGTGGCGCGCTGTGACGTCATGGCGGCCATGTTTAGTGGCAAGTACGCGGAGGCCCGGAGTCGAGTGGTGCCCATCCACGGGGTTTCGTCCGACACCTTCCTGTCGTTCCTGGAGTACCTCTACACGGACTCTTGTTGTCCCGGTACGTTCACCGGCATGCCAACCACGTGCCGTAAGAGAATTTCTTCTTTCTTCGTCTGCCCTCATTAAATCCTACAATTGAGTATGTATGATGGTTAAACTTTCACTTCATGTTTTATTCATTCAGCCTCTCTCGGGCTCTGCGTTTGAATTTAAATAAGTCAGGGAGAAGAACGCATTTATAACTCTGCACTTAGTGGAGTGCAGACCTTCATCGTGGCCAAATCCTAATTTGTATCAGCGTTATCTAAAAATGCCTAGATGCTTACCGGTAGCCTGCAAATCCTGAAATTTGGCATGAATATTCGTGCAGTTAAATTCTTTTTTAATAAGTTCCGTTCCACTATATATGGTGACGCTCTCAAATATTTTGGTGACAATTTAAAAAAAAACAGCAGGCGTTCTATTTAAAGCATCCCATTTAATAAGCAGCCACGCCAGATGAAAAAAAAAAAGACTGTTTTCCCGCAGGCCTCGCTCAATGCAGCCTCCAACACAGGCACAGATGACAAGTCGCATCAACCATCTGTGTGAGCGCAACATGCTGCCGCTGTCGCTCCCCGGGGGCCACCAAAAGAACAGCGATGAGCGTAATATGAAATTCCACTTCGCCACGACAACATCCCACACGTGGCTTCCTCTGCTTACGTCTGTGCCAGAACGCAGGCCAGCTGCACTGTTGTTTTGATTGTCCCCCCTTTCGCTAGATCCGTAACACTTCGTTTTGCATTTACAAATTGTTACTCACTCCGGCGATGACGTCGAGACCGCGATGCGCTAACGGCACCAAGGTTACATGCAACCACAAAGTCATATTTTCAACAAGTATACAATATATTTCATAACTCCAACCAACAAAGATGCCGTTTTGTATGAGGAGGACAAGCAGGTGTCGGGTTTCTTTTTGAGTCATGAGAATGAAGAAAACAACAATAACTCCAGAGGCTGCAGTGGCTGACTGTTGTGTAACAGCCCTGAAGTCAAGGGCAAAGCAAGGTTACTTCACCAAGGAAGGAAGGATACCATTTGCATGATCCCCATGCTTTACATTAGCGCACATGACATACAGTCTGTTCTACGCACATTGATTGCAAAATACAGCATACAGTATGTTCATAATTTAAAGTCTTATGCAGCTGTCGATACAAATCGGAATGAAGGGTACCACCTGTCCGCCCGAGCGCATGCAAGCCATCAACCTTTATTAGAGGAGGAGGATGAGCGACAGCAGTCAGGTTACGTTAGGAGACATTTTGTTTACCTTGTGACATTGCGTCATGGTGTGGCACGCATGCCTCTGAGGTTCTCGTCTGACATCTTGGCAAAAGCAACAGCATACTTGGCGTCAGAGTAAAGGTGACCTCGAGCAGGAGCTTACACACAAGTAATGAGTGTGCAGCTGTTTGCCGTGTGATGGGGAAGTCACCATGCCATATCGTTTTACGAAATAAAAATTTATAATAAATTAATCTTTGGGGACATTCAGCAGACAAATGCATAATCTAGTTTTTCCTTGTACATTTGTAACACTCGCACACACACACACGCACAACAAATTATTGTGAATATTTTTGCCATTTTAAGAATACAAAATGATATCTGCGCTACTGCATGACACCATACGTCTTTATGATGTGCCTTTATGGGTATTGATATATGGCCACATGGGGACAGCGTATCCATGAAACGTGCTCAGTTTTTCTCCCCAACCTTTATCGGGCCAAGGTGTGTCTTGGCATTAAATGGAGGCGCATCTAATTGTTCTGTCTGTCACTCTATGTCGCAAGCATAGATGATGAAAGTCGATTCTGTCTATTTTAGTGTGCTCTGACACACGTTTTTTTAAATTTTAGCTGACAAAATGTAATTAACCCTGTGAGGGATAGCGGTTACTACAGTGGACAGTTTATCCTGTTATCAGGTTACAGGCTGCATGAAAGGGTTATTCATAATTTGAAACCTTTTGAATTTAAAATTCAACAAAACGCACCCCTCTCAGCTTGACCCTTTTGTTGTGTTTTCTTTCGTTGTTGTTGGTAGCCAGCGTGTTGCAGGCCATGGCCGTGCTGGTGTGTGCGGAGATGTACCAGGTGAAACGGCTGCAGCATCTGTGCGAGGTGTGCGTCTGCGCTTACCTGCAGAGCATGCCCAGCAGAGAGCTGGCGTCAACTGGCATCAGCGTGATCCGACTCCTCCGACGGGCAAAGGTCAGTGTTTGGGAGAGCCCCTGGTTTTAGAAAACCTGGTTGGCCATCGACTTAGTCAGTTAAATCGGGTGAGCAAACTTGCTCTAGGGCTACGTTGTTTTTTTTTTTTTTAAACGAACAGACCCACCAGGTCATTTGATGATTTTTAAAAATAATAAATCATTCTAATGACTGTGTAAATGCTCAGTCGGCAGAATTAAAAAAGGGCATTGGCCAAAAACAACAACGAGCCACTCTTACTTGGACTGAATGTGTTCAAAAAGCATTTGAGGATGAACTGTTTTCTTCGGCTCGATAGTGTCACAACGCCGAGCAGCTGTATGTGTGGCTCCTCCACTTCATTGCCAACAACTACCTGATCTTCAGCCACAAGCCTGACTTTTTGGAGCTTTCAGGTTAGTGTGCATTACACGGCACGAGTGTTGTTTCATGTCAAGTTGTGTTCATAATACTTAAAATGGCGAGTAAACCGAAGAAGCCTTTTATTTCGATGCGCGCAACCGCATTGGGCGCAATGCACGTTCCCTTTCAAATCAACAAAACCAGACAGCGTTGTCGTCTGACCTATCCTCACAATTTTTCTTGGAAATGAACGTTGAAACATGTCCTCCTCTGTCACCCGTTGTGCTATTCGTAGGACTATTGAGCTCTGATCAACCAACCAGATGGGGAAAATACAGCTGTCGCTCTAAACCTTCGTTAAGTTTTGTGAAACTCCTGAAATCGGATTAGTTACTAAATAAAAAGCCTCATATCTTACTGTACATACAGTACACCTATGACCTAGTACTCCAAGTTGAATAATAAACGTGCCTGGCCACTTGGTCACTTTTAAATGGAAAGCCTGGAAGCTCAAGACAAAGGCTTATTAAAAGACCGATTATCAAAATGAAAAGCAAACTGCAATGTTGACTCAGAGGTATCGTTTATTATCATCCCTTATACACGCAAGGATTATTTTCAGTCTTTGGACGGCACTGAAGGGCAAAGGGGAAGGTCAAAGGTCGAAGGGGAAGGTCAAAGGTCGAGAGAGAGAGAGAGAGAGAGAGAGAGCGAGCAAAGAAGCAAAAACAAATCTCTGCCTTCCTGATTGGGATACAGCAACGTGGACGTGAGACTGTAAACAGTCGTGTGTGTGTGTGTGTGTGTGTGTGTGTGTGTGTGTGTGTGTGTGTGTGTGTTCCAGAAGAGGAGCGAGAGCAGGTGGAGAGGCTTCGATGGCCATCCAGGGGGTATCTGCAGGAGCTCAGCGAGTACCAGCAACGGCGACGCAAATTACGCAAGTCTCGCTGCACGGTCATGTGACGTCACCTGGATGCATAGAAAGGTCGATCAACATGAAGAAGAAAGAAAAAAAATGAACACATTTGCAAAGGGGCTGGCAAATTCCTGGAAAGTTTCCAAGGGAAGTTAAACTGGGGGAATGTTGGAAATACTCAAAATTGGAAACTTTCAATGGGAATTCCTTTGAATTGATGGGAATTTAATAGTAAGGGAACGTTTTGTTTTGGCGTGAGCAGACATCCGTGCATTACGGTAGCACCATTGCTCTGTTTTTCTTCACTCAAGTGGCGAACTATCTGAGGCTTGAATTTTGGCTCAAAACACAAATGGGGGGGGGAGAAAACAACCCAAGCGACAAAAAAAGAACCCTCCATCATACCTAAATGAAATCTTATGTTAATCAGGATAATGCTAAAATACATTTCCCCCCCAACTATATTTCAGTTCCAATGTATTAAATTCCTCATAAATTCCCATGCAAAGCTCCCAACTTTGAAAAATCCCACCATTTTGCAACCCTATTAACCACCAAGGCATGACGCTTTCTGTCGTCATTCCACTTAGGCCAACATAAAAACGACTGATGCCTAAACACCGGTATGCATATAAAACAACTGCACCGTGGAAGATTCAATTTCAGGTTGGCAGATGTGGTCTTTATGACTCTGAAAACTGTGACATCGAATGGCTCCATCCCGTGGACAGCCAACCATCAGGATCATGTGCTTGCCCCTTCAAAATGGTCGCGGGTATTGCCGGACAAGCGGGAGAAGGCCTGCGTGGTTTCTTTTTCTACTTGGCACCTGCCCTGTCAGGATGTGTGGCTCCCCTGTAGTGGACACGATTAAATTATTTGCATATCATGCCTCTAGTGGACATAGAGCATCATTTGAATTTCATTTGGTAAGGCACTGAACAAAGTTGGGGTTGGTTCGCTCTCATAAGCTAATAGGAGGCACAACCATTTTTTAACGACAATTTATGGTGTTCCTAATCATTGAATTCTTCCCAATCTATAGGAGTAAGAGATGTGATTATTACATGACATCGCATTCATTCAGCTTGTAGTCTGTGTCAGACGTGGACATTTCAAATTGGCTGAAAATTAAATCATCTAATGGACGAAACATTTGAGTGCCGCATACATCGCATCCAGGATGGCAATAGATGGGCAATAACTTTGGTCACGCTTGCATGACATGCAGTATGACGATTTCGGGGAAAGATTCACATCCACATATCTGTTGCTACATTAAAAAAATCACAATGCCTCTGGTTCGATACACAATTTATTGTACCAGTTTCTACTTTAAATTATGATTATTTGGTGCTGCAATTATTTTTGTAAAATCCACTTTTTTTTATATTCCAACAGTATTTTTTGTTTTTTAACTGTACTGTACAACACTGATGATTTTCATAAAAGCTTTAATTATCATTCTTGATTAAACAATATTTGCTGTGCATTGAAAGAGCCAAGTGAAAGCGTTACAGTTGAAAGCAGACAACTAACACTACATCATCATCAGTAAAATAAATTGTTGCTGACCAGTCCGGGGTGAACCCCGCCTCTTGCGCAGGGTCAGCTGGGAGAGGCTCCAGCTCAACCGCGACCCTTACGAGACCGATGTGGATGGAACAAAGAGCATAACTTTCAGAATGGTGCCATTGTGTTTTCCTCTTCTTCTAAGAGCGGATTCACATCAAGTATGACTTGCACTGTGAACGCTATGCACAGACACATGTTGTACTAATTTGTTCAAAATGTCAATGATAATCTGTAAACACAGAACAAAACAGTCTGTGGATGCAGGTATCACAGCATCTTGTGTATTTCTTTCACTTGCTTGTAAAAATCGATTCAACTCTTTTAGTACCCTACCTGATAGTTTATCGGAAGTCACTGGAGAACCCCAATGGACTGCAACATTCCCTCCAGTTTGCCACTCTTATGCAGCTCTGCCACATCACTACCACCACCGACACACTCCTCTCCGATGAACACCCGTGGGACCTCAATTCCAATGAACAGCACAAATAAGACAATGTTAAAAACTTACAATAAATAAATACCCCCCCAGAATTTTAAATCACCAGCGGTTGACTTTTCCAAGTCATTGGGGATACAAGACTTAACATATATATAGGGAATAAATAGCCCTATATTAGTCGTCATGTACACAATATCAACAACAACAACAAATAACCGTATCGTTTTTTACGACAGAATCTCACAAATACGACGTTCACTTTACGGCATTTATTATACCGCATGTTTTAATTCTATTTTGGTGGACGCTGACAACCAGACTGCCAAAAAATGAATAATTACAAAAAGCACACACGTCCTGGAGTGAGTGGACAACAATAGTCATGTTTCATGTTGTACTCCAGAAAATAGGACTTTTACAGATTGTTCAATCGTAAATCGATTGAAAATGACGTCACATCCAGCATGCGCCGTAGCGTTAACGGCACGCCTCCGCAAATGCACACTACGTCCAATAATGTTCCAAGTAAACTTTTGCCATTTAAAGGCATACTTTTGTTAGCTTTCACTTTGATTGCGTCACAAGTTGTACTCACGGTGCGGGCCCCAGTGAGTTCCAGGAAGTAATCCTGCATGCTATTCATGTCTTGACGCGCGCTGATGTCAACAAATTCCAGATGTCCCGGCTTGAATTTGTACTTCAATAGAACTTCCCTTGCTGTGATACAGTACGAGCATGTTGGCTTAATGAACAAAACCACTTTATCTCCTTTGATTTTAGCCTGGACGAATTGCTGCGCCATCTTGAGTTTGAGGCGGACGACGAAGGGAGGGAGGAGCGACTCGGCGTCTTTGCGCTTTGTTCGTCTGGTCAATACGGTATTGAATCTCAAATGTAGAATGTAAGTGTCCCTCACTTCTTGCCGTAGCCCTAGTGGGTAAGATAGAAATGCGTTGATTGGTTAGGAAGGACGGTCATAATGGAGTTAGGCGAAAAAAATATATACAAGAGTACGTCTGAAAATAGACATATAAATTATATGTATTTTCAGACGTACTCTTGTATATTTTGCATTTAAATGAGCATCAATTATATGATATAATTGATGCTCATTTAAATTAACCGAGGAAACAAAACGTGACAGTACGTTCATTGACTGACCTGGTCTCGTTTGCGAGCCAAGTTCAGTGAAGTCATTTACCGCCTGCACACTGGCCGCACAAAGGTAGTTCCTAGTAGAAGTGAATGGGCAGTTCCATTTCTATTCCCAGCCGACACGCTCACGCCAAAGATTTCCTTCTATTGAGTGAAACATTCACAAACGACTCGACACTCAGGGATGCCACAGTCTGTCCCTCTTGCCCTTTATTTTGCAATGGTCCTTAACGCTCTAGGGGAAAACATCAACACACATGTACTCCGTGTCTCTTTGTCTCAGTCAGAAAAAAAAACGTTATACTGTACACATACGGAACCCATTAAGTTTCTCAGTCAAGGTAAAAGATGTTCTTATGCCATTTACTGCCTTCTTATTAGTCTGGGCTTTACAGCCATCTTGTGGCTTTCTTGGACACTGCAAAAAGAACAAAAAAAAAAAAAAACAGGGGAATATGTTCAGTGACTGTCTGACAATGCTGTGAAATTGTGACCAAATTGCTTTTCTGTCCATGACCAGCATTAAAAAAGCAGATTAAGACAGCGCTCTTCAGGGGGGAATTAAAATTGCCCCCGTTGAACTGCTTGCAATGAGGCTGCAATTATGCACGATTTGATGCATCACGTGTTTTCTGTACCCGAATTACACCAAGCATTTTATAAACACAAGGAACCCGTCCATTTTCAATTGGTACACGACAAAAGACACAATTGTTGCAGGTAAAACCAAGTGGATTTTATTGAAATGTCTTGTATATTTTCAGTTGGGCAGGATAGATTTCATCCAAAATTCACTTGATTTTCTTTTTTTTCTTTCAAACCATGGCTGAATAGTGCCAGGGCATTTCTTAATCCTCTGTTATTTCATGTAAGACTTTTGATGAATCCCCTCAAACAAGAGGTCACGAGAACATTTCAAGCTCCCATTTTTTTTTTTTAAATGAAAGCATCTCTTTGGTTGCTGGGGTTGACATAAGTGTACAAAATGTACAGAATGTAAAAGCCTTTGCATTCTGCATAGTTTCAGGTGGACCCAGTAGAATGAAAACACCACGCCCGCTGCGACACCTCAAACATAAAAGTGGTGATTTGGTCTCATCAACAAGGAAATTGTGAATTTTGACCGCCAACCAAAAGGCATTTTTGAAGGAATGGAATGAATTTCAATTCATCTGACTCGTCCTGTCATTGGTTCACAACCTCAATGACGACTTGGTGTCAGTTTTAAGAGCAGAGTGATTTGAGTTCCTCTCGCCATCTGTGGCCAGGGGAGGAAAGCGATGACAATTGACTGACAGGGACCCTATAAAATATCATTTCCAATTTGTAGCACTGAAGCGGCGTGGACCAAAAGGAAATTCTTTTTCATGACAGTGCCCCTGCCAGTGGCCAAATAACCTCACCCGCCATTTCCCAATCAGAAATTCTACTCCATGCGGGTGAACCAGAAAAGAATATTTAATGACCGAGATTCAAACACAGGTTTTGTAAACGTTCCCTTGTTAACAAAAACTCAAAAATATATTTTCATTTTTCACAGAATGCATTCATTGAACGCCACTATGAAGCATCAATGCTCGGCAGAACTCAAAAGCGATCAAAAATACATTTGACCTGATAATACATGCTTGTCCTCTGGTGGATGACCTTGGCGAAGGAGCCCATCCGCAAAGCGCAAGAGGCAAGTCAAAACCGACAAATGTCTCATTTGTTACTCCAGCCAGATTGATCCCGAGTGCTCTGGCTGGTCAAACACGGTAGCAGCTTTTTTTTTTCTCTCCCCCCTCCCCCCCCATCTCATTTTCAGTTTTCACATTTTTTTTTGTTTTGTTTTTCTCTCCCCACCCCTCTTTCAATCTCACACAATCATTCAAACAAACACGCACTCGTGCAGCTTGTAACACACCTTCCAGGCTTCACATCCCTTCTTTTTCTGCTTCTGACACACGCACGCACGCACATACATCCACAGCCTTTTGCCAGGCAGTTATAGTTCCTTAGTAGAGACTCTGTACCAAAGGGGTGAACCAACACTGAGTATAACCACCCTAAGGCACCCATCATGCACCATTGACATCAACGCTGTTGGTGCAGGGGGGGAAATACTGCCCCCTAGGAGGTCTTTACCATGAAGTTCTCTCTCAACACCCCACATGGCCATTAGAACAGTTTACAATCCAATAAAGACATCAGCTCCCTCATTTCCCCTTCTAGCATCCTCGCAGTTGATTCTCGCGCTTGGCCCTGCATCACGTGACCTCCAGCAGCGCGAGAAGACAGCAGTGAGGCAGGAGGGGAGACTTTTTTTTTTTTTTTTGCCAAGAGATGATATCTGGATCTGTATTATGTGCAAAATGGCTTCACAATGTCAAAAACACATAAGGCCCATTTACTTGTTTTGTTTTTGCATCGTTTACCAAAAGTTAAATCATCTGCGGACTCTTTTGCACTACAAGTCCCAAAATAAATAGATCTTATTTTCTTTATCTTAAATACAAGTCAATAGTTTCTCTTAAACTCAAAAATACTTCTAATTTATGCAAGTTAAAGTCCTTCGAAAGGAAAGAAGAGATCACACGTCCACCAAAAACCCACTTGCTCTTCATGCAGCCCCCACTTGTGGAAATAAATCCACAGGGCCTGTGAGAGTGAAAAGGGATCCCCCTCCCCACCCCCAAAAAAAGGGGGGCCCAAAACTGAGGGGCTAAAGTGGGATTCAGAACATTTCAGGCCACAACGCAGCCTGTGGAATCAAAGCTTGGAAAAGGGAAGGAATGAAAGGAGGACATTGGGATAAGGGCAAATAAGCAAAGGAGAAACCGACACCAACCGTGGGGGCGGTAATAAATAAGAGCCAGTTGGACCCCTCCCCTGTCCTGGTTGGACACTCCATTCACAATACTGATCAGTGATGTGGCGAGAGGACTCTCAGCACCAAGGTTGGGCTCGCCGCTGGTCAAAATCCGCTATCAGCCGCTTGATGTGCGCCAGCTTGTTGTGCAGGTACTCGCAGCGCTGCTTGTCCCCGTGGTAGTTGGGGCTGTGCTGGAATCACAGCAGATACATCGCGTGAGACCACAACGAGTGCACGGATGAATGAGGACACCGCTCAAGAGATATTATCTCGTGGCCCAACGTTTTGGCAACTGCATTCTGGACCGAGCCTCCGTTACGGTTAAGGAGTCAGCAGGAGGCCTGATTTTGGACACATTTTGAAAGGTTCAGGTAAACGGTACTTGGCGTGGGTCACATACACAATGTATAGTGAAACTTGTATCCGTTTGCACATTAACTCGCTTGTCTTTGTCGGGTATTCAATGCAATATAGGTTGAACATGATTTGCGAATCATTCTGTTCTGTTCAGATTGATGGTGAACACAACGTTACAACTTCGTTGGAATCGCATTTGAATTTTCTGCTCCATTTTACATTAAAAAAACAGTCACAATCAAATGTACCTTTGAGCCTCGAATATAATTCATAAATGATTTTAAACCTCTTCTGCGGATCACCGTCTTACTGGTCAAGGATTTAATAACATTGATTTTTATGAGCTTAACTATATTGATTGAGCCAGACTCTCTTAGGTTGTTTCATAGCTTCACACCTTTCGCTACTCTATAAAGTTCCACCACTTTGGTTTTAAATCTTGTTTTTTTTTTTTTTAAAGACTTCTGTACCTTTCACAATGTTAAAAAAATGAGCAGAAAAAAAGGAGGCGTCGTTGAAGGGTGAAGTGCTTTGTTTTCAGTGGGCAACACCATTTGGGGGGGGTCACTGTTTGAGGAAAAACACTACAAGATTCCGAGAGGTGTCACACTGCGGATGCTTACTTGTTTCATCTTTTTGTACTCTTTCAAGACTTCTTCTTGCACCTTCTACAAAAACAAAATGAAACAACTCATGTGAGCCGGCTGCGTGCTTCTGCTTGTATCAACTTGCAGCATGTCGCAGAAATCAAATGAAAGACCTCCCAAAAAAATTAAACAATAAATAAGAAAAGGATGACCTGATACTCTTTGGTGCCCGGTGGCAGCTTGCGGCACTTCGAATCCAGCTGTGTGAAGCGGCGCGTGATCTTCTCCACGCGGGCGTGCAGCGAGCGGTACTCGTCGTACTCGGCATTGAAGTCGTCCTTGTAGCTCTGTCTCTGGTCCGTGGACACCAGTGCCGTGTATTTTCTAGAAAAGCCATCGTCATAGATTCCATGTTTTTGTCAGTGACAGGGGGGCCCAGGGTGTGATCTCTTTGCACTTTTGTTTTCAATTGTTTCATACTTCGAAGCTTCCGCCAGCTGCGCTCCCAACATGCAGACTGCTTTCATTTGAATGGGCCGTTTCGAAAGTGATGCTTGCCGGGGCAACTTACATTTCATAGTCAGGTGCCTCGATGGTGGATGAGAATACAGTAGATTGGCCCGGATTCTTCTCTTTTTCGGGGGAGTCTGAAAGGAAAGTATTTGATTTGACTATGCATTACTTTAGGCCTGATTTGTTGGCATTGAGAATCTGGTCCAACCCGTCCGTCCCTTGAATACGTTTGTCCACATACATGTGGCCAATGATCATACTTCACTAAATGATCTGCCGCCATAATGAAGTCCTATTAAAAAAAAAAAAAGAAAGCAACCAGACTAAAGCAACTAGAACTTTTTTTACCCGGTATGCATTTTCTTTTTCTGTGCAATTAAAAGCATTAGACTTGGGTGTTGGCTAACCATAAAAATGTTGAACTCTTCAAACCGAGGTGCTACTTTTTTCACACCGTCACGCTCACACCCGCATCTATAGCTCCGAAGTCATACCTGGGTTCACCTCAAGCTGCTTTCTTCCTTTGTGCCGATCTTTGCGTTTAGGTCTTAATTAAATTCTCTTGAGAGCTTTGGACTTTAGGAAGCGCCATTTTATGCGTGGGTCCCACTGATGTGAAACAGGGTTCATGTCAATCTATAAAGGACGCCCGAGTACGTACCAGTACACCAACTTTGGCTCTTTTTGTGTGTGTTGTTTTACTGCCACGGGCCTGGTTTGAAGTATCAAGTGTTAGCGTTAGATACTGACACAAAGACGGTGTTATTCTGCTATCATATTCTGAGACAGCACTGAGCCACGAGTCTGAATTCTGAACTTGAGTTTCCAGTTAATTATTAAATGCAATGTCGTATGAGAAGTTCAAATAAACGTGAGGCAGTGGAAAATGCACGGGGAAAAAGAGCTCACAGACGAACATCTGAGGTATGGAATGAAATCAAATATGCAATGGGGAGACATCAGACTTGTAGGAGGTCGTCGTCACAAACGAACACACCTTGATACGTGTGAGGATTCTTGTCCGGAGCTTCTCTTCTTTCGTCGTCAGCATTCTGCCTCTTTTTAGATTTCTGACTCTCCTTAGCCTGCTCGACCACACTCGGAGAACTGTTGCAACCCCTTTCTGTCCATTTCCCTTTGTCCCGCTGGCGATCCCTGTCTTTGTGCTTTTTGGACTTCTTCTTGAACTTCTTGTCGTCACTGGTGGGCAGGGGAGGGCTGCTGATCACAGTGGAGGTAACGGTGAGTGAGGTACAGGGCGGAGGGCTCGGCGAGGCGGCCGGCGCGGCCGCCGGGATCGGGGGCTGATGATAACGCTGCAGCGAGGCTCGATCGGATGACGAGGAACTCGGCGAAGGCTCCCTGCAGGAGGAACTCTGGTCCACGGGCAGGTCCTGGGTGCCGCAGCCCTCCGGCGTGCTGGGGGAGTTAGAGCTGGAGGCTGGGCTAGGCTGCTGGTGAGAGGGCGCCGGAGGGTGAGAGGGAATCGGGAGGTGGCTTGGGGGGCCCAAGATGATACCGGAGGGCAGAGAAGAGCATTTCGCGCCCGAGCTTTCGTCATCCTCGCGGCGCTCTGACGACGAGGAGGATAAAGATGTGGCCGGCCCGCGATTGCTGAGATGAGAGATGCGGGCTTTCTTTGGCGCCAAAGGATCTATAAAGTCACAATCCGGCTGGCGCTTCTGCAAAAAGGGGAAAACACACCGTATTTATGTTGAAGGATGGAGGCGTGTATGCTTGCGCTGTGCCAGAGTGTTTGTCAACAAAAAAGGTACCCGAGGAGATGAAGGTAAATTGTCTTTGGGAGAAGTGTTTGAGGAGGGCGCCTCCGAGGAAAGTCCTAGTTTGCTGTTGAAGAAGGAAAAAGGTGACGTGAGAGAAAATGTCTTGCCTGTACTATACAACAAAAAAAAAAAGGGGGGGGGAATTATAAGGGTTAGGTGATATGGCCTAGAACAATAAAGCAAATGACAGCAACATTATCCAAGCATTTAATCTCAAGCTGCTGAATTAAAGTTTTAGCAGAACAAAAAAAGTTTAAATTTGATGTTAACTTTGGTGTGGTTTGAAATCGCATGCGTTATGTGCTACACAGATGTAAGAGTATTGTTTCATATACTGTAGCGACTCCACCTCGCAGCCACAATTTAAATTGGCCCTAGTCGGCAAAGTGTAGCCTGCTTAGTCTAAACGTCACAAGAAATTACCGAGTCAGGATGCGCTCCACCTGAATCTTCTCATCTTCCGAGTAGCCAGGCCAGTCTCTCCGGACGTCGCGGAAAACAAAGTCCTTCAGTGAATACGTGTTGTCTTTGGGGTTAAGGTTTGCCACCTGTTGCGAAAAGACCAAGAAAGTTTCAAGTTGACTGCAGGACAATTTGCACAATGTTCAGAAACTGCACATATCCTGTCGGCGGACGCACATCTGCGCATGCAAATTGTGTTCGCCAATCTAAAAAGATATGAGCCAAAGGAGATCTTCAAAACCCCCCACGGACACTTGACTGCACCTGTTGCAGGGTGGTCCCCAAGGAGTTCCGGTCCTTCTGGTTGATGCCGTCCCGCTGCAAACGGGCCAGCACTTCCAGCTTCTTGTAGGACCTGAGCGCCAAAAGGTGAACGATGCGGTCCCGAAAAGACCGCTGGGAGACCGGGTTGTTGGAAAGGCACTTGCGGATCGTGTTGGCTGGGTTGATGGGTGTTGATCGCTTGCGCTCCGGGACGACCTCGGGGGTTGACAGCGCTGGTTTACGGACATGGACTTGCTTCCCTAGAGACAGAAAGAGTGCATTGTGAGCCACAGTAGAGGCACATTTGCGAGCTGCTCTCGATGCCACGACGATAGCGACGTATGGTGAAGGGTGATCTTACTCGGCTGTTGCTATTAACTTGTCGCCATCACTGTCGCTATAAAAGTTTGCAGTCAACGTCCATAACTTATTGAAACCAGCAAACGGTATCAACTTCTGTCAGGTCTAAGCCCCGGAATTAAGTAAGGATGGCGTCATCTTCTGTAAAACAGTGGCCATTGACTTTGGTAATTACGCTCCAATCAGAAACGGCGGTGAAAGGTCTCGCGGATGTTGCTGAGCCTGGTGCTTCGGCATTATGAAATTCTAAAGCTCTTCATGAGATTAAAAGGTTAGTGAGAGGAAACACTCTCCCTCCTTCCTGTGTGTCAAAAAGCGGGGACTAAGTGGTAAGATTCTGCTCATTGAAAAAGAAAAAAAAAAATTACCTTAAACTGTAGCCAGAAATTCAATAAGATGCTTAAAGCTCCATTTGTTACTTAACTGAATGCCAATTCCACAAACAAGCAGCTTCTAACAAGTTTTTTTTTAAACCGCCCCTTATGTCAGCGTTCGCTCACATTCCCCAGTTCCTATCTTGCCTTGTTCAAGCAAATCTATCCCCAGAGTCCTTTCAAACAAGTCGGAGGAGTTTTCAAGCTTGTTTAGCAGATTGTATGCGTTGCTCTTGAATTGTGTGAACCCAATGGGCTTTGGTCGTCCTTTACAGCCAATTGTCCGTTAAATTGAAATGCCCGTTTTTGTTAGTGGTGGTGATGTGTGTGTATGTGTGTGTGTCATTTTCAAGTGCTGCGAGCTTAGCGCACTTCCTTTTTCCACCTACGTAACGACAGGGTGCCATGGAGAAATGTATACGGTACCAAAATCAGGACAGTATAACGTGTTGGAGAGATGTGTACACAACCGTGCCCGAATAAACAGCCCCAGATAAGAATAGTGAGATAAGACGTGCCACTTTTGAGCTTGGTCCCTATAGCGACGCTAAGCTCATGTCCGTGCTTTCTCTTGCTTTTGATGGGAAACGTCGCCCTTGCCGACATAGCTTGCCATGCAGGCGCCATCTCTTATTCCAACCTTAGTCTGTCCATTCGGGTAAAAAGGACAGCACAATCCGAAAATATGTGTAGCGGTCTCCATCTGTTCATTGAGCCACAGCGCTGGGAAATAACAGTTTTAAGTTTTGGACTTCTTTGCTCTTCTTCCTCAACTCAAACCGCAAAGCAAACCAAAAAAAAAAATTTCATAAATATACATCCAGACACAAACACGCCCTAGCTTTCTATTCCACGGGTCTTGTGCATTTAAACGTGGTGTGCATTTGTTCCAGTCAAGTGTCGCACTCACTGCTTGTGTTCCCTCATCCTTGTTAATCATTAGTCATGTTATCCATCGTCATAAAATACAAAATAACACAGTCAAATAAAGGCAAAATCTAAATGTCAGCCTGCGTCGTAAAGCATATTGGCGGCGGCGGCTATAAATAATGAGGTCATCATCTTGATTGCTCGACTGCTGAAAGTTAAAGCGCCCAAGACTGCAATGTCTGGAATGCGCTGAGCAAAAACCGATGCCATTCTAGCACCTGCGCAGCCAGCCAAACTCCGTCGGCCTCTGTAGCATCTTCGAAAAGCCCCAGAAGACGCCGGCCCCCGTGTTTACCGGCAAGTCAATTTCAATTTTGGCTCAGGATTTTCCAAAACTATACATTCATAAATGATTAACTTTTTTGATGATGGTGTGCCTTTCCCCTGCCAAGGCGTACGTGCGAGTTCCACACAAGGGTTAGCGGTGAGACCCCCCCCCCCCAAAAAAATTTACATATGTCAAAAAAATTGCTTGTATGACTACAACGGGAAAGGTACGCTTAGCCTCCGAAATTATTGAAGCAAGATGTTTCGTTGTCCTACCTAGCTGAATGACTGCGGTTGATGAGAGCAACGTGCAATATTCATCTTTTATGAGGTCAAGTGAAAACATGCCTAGACATGTTTGTAAACAGGAAGGGAGCCATTAAATGCGGACCTGGCTGCTTGTAATGGCTACATGCTTAAAAACAAGCAGCATTTGGCAAGTGTCAGTGAAACACCAACGGCTTCAGTACCAACTGTTAAATCTCGGAAAGACCGAGACGGCGGAATAGCTTAGTCGACGTCAAGGGCTTCGAATTGAGTCAGGCGCGTCCGCATTAACCTCTTCAGCCCCTGAAAAGGGGGTGGAGAGCAGATGACGGGCTACGGAGTCAATCTGACATCTGTAAATATAAGATCTACAGAGACCAGAGAAGGGTTGTTTTTTTTTCGGCAGCGTGTTCAAGAGTTTTGGAAGGGCCTTGCCTCTGTACTGGCCCCCGGGTTTGATGACTTTGGTCCCACGTTCGCGCGTGTCCTCCACAGCCTGGGTCATGCGCTCCCGGGTCACCTGGTAGGAGTCATTCGTCGCGCATATTGTGACCTTGTCCTGCACCGTCGCCAATAACGCCAGCTGAGAGGCTCCTGAGCTGGAGAGACAAGGAGGCACGCGTGGAAACGGTGAACAAAGCGTCTGGCAAAGTGTCGGAGGACGGGAAGAAGAGGGGAGTTCCGCCATTACCTTGAAACATATTGATGGATGCAATCAAAGCTTCCTTGAGGGTTGTCTTTGCCGACGTTAGACAGGTAGAAATCAAAATTGTGGGAGGCATCAGAGGAAGAATTTGTCCGGGGTATTTTAATGCGCTGAAAGAATCCACATGAGGGGGGGGAGGGGGGGAAACATGTACAATTTATTTTACAAGGTCCAACATGAACTGGAGTTTGGTTTGTATATAAGACTAATTAAAAACAAAATCCGCTATGTTTACTTGGGACTTGAAAAAAAAAGGGGGAGTGAACGGTTGGCTTGGTGAATCCAAATGGTCCAAGAGTTTGAGAGTGCCCAGACACTGGGCCAATTGTGAAGCACGCTTGCAGCCCCGGCCCGCACTCACACTGCGTCCAAGCACATTTGCATGCGTCGTGGTTTTGTGATACACCCTGGCATTGTCGGAACTTTCTCAGAAGGCACTTAATAGCTGGGCGGAGGATTGATCAGATAGCCCCTGGGCGTAAACGAGGCGTGAGCTTCACCTGTTCCAGGGATGTGTACCATGCGACAAATGCTTTGCAATTTCAGCCAGCCAATCGGTTCACAGATGATTTCATTTGCTTGTCGCGTGTTTTGGGCCAACTGTTGCATTTCAGCCAGCCAATCGGTTCACAGATGATTTCATTTGCTTGTAGCGTGTTTTGGGCCAACTGTTGCTTTTTCAAGGAAAAAGTGAGTTTTTTTTGAAAACTGGCGTTTTTTTTTTTTTTTTTTTAAATAAGGATTTCTCACACTATGAGTTTTGTGAAGCTCCATATCAGGATGTGAAAACTGGCAGGTGGGTGGTTTAGTGACAAAAGGGAAAACTGAACACCAGGATCATCTTAGTTTTTTTTAACATTTTTTTACATTATGGAAAATGCATTTATTGATCTCTGAAAGTTTTCAAATGAAGGGACTATCAATCTAGGGAAAACTGAACACCAGGATCATCTTAGTTTTTTATTTTTTTACATTATGGAAAATGATCTCTGAAAGTGTTCAAATAAAGGGACTATCAATCCCTGAATCAATGCCTTATGTAATTTTGGGGTATTTGTCCCACGTCACGGTCTCTTATAAACGCGTTGTATAAATACTCCATGAATAAGCACGGCCATGTTTAGTTACCGACTACTTATAGCATAGATTAGTGCTAAAACAGAAGCGGGTAAGCAGATGATTAACTTGACTAAGCGAGACTATGAATACATGAATATGTGCTCTCGCTGGTACCACATAGCATTTCCAAATGAAAAGAAAATATTCTGAACAATGATATATTCTTACCCCTTGGAGTCCCTTGAATTGTATTGTCGGCTGCAAAGAGGATACATCCTGCAAAAATTAAAGGGGGGCGAGGGGGAGGGGGGGTGCAGGTTAATGCCGTGCAACATCTCACAACTGTAAAATGTAGTTGGAAGAGCCTTTCGAGTCAGGTCAGTGGGGGGAGACAACCCCAAATTCAGGAGAAGCAGCGGCAAATTTGACTGACGCGGAGGAACCCGAAACATCTTGAGGCAGCAGCAGCAGCAGAGCCTTCGGGGCCCGTCGCACCAAGAAGACCATGCAACTAAGCCCAACAGCAACAAAACGTATTTCTCGATACTCTGCATTTTAGAAAAATAAACCAACTCCAAAATAAGGCGTGATGCTCCATCTTCTCAAAGCAAAGAGCTGAACATATTTGCCAGAAGCTATTTCGGAAAAGCTTGTCGTTTTATATAGGTTTTAATGTGTAATTGGGCCGCTGTCCACGGCCACAAATATGCGGAGGCTTCGCTGCCGCATTACAGAGTAGGTTAGGACAGAGAGCCATTGGGACTCCCGGCTCGCTCACCGCTGGAGCAAAGACTTCTAAAACGGTTACGTCAACCGATTTCAGGGGGAACCTGCATTTCAATCTACAAAAGCATCTCTAGATGACTTGCCCTCTCCGACATGGAGATAAGCAAAGATACGTGTATCCCTTCCATGGGACAGAAGGATCCATTTCGTGGTTGTTTAACTTCTACTCCCCGAGCCACTGACTGACTCCCTCCCCCACTATTACGCACACCAACCAGTTCTGATCACATTTCAGATCACCACAGAAAAACAAAGATAGCCAGCCTCCGCGGCATTGGTTCAGCTGTAACACATGTTGCCCAGAGGGCAAGAAACAAAACGCAGGCAGGTTTGGTTGCTCAGTCAGCAAGCACACGGTGTGCACACAGACATCACCACATCCAATTAGGTCGGGAGCAGTACCCACTACGCACAAAGAATTCCTTCAACCGAGCAATGACCCCGTTTCGTCACATTTAAAGGGCCGGGATGTTGCATTGTTTCCTCTCCAAAATTTGACCACGGGAGCAAAATCCCGATTGTGTCTCATGTGTGACCTACATCGGTGCCAAAAAGATCACTGAACACTACACTCAGCTTGGGTCCATCGGTCCTGACAGGCTCTGTCAGTGTTATATAACAGTTTTGTTGTTGCCAAAGTTGAGTTCAGGTATCTACAACTCGGTGAGGCAACACCGTGAGTGTATGGTTCAAGATTAGTTAAATATATCTACACTTGGGCAGTGACCTAAGTTTAACCCAATAGTACACTGAGTTTTACTCAAATAGCACACCAAGTTAACAGATTCTTTCTTCCGTCAAGAGCCGTGGCAAGAGTAAGTTCGCAATTTTGTTAAAATGTAATTTAACATAAATATACCCTTATTGTTAACTAAATGTTGAATGAGACAGATGATGATATACAGATAAGATAACATGGCGACTTCTCTTCTCCTGACTTGCAAAAGAATTTCAATGACTCAGCAAACACAGTAAATTCAAGTATTAGCAAATTCAAGTATTTTCCAAGTAAACCCCCCGGGGCACTTGCTCATACATGATCATCATTCTTGCCTACAAAAAAAAAAGTGGCACTTTTAGGAGCCACGAGCAGCCTGGCGGTCCATCTTGTTCTGCAACGTCGATCATTTGAAACTTAAAATACATATCTTAATTTTTGCTTAAAACGTTCCTCGACGTTGTCAAAAGTTGAGCGAGCAGTAATTTATAGTATGGCTGACTTCATCGGCTCTTTACACTGATTAAGTCAAATAAATTAACGCTGGTAAACAAGTTTTTCTTTTCGAGCTGTGTTTGTTTTAACGCGTTGTGGCGACGCCCTGGCGTTAATGACTTTCGAAGTTTTTCAAAGCTTGTCAAATCACATTTGTTTATTTATGAAAATAGTAAGGAAAGAAAATGGACTGCTCGGCTCGATGGTGGTCTGTCCAGCGCAGCACTAAAGCCTTCACGAACAGACCGCTAACGAAAGCTTTTCCGAGTGTCCCACTTTGCCACTGATTTTCTTGCTTAAACGACGTTTGTCAGTTCCTAAAACTCAATCGCCACAAACGTGCAAAGCCGGATCCATCGTTCCCCGTTGATCAATCGCACGACCCCGGACTAAAACGATCGACGTTTGAGCGTTTCTTTACGCTGCCAACAAACCGAGCTAACCGAATAGCTTTAGCAGTGCGTGGCAGTTGGGCTTCCCAGCAAAGTGTCAAGCCGGTGGTCAATTGAGTGTCATTTCCAATTCCAAAAGAAGACACTTCACTCACCTTGCAATTTTGATAACTCTCAATCGCCCTCAGTGCCGTCTCGGTCAATTTGACGTGCAGGACGGTAACTCTGCCTGTGCTGTGTTGGCCACAATTTAATCCGTACCTCCCATCCTCGGAGAGCGCCGCCATGTTTAGCAAGCCTCCACCATCGTCCCTCTGAGGCGAGAGCATTTAGCACACCGGCTCCCCTCTCAGCCCTTAGCGGCCCGGGGAGGGACTACAAGCGCTGTTCCCCGGCTGCCTCCTCGCGATTGGTTGCTACTTATTCGCTTCTGCTTGCCGACCTGGCCTGAATTTGCCCCCGTTTCTGCATTAGCGCTTGTGCTTTTTCGAATTCTGTGCGGTACGTGAGCACCGGCTGAACAAAAAAACAACCCCTTACTCACTGCGGTACCAGTGTTTCGAGCTCTTTCAAATCGATTTAAATGTAAAACAAGTACGCGCATATCCAATTGCAGTGTAAACACTTACTCCCGAACATTGCTAAACTTGCCCCTCTGCCTGCCGTGATGTACTGACATGATAGAACTGATGATAGTTTTCTGGGCTGCTTCAGGAGAGGCTCTACACTCAGTAGGCCAGACTCTGCTATTAATTGTTTTAATTCGATGCATTGTCGAAACAATCAGAATAACTTTATTGTCATTTTACCACAGAATGCCACGAAATGGAACAGACACAACCAGAAAAAGAGACACTGACCATACAGAACGAGTCTGCTGGGTGGCCTTTTAAAGCACCGTTTTCACAGACGAAAAGAAAAAAGGTAAGTGAAGGGGGGAAGGGTAAAAAACAACTCCTAACTTAGCTTTTGTAAGGGGAGCACAGTATGGACTTGAAGGGTTAAAAAAAAAAACAACAAAGAGGCACACATTAATACACAACACACCAACAAGCACATGTGGAGGTGTGGTGGGCAAGTGTTGGGGGGAACATTTCAGCCCAATCAACCAGAATGAATGAATTCACGAAAGACCCCAGTTTGGGGAAAAATGCACCGCATTGGATTTTTATTTTCCACTATTTAGCAAGTCAAGCATTAGTGCATTTGATGTGATATTTGTACACCCATTACGCTTAACAGATGATGCGATATGATGATGTACTTCCCTTTAGTGACACGAGTCATAATATGAGGTATGCACAATGGGCACCAACCCCCTCCCAGGCAGTGAGTTGCATCTTCACTATCTGCTCGTAGCAGCCCCCCAATGCAAGAGATTAGGGCGGCGTGTTTTGGTGTGTCACAGCCTCAGGCTGGGTGTGGAAAGACCTCTGTGAATCCGACAGATTAACATGGATCTTCACCCCACCCAACCCCGGGACAAGTCACAAGCACATGTGTATTTCCATCACTTAAAGGGATTTGACTTGCATTGACTGAAGACTTCTAGAACACAATCACATTCCCTGTCATATTCGAGCATTTGGGGACTTGCTCTGTTTTCAAAACCCGTGTTGTTGAACAAGTTGATATTGGCAACATGTGTCATGATGTGTGTTAAAAAGAAAAACACGCACACTCATGAGTTAATAAAGCCAGTTGAAACACTGGGTAATGGGCACAAATCTCAAGTCGTTTTATCTACATTGGCAGAGCCATCAAACATTTTTTTTAATACATGCTAATACAGAATACCGTGTGTTTAATTCCAGGCGTCTTCCTGTTTGTATCACAGGTTACCTGATGTACAAACAATTAAACGTGTCTCATTGATTTGAGAATGTTTTTATTGACAGGATACCCAACGGTGTCCTCCAATAGAAGCTTTGACTCACTCTTTGTTCAAGTGCAGACAATATTTTGTTTGTTTATGTGGAGGACGGCGTGAGTCACTTGTGTTCATCAAATGTAGTTGGCCGTATTTCTCTCCAGTGCCACGTATCTCCGAATGATATTGTTCAGATGTGCAAAGTTAGCCCTTGCTTAGGAAAATGAGATTTGTCAATTTTGCTAGTCAAATAGAAGTAGGAAGGCCACTCCTGAAATTCTTGCCAAGTTCTTCTTTTAAAACATGCAACAGTGCAAGTTCTCAGCTGTGCTGTAAAATGAGTAATTGTATACAGGAATGCGAATGATGGTTGTTGCGTCAGGCTAACAGTCAACTTTTGTCATGCTTACCGTCTGAAGTTAAAAAAAAACCAACATATGCACCAAATTTGAACGACAGATTAATTTTTACACCACATAAATCGTTTGTGATACAAATTATCTCTGCGAATAGCTCCAGTCCTCCACCATTCCTAACTTAACTGTTAACCGTGTTGTTGAATTACAATTTCTCTTCAACCATCGCAACCGCATTCCATTCACGCCAGTGCTCTTCATCTCGGATTGTGCGAGGAATCCAGAGTCTCCGGGACAAAAAAAACCCAAAAAACATTTGACGCAGACGTGTGAACGTGCACAACTTTACTTTTCTTTTTTTTTTTTGTTTAGTTTGCATCTCCTCTGCCATGCTCTAGTTAAAAAAAGCAATCCCGCTTGATTCTTCCTGCTGAGTTACATTTTCATCCTGTTTCTGATCCTGTCTCTGGACTAAGCGTATTTACTCGCAGTTGTGACATTTGTGCCATATACTGTATGCATCGCGTCATAAGCTTCCCCCCAGGCCTTCGTTAACAGCAAGAAAACCACATGACGTGGATTAAAGCAATAATTCTTGAAAGTGCTTTGCAACATGCCATGAAAGGGTGCACTCAGCATGGATCGGATAGCCCGAAAGACATAAAGCGCCCCGTGTGTGAGGCAAATGGGAATCAGGTTCTCGGAGTTATCCGAAGTTCACCTCCGACTTCACTCCACGTGGCGATCTGGCCCCGAGGACGCATTCTCTTGGCAGTGGGAAGGACCCATCTGCTGTCTTTAAACCCTCCCTTTCTGACTGTAAAACGCGTGGAAACAAATGTAGACCAAAGGGGCGTGAGCAGAAGAAAGAGTTGCAGATTTATTTTGTGGCGTCCATCGCCATTTACCCTTTTCTTCGCTTTCAAGAGCGGGGAGCTTTTCAACGTTTTGTTGAAAAGCTCCTCACCGGTCCCACCGTCATTGTTTTTGCCGCAGTCAAAACACAGCAGCTGATAAAACACGTGTAGCCTGGAGGAACAGCATTTGGTATTTAAAGACCTTGAAAGCGCAGTGCTTCCAGTTAATGATTGTCCATTGAGGGGGAAAGTGTGCACTGACACTGTTGACTCTTATCGCCGCCGACCACAAAGCCACTAGAAGAGTATCTGCGAGGCTGACATTTAAAGGGGCATTTCTCTTTTTTTTTTTTGTCCTCTTTGGATTTTAGTGAGCATAATAACAAGCGAGTGAGACACGCTACGTTTGCAGTCGTGCAAGGGGGTTTCGAAACGTGAGTCGCTTGTAGTGTTTCATTTGTTGGCTTACAAATCGCAAAAATGTGTTGAATAAAAAATATGCCAAAATGGGATTATTTGTATGGGTTTTTTTTTGTTAAGTCCAATTAGGGAAAGTAGGAGATCCTCCTGTGGCCCGGTGGTCGAGTGGTTATGTGTTGACCTCACAGTGCAGTGGTAGTGGGTTCGATCCCGGCTCCGGCCTTTTTGTGTGGAGTTTGCATGTTCTCCCCGAGCCTGCGTGGGTTTTCTCCGGGTACTCCGGTTTCCTCCCACATTCCAAAAACATGCATGATGGAACACTCTGAATTGTCCCTTAGTGTGAGTGTGAGTGGGGGATGGTGTGCCCTGCGATTGGCTGGCAACCGGTTCAGGGTGTCCCCCACCTACGACCCGAAGACGGCCGAGATAGGCTCCAGCTCCCCCACCCCCCAAACCCAGCGACCTTTGTCAGGATAAAGCGGATCGGAAAATGGATGGATGGATGGAGATCCTCCTGCAAAGTTGACTCAATTGATTTAATAGTGACTTCATTCACTGAGAGCGGATACAATATGAGTACAAGTATATGCTTATTTTTATTGGTTGTACTAGAATTGCAATCCAACACAAATAGGATCCAAAATGCTTGGAAACAAATATTAAATTTGCCTTTACAAACAAAACAAACCCGAGCTCATCCTTGTCGTCGGCCATTTTCATCGCTTATGTTTGAGAGGAGAACGTCAACTTTGGGTCTCCAAGTCCGACCTGCTTCGGCACTTTCAAGCAGCTGTCGCGAGTGAACGCGGCACAAAAACAAATGAGACCACATCAACTCAACACCGGTGCTTTTCTCTCTTCTTGGCATCGAATGCATCACATTGCCTTCCCAACGAGACCAGCCTCATTTCGGGCACGGCCACAGCCAGGCCCGAATCCCACCAGTTGTACTCCGGCGAAAGCACGCACGTTGGCCGGTGAGTAATCAAGTATCGGTTCAAGTAGCTCTCTTCGCGGCTGCCGGCCACGATGCCGTTTGCCTGGTCCTTCAGAAGGGGATGTTGTGCCCTGCGATTGGCTGGCAACCGGTTCAGGGTGTCCCCCACCTACGACCCGAAGACGGCCGAGATAGGCTCCAGCTCCCCCACCCCCCAAACCCAGCGACCTTTGTCAGGATAAAGCGGATCGGAAAATGGATGGATGGATGGAGATCCTCCTGCAAAGTTGACTCAATTGATTTAATAGTGACTTCATTCACTGAGAGCGGATACAATATGAGTACAAGTATATGCTTATTTTTATTGGTTGTACTAGAATTGCAATCCAACACAAATAGGATCCAAAATGCTTGGAAACAAATATTAAATTTGCCTTTACAAACAAAACAAACCCGAGCTCATCCTTGTCGTCGGCCATTTTCATCGCTTATGTTTGAGAGGAGAACGTCAACTTTGGGTCTCCAAGTCCGACCTGCTTCGGCACTTTCAAGCAGCTGTCGCGAGTGAACGCGGCACAAAAACAAATGAGACCACATCAACTCAACACCGGTGCTTTTCTCTCTTCTTGGCATCGAATGCATCACATTGCCTTCCCAACGAGACCAGCCTCATTTCGGGCACGGCCACAGCCAGGCCCGAATCCCACCAGTTGTACTCCGGCGAAAGCACGCACGTTGGCCGGTGAGTAATCAAGTATCGGTTCAAGTAGCTCTCTTCGCGGCCGCCGGCCACGATGCCGTTTGCCTGGTCCTTCAGAATGAGCAAAGAACACCCGAGAGCCATTCTGTACACGTCGAGAACCAGCCCGCCGTAAAGCTCAGAGGTGTAGTAGTAGTCACCTTCGTCATTTTTCACGTAAGCCGATGACTCTTCGTTCTTTTCATAAGGAAGCGCCGTCCGCGGCTTGCCGAAGAGTTCGGGGTGCAACGTGGCAACCAGCTCGCCAAGTATTTCTTCCTCCACCGGAGCCATAAACTCCTGGTCAATGTCAGCGCAGAAAATATACTCAACCTCCCTGCCAATTTGGTTTTTGATGGTGTCAGCCAAAATGGGCATACGACGATAGACCAACTTGTCCCAGCCGGGGAACTCGGCAACAGGAAGCACCTTCAGCTGTCGTCCGGGCCCCAACTTGATGGGGGGATCGAACGTACGAGGATTATCAGTGAGAATATAGTAAGTGACCATCTGATTGGGGAGGAAGTAGATTTCTGCCGAGGAGATGAAACGCCTCACGTGTTTGGCATAGGTTCCCACCACGAGGGAAAGAAGGCCTATCCGGATTTGTTGGTCTGCAAATTCAGTCCTTCGCCGGACCGAGTTGCGGTTGTCACCCCAAACCAAAGGAGCGCCCCAAGGAGTCTGCACGGGGCTTTGGAGCACTGCCGCATTGCCGTTCTCCGTTTCTCTCCTTTCTCCTCCCGTGGCCAGTTCCATGGAGCGAAAGTAAGGATGAGGGGACTTCACATTGCCACCAGCCTTCCGACCACGGAGGAAGTCTGAAGAAATCAAATGCACACAGAACCTTGTAACGCTAAGACAAACCTTCGGAGAACTCAACACTTTATGGAGCCCGCTTTGAAATGTCAGAAACATGATTGCGCTTTTCTGCTTGAATAGCGTACAACCAGTACATTAGGATTTTACTACATTATCACAGTCACAATTTGTACAGTATTACGGTAGAACAAGATGCAGGGAGGGATGGTTTCTGACTAAAGTTGAGGTGCCCTTGAGCAAGACCCCGCCCTACCCCTCCCCTTCTCCACACAATCCGAGCTCACGTGCCGTAGCTCTGTTCGCGTGCCCCTTCTGACATTTCTCCTTGCATTCCTGCACGCGTGTGATCTGATGTCTGCGTGGCGAGCAACACAAAATACAGCTGAGTCGAAGGCCGCGGCTGAGGTTCAAACCCAGAAACTCACAACAGTGATTAAGATTTGCTCATCAGAGTCACGCTGCTGCCCAAATTGAATTTCCGTGCAAGGGATTATGATGGATATAACTTTTCGTGCATTTCATGATCTGATACGGCATTACAGTCGAGCAAACTCCCCTGCACACTTACATACGAGAAGTGACAGTAGAACACAGGACAGGAGCAGCTGTATCCTGGACACTCTGACGGCTCCTATATTTGCAGGATCAACATAGAAATGTGCACATTTTACACAAGAGGCTGCACACGGAAAACAAAGCCCATTAGTTGCTTTCTCTCTCGTCTTGGGTGGAATGAAAAGAATGTACTGCTCAAGATATGGCTCCCCCGTGGTGGAAATGTGGCATGCTGCATCAAAGAATATTACCAACACAGCGCACGTCTGCTGTTTGTACACATCAAATGCTGTACTCGACTCAGTTTCACAGACGACTATAAATGGGTATGATGTTATACAACCGCCTATGGTTTGGGTGTTTTATCTGAAATTCCTGAAATAATTTCACTCGGTCGAGTCTGAATGTGATTTAGTCGCTGCAAATGAATGCCATGAGACCAAAACAACAAAGCGCAGTTAAGTAAATGCAGACGTGTCTTCGAGCGGGGTCCACATGATTTAATGCCCAAAAGGTCTTGAACTAATCAAACGTCGAAAACATGTTATTAGATTCCCCGACACGTTTCCAGCAGAATACGTGCCGTTCGTGATGCCTCGCGTTTACACGGGCGCAGGTCGAGCAGGTTCTGACGGAAGCCGAGGAGGTGGAGCAGAACGCTGACGGAGGTTGGACTGACCTGTGGCTGGTTTGCAGAATGGGAACAGCGCCATGCCGTGACCCGCTCGTGGATAAACACACAAACGCTTTGCCAAAAAAAAAAAAAAAAATCGCTCTCTTTTCTTTGTCACTCGGTGTTTCTCCCAAGCTATTTGAAACGTGCAGCTTTCCGGTTATTTTTCTTTAACTCGAACCCCCTGTTCTTCTCTCGTCCGTCGCCTCACTTTTTTTCCCTTCTCTCCCGAACGGTCTCCTCCTCCCCCCATTTCCTCAAGACTCCGCAGTTTCCATTTCTGCGGTGAAACCAAAGAAACCAGATGTATGTGGAATTTGGGCAATGAAAACAAGTAGAGGGGCTGCTTCGAATAAGGCAGGGTGACTAAGCCACGGCCCGCGGGGTGTTTGAGGCCCGTCAACCTTTTTTTTTTTTGGTCTGTGGCACATAATAAAAAAATAACTTTTGCTATGGGATAAAAAAAAAATAAAAAAAGGTGGGGGTGGGCAGCGTTACTTGTGTAGATGTCGAAAAAGTCTGTCTACTACACAATGCTAAACATCTTCATATACAAAGTCACCAAAAAAAAAAAAAAAACAACAACAACAGCTAAAATAGTGACATAATGTCTCTGATAACACTGTGTGTGTTTCAGAAAAAAATGGCTTCCTCCACCTCCTGCTTAGTTTCAAGTTCCAATTTGTGAACATGCAGTGCCCTCCGGAATTATTGGCACTTCTGGTTAAGATATGTTCTTTAGCTTCTAATACATTTCTAATGAAAATCAGTTTTTTTCCTTCATAATTTAAGAACAGAATAAAAAAGAGGAAAATCCAACTTTTAATTCAAGTGCATTTATAAGAGACCAAGGTCTAAAGTGGAATTCAAAACGCTAAACCTTCATGCTACTTCAATGCCTTCACATTTTGTTTTTTTTTACCCAAATCCGTCAGTGTTTTTTTTTTTTTTTTTTTTTTGCTGCAGAAATCAAACGGTGCAAGAAAATCCACAAGAGGTTAATTTGCAGTTTATTTAACGATAAATCTCTTATTTTTTTGTACATCCATGACAGAAATTGCAACATAATATTGATTTGTGCAAACAATTCGGAACGGAAGCATCAGCCAAAAACAAACAAACAAACATAAACGAGCAAAATTTCAGCTACGCTCTCGAGGTAATTTACAATGCAGCATTTTCCCCAAATATCATCCTTTTCCTTTCGCCTGATTGGCAGGGAAGCGGGGCTGGCAGTTTCACACTGGGGTATAGAGACTCTGCATGAAAGCTCACTCGGTACAAATAAAAAATAATTACATAAAACTTGCAAAAGATGCTTTAACCCTTTCAGGGACAGCGGTCACTACAGACACAACTTATCATGTTACCAGGTTACAGGTTATCATTATTGGTGCATGAAAGAGTTAAAATAGCTCACTACGTGGAGATGAATGCTGCTGTCCTGTAATAGTAACAATAATACAACTTGAATGCACTGCAGACAGATGAGCTTGCAGGTTGTCAAGCAAAGTCTCTATCCCACAGCTGACGTTTCCTATCAAATAGGTCCTGTAGTACCAGAGTAGTGCTTTCAGTGAAATGAGTACTGCAACACAAAGAACGGCTTATATTTGACAAATACGGTTACAGATGCAGAACAATCAACATCTCTTTTCACTGAAAGACACAAAAGCTCGAAAACCATTCGGCCGTGTTCCTATTCTCGCCACGCTGATGTTGCGCTAATCAAGCGAAATCAACTGTTTTCGGGTTTTATATATATTCTTTCCGTAAAATATGAGAATCCTTAGAAAAATACGTCTTTGAATGCAGCATTGCAGTTTGAGAAAATAAAAATGCAAAAGAAGGTTACGTTGTTTTTGTATGATTTTTTTTCACTTAGTTTAAACATGTAGCTACTCTTAATTGTTTTGTTTTTCCAGAAGGGAGGCCAGAGCTTTAAATAGTCAGACAGAACAGTTGTTCTCTCTGTGTTGTTTCACCATATAGTAGAATGTATGTTTTGTCAACATAGGCTTTGAGAAAGGTTTGTGGATATCCTGAGAATAAGTCACCGGTTAGCAAAATAAATAATATATATATGACATAGAGAGTAAATATGGAGGATTTGGGGGTCAACCTGCAGAACCCAATATAAGACCTTTGAGGTCCTTTTTTTTCCCCTTATATTCCCAATTTTATTCTCTTTTCATTTTTTTTTTTTTTTGCCACATCCCTCTACTTCCCAACCAATACACAAGCACACTGTTGTATCCTCTCTCGCTCTCACTTGCCGTCTCTCTCATTTCTGGTCATCATCTATCATCTGAAACAGGGCCTGCAGCAGGCGGTCATCTCTATGCCTGTATGGCTTGGCGCTGTAGAAGCCATCGCTATAGTCACTGTAGACACTGTGCCCCGGGCCAGCGTACTTGTCGATCATGTCCAGAGCTTGGTACAGCTTCTGTGGGGGGATTCGCGTTGCCAGGAGGGAGGACCCCCTTCCAGGATGCTGCCTCCCCCCGGCTGTTGGGGGCTGCTGGACGGTGGGGCTTTGCCTGTTGAAGGCTGTCTGCAGGAGATGCAGCAAGGCCTGTGTGGGGGAGTATGGGGGCGTTGCTGGCTTTTGGGCTTTCTTGAGTGCGTCAGAAGCAGCTAAGGCTTGTGTTTTAGTCTTCATAGGTGGAGGGGCCCGAGTGGGTTCCTGCATCGCCAAACAGATGAAGAAGATGGAGTAACAGGTCAAAAATGCCCTCAAAAGGGTGCAAAAGAAATGAAGGACAAAATTCAAGTTATACTCGCTCGATTTTTTTAAAATGAAGCTTCAATTACTTTTGCATTTTTGCCTTTGGGTTCTCCTCTCTTAATGTGACATTTTGTTTTGATTACCATCTTAAGGTTAGTGTTAGATGATAACGTAGTATCGTGAAGATGGCAAACGGATGTTAAAACGTAGCAAATGCAACAGTGTTTATTCCACAATGTAATCTATTTCTCTATTTTTATTTGTCATTATTTGTCATTTTTTTTCAACTGTTATCAGGACTAAAATGTCTTGATAATTTTCCTGTTTTTTTTCTGAATTCCTTCTTTTGTTTTTTTTTGTTTTTTTTACTTGTGTCTCGTGACATTAATGAGAGAAAGCATCAGATGTGCTGCGGGAAATTAATCCAGTCTCACTTAGGTGATACAAAAAAATTATTTATTGACTCTAAATGATGTAGTTATTTGTCAGTTATTTATAGCGGTGCCATCTATCCGTAATTAACGTGTGGCTGTAACATTGGCAACATTTTTTTTTGTTTGGTGGTATGCCGTGAGAGTTTTTCGACAAAGTGTTAAGCTGTGTGTATTGGCATAATCAAATGTAATCAAATGAAATGTTATGTAATTTGTCAAGCAGTAATGCCACGGTTACGGTGAGTCTTAATTCAAAACACTACCCTCCACCAACAACAAAATGACTATCATGCTGCGTTTAAAACATTTTCATTCATCCGTCAAATTCAGTTATAAAAGATGCCTTTTTCAAATAACCCCAAGATCTAATTACCGTGTATTATTTGAACAAAGTCCTGCTATTTATTTATTCTTTCAATGAAACCCAATGACACTTCGGTTGCAACAAGTGGCAAGTGGTTGTTTAGCCTTCAACGTGCTCATGCTTACCACCATCATGTCATCCATATGTTCCACACCACGCCGGTCATTCTGCACAGCATTGTAGGGAATATACACTCGAGGCTTCTTTATGTGCTCCGGCTTCTCGGATGTTCCGTGGAGAATCAGCTTCCAGCTCAAGATCCGACCCTCATTCTCCATACGGCCCGACTGTTTCAACAAAAGAGGATTAAGCTCAGGAGGAATAGACCAAAACGCCAAACATCATTCCTTTGTCGGTTCTAATTTTCAAAAGGGACACATTATCTGGAGCATCTGTTTGGAGATCAATAATCGTAACATTTCTGCTGTTTTGAGCTGAGCAAGTTTCTTTGTAGATGGTTGCTAAGGGCTTCAGGCCATCACTCACGGTGTCAGTTATCTTGATGGTCCAAGTACCAGAAGGGTCTTCACCCCATGTGTGGACAGACATGAAATCCCAATTTCTAAAACCGTTGGAGGACGTGTCACGCTCACGCTCAGCGAGCAGCACTGTGCTGGTGCCTGTGGGGGGAGGGGGGAAACTTGGTCATTTCACACACATGGATTGTGTTCGCGTATATTTTTGTGTGTGTGTGTGTGTATCTGTGCACTTATCTCACCAGCTGGTGAGGTAAGTGTGATATGGAGATCGCCTCTCCTGGTGTATTCAATGCTCGCCTCCACCTGCACATGCTCCAGTGAGCCAATGGAGTTCTCCTGCCCCGCGCAGGCTTTAGTTGGAATCTCTATGGTGGTCTCCCCTGCTGCTTTCAAATTCCTGTGGGATGCATTAAAATAGCAGAGAACATTAGATGGAAAAAAAAACAACTCCATGGTGATAGAACGCTGTCATATCTGCTTGGTGGTTTACTAATGGGTTCTAATTTTGAACCGCAGTCTTCAAACAACAGCATTAGCAAACAATAAAAAAAAATACTGCACACACAGCTAATGAGGTGAGGGATGATGTTAAGATAGCAAACGGCTCCATGGTCAAGCCATCTGAACAATGTTGGGACGAGGGTGGGGGGGGGGGTATGGCAACGGGAAATGCATGAACATACTGCATGTATCTTGACTGCTGGGGTATTCTTTTTTTTTTTTTTTTTTAATGATAGAAAATTAGTGTCCTCTTTTCTAAAAGAGTTCAGAAATGTTTGAGAAACGTCGGCTGCAAAAATCTTGGTGTACAGCAGGAGTTGGGTATAAGACCACTAAGCATTGTCAGAAATTTGTAGTTGTTGCTATTGAGTCCGAGAATCCAAAAGGAATCAGGCACAAAGGAAATTCAATAAGGCATGTCAGATGTGGTCAGTTAAAGCAGCTGCGTGTTGATGGTATGACATAAACATTAATTTGCTTCAACAACAAAGGTCATTAGAACAGACTGCTTGAGTTGTGTCACTAATCCCCAAATAATTCAAAATGGAAAAAAATTTCTGTTAAAAAAAAACGGCAGAATGCTTCGTCTGTTGTATTCTTTTCGGCAGCTTTGCATTCTCTGCCAGGATTTAAATCATTTTTGGGAATTAGCAATTAGCATGACCTAGATTTTAATGATCGCAGATGTCATAGAAGCTTTCCAATTCATTTTCCATGGCACCAACAATGCTCTGCGGATTTAGTCTCATTGTTACTGCCGCCACTATCGTCAGTGAGCAACAGATGCGTCTTGACTAACACAGATGGTTTAAGAGATCTTTGTTTGACCCAAAACTCTTTTCGTTTGGGTCTTTGTGTGAGACACGTTCAAAGTCAGCTGAGTTTAGATACGAGTCACGCAATTCATAATCTTTACCTCCTGCTACAGAATCGTCGTTCACATCTCAAATACGGGTTGATCACAAGCCCGTGCTAACGCAGCAGTAAATTATGTTTACTGTAAATATTCTTATGGAAAATACGCTTCTCGGCCATGAGTATAAAATAATAAAACGGAAAAACAGAAAGTACTGCAATACCTGAGCATGCGCACTTGTGCGTGCTTGCGTGTTTGCTGCTGCTGCTCAAACCTCAAAATGTCAACATTTCGTAAAAAATATGTGTATGAAAACCTCTTAGCTTCTTAGCTAAGCAATAGGCCATGATCATAAATAAACAAGTCGGGGGTGGAAAAAAAGTACGGCTGTAACCGAGCGATGCTGCCTGCTGGTAGGAACCTTAAAAATGCAGTATGTCGTGACGATAAACTGATGACCCCTTGAGTTGGCAATATGCAACTGCACAGTCCTCAAAGATAAGATGACACCAAAATACCACAATAGAAATCTGTGCCATTTGAGTTTCAATTTTGGACATTTTTATTTCTTGAAAATAAAATCTGTGTTCTAAATTCAAGTTCAGATGGCGCAAATCTACTTCCATAGAGTCAGTCCAATTGGTTAGCTACTTCCTTGATACATTGACTTACCTGGGCTGGAAAGAGTCATCCCTCACAATGCATTGCTTTTTTTCTGGCACATGCTTCCACGTAGCAGGGTCAGCGAGGTCAACCAAGGCTTTGGCATTGAGAAGTCCAAAACCAAAGCGGCTGTTGACCATGAGACCCGCTCCATTCCTCTTCCAACCTGGATTATTGGCCAAGGGATCGAACTCTGACGTCCAGACCACAATGTGCTGCAGGTCTCTCCAGGTCAGATCTGGACTAGATATGGCGTGTGGAATATCAATGAATATGCATATATGAATATTAGTTCTCAATCATCTATCATTCGTAGGCTTGCCTACTTTTGTTCCAGTGCCAAGGCAAATATTCCCGCAGCTAGCGGTGCGGACGCAGACGTTCCGGTGTGAGTCTGAGTGCACTCATTGTGTAGATCAGCGCTGGTCTGAAAGGACGGTAGACAAACAAATGAAACTCAATTTTTTTTTTTAACGGAGCCCCTCATAATGTTAGAGGTGTGTCTCAATTGTAGCTGTTCGCATTACTCAGTACCCAAGGAATGGGTTGCCAACTTCCATTGCTCCATTTTAGGTACATTCACTGCCATTGAAGGCAAGAGTTTCATTCTTAAAAGCGTTTTCTACAGGTGTGAGCCAAATACAGGTTTGCCAATTGCCGGTACAGAGCGTAAAAGTACTCACAATCCTCTGGTCTGTGTAGTCTCCACTGCTGTACGCTGTAGCCAGTGTGGAGGAGCACTTTTCAGCGTACCACGGAGACAAGCCCTGCTGGGAGGCGCTGCTGATTGAGATAGTGTAGATGCTGTCTGTGTAGCCATCACAGTCACAGTTATCCCCCTGGCGGCCACCGTTACCTGATGCCCAAACAAAGATTGAGCCCTTCCCGCCTCGGCCCTGGAGAAAGGCACGAAGGACAGCAGTGAAGCAAGAAATGAGACGTTTGTTTTTGTGTCTGCCATGGATTATTTCTAATGCAGAGGAAAGATTTCATCCAAGGTATCCTGTCCTCTAAGTGAGGCGGCAAAGCATCTTGTCATTATTGATTGTGTTCTATTTGATTCCCACCAAGGGCGGATAACAGAGCCCTGAAGGAACCTCGGTGTGACATCTTGCCAGCTCAGTAAAAGCTGCCTAATGATTCACCTTCTGGATGCCGTATTCAAAGGCTTTTTGAGCCAGACGACCTGGACCCTCGACGGTTTTGCCATCGTCATTGGGTCCCCAACTAGCACTGTAGATGTCCACGTGCTCTGGATTGAAGCCGATCGAGCTGGCCTCGATGGCATCCGTCACAATCCCATCCAGCATACGAATGCCTGAGTGGAAGGAACCGAGAATGTGAAGCCGAATGAAAAGTAAGATCATTTTTGTAAGATGTTCTACATCCTAAGACGTAGGCAACAAGTGGTATTAAAAATCTGGTCTAAAAATATTGTCGACCCCCAAATCTCCCGATTTGTGGAAAATGTAAGACTCGCAATCAATTACTGTCAGCGTTCATCATTTTACATACATGCTCGGTAATGTCTCAATGAAAAAAGAAAAGCCTCTCACCTCCAACTTTGGAATTGAAGGCCACGCCAACGCCGCATTTATTGTTGTCTGCTTGCATGGCGATCTCACCGGCACATCTGGTCCCATGCCTGAGTGACAAGATCCTCATTATGTTGTGCAATTAAATGTGTTGTCGTTTTTTTTTTTTTTTTTTCGGGGACGGGGGAGGGGGAGGTCAAATGTTCCCGTCTAGATTCCAATCTAAATCTCCAGTCCAAGAGCTGTATCAAAACTTTCCACCTCCTCATGTGGAATATTGATTGATTCTAAAATTCCCTCATATAGAATCGTGGCAGATGTATACGGATCGGAAGTGATGCATGCAGAATAGCAGCGTCGCCAGCATACTTGTTTTCATTGGTGGCGTCGTATCTGGGGAACGGGTCGGCGTCGTTGTCATTGAAGTCATAGCTGGCTGCTGCATCCTTGAATAAAAATGACAGGCGATATCAGATTGTTAAAAGAAGTAAATCGAGAAGAAATCATTTGACGTTTCTCCTCAAACAGCGCAAAATTCAAATTGTATTTACTCGGTCACCATTAGCGCAGGTGTGAAAAAATCCGTCTAAATCAAAGCAAAAGTAGTCTTTGCTTCGCAAGGTGTCACCACCAGCGTTGCTGTGGAAACAGCAGAAGGAGACGACGGGGCGGTCTCCATGGTAACAACATCTTACATAGTTGGAGTAGATGTCTGTGTGATTCCATTCCAGTCCGTCATCCAGAACAGTGATGACCACCCCTCTGCCCGTGATGCCTTTCTGCCACACCGGGATGACGTGCAGGTCCAGCTTAGGCAGGGCCGACGACGTGCGTGTGTCTTGCTGCATGGGAGACAAGGACAAAAGTCAATGACTGCTTCTCCAGAACACAAAGCGCGTCGAAAAAGACTCTGTAAATGTTATCATGTGTCGTAAAAGGTTAGGCGATAAAAGCTTTTCAGCCAGTGGCAGTTATGGTCTTTCAAGACTGTAGTGTTGGATTTTTTTCTTTTTTGGCGTGGCTCAAGTCCACTCCCGTAGCCACTTGTTGGTGCGCTCTGAGGCTTTTGTGTTTTCCAGTACCTAATTAATTTAACGCTGAAGTGCGGGTCAACCTGCATAACTTTTCATTTGCCTTCTGTTTGTTCCCGCTAGATTATTTAGAAATCCGCCCCCAAAAGACTCTGATATTAAAAAAATTTGGGGACTCAAAAGAGTCTCTCTCGTTTACTCTCGTTCTCCTTGCGCGTGATGCACAGACGCTGCAGAATGCCACCGCAGGATGTGACTCATGCTTGTTGTGATGTATCGCATCTTTTCAACCCTCTTCTCAGCTCCTGAATTGCTTCTCTTTTAGAAACCTGATCCATTCTCTGATGTTGCATTTTTGTTTGGACCAACTATAGCAGAACCCCACTTCATGCAGGGATTTCTGATTTTTTAATACTGAGTGCTTGTTTTGTTGAAATTCCTTGTTGATGATCTGAACATGTTCAACAGCAGAAAGCAAAAACACACACACAGCAGACAGACACAGGCTCAGCCATGCGGGCAGGCAATGAGTCACAGCCTGATTAAATTTTCAGGCAAGGCATAATGGCATCTCACTCAAGTCTCCCCCTCGGTTGCTTTGCTGCGTTGCTCATCCCACTTCGTCACGCATGTAGCTCCGCCCACTCCAGAGGAAGCAAACATCGCATCTGCCAGCGTCACCATCCTCTGACCTGTCACTCCTTCATTCGTTCTCTTCGTCACCACTTTCCTTCACTCACGAATGTCCACGTTACAAGTGGAAATGGCTGTTGGTGTTGTTTTTGTGTCAGCTATTCTGCATGAAATGTATTTTCATGAATGACTCACAGTGCATTAAAGCGAGGAACCGATACATTAAGTGGCATTTTGAGTTAGTCATGCTACCTTGTTGTAGAAAAAAACAAAAGAGTTAAAAATGTTTTTTTCTTATTTTCCACAAATGTATGACTCATATTAGGTCACTGCAGGTCTGGAGAACCTGGCAGTTCAGTGGGCTCTCTTTACACCTTTCGGAAAGGCACTCACTGTGAAGCAGTACACATTTACGATAAATGTTCCCCAGCTAATGAGCTCAGTGGGTTGGTTTCTCCACGATGTGAGCCATTTAATAGCGAGTCGATCCAATCTGATACGCTGTTGATGCGCTGATCGCGGATTAACGTGAGTAAAGGCCTCATTCTGGACAACACCATCCAAAGTGGTCAAGCCATGGTCAGGATGGCCAAAGTAGTGAACATGTTGGTGATGGAAAACCCAGACGGGCGCACGTGGCTGTGAAAACCGACCGCTCTGTGTTCCAACTTGGCCTGAATGGGCCAAAAATCCCATTCAGGGGAAACTGGGAGGGGATTTAATGCATTGTGCTGTGCTCTGCTCCATCCTGTTGGATTATATTCTCTCCAGCTCATTCATCCCCACTCGGACAGCAGAACCAATTAAGCAAATGGATCTTTTGGCCACAATGCTTGTTTTATTCTTTTACGTGTTTGTTTGTTTGGTTGGGGTTTTTTTCGCTCCATCTTTCGTCTCCAATGTTAGCCAAGTGGGGAGAGAGCAGGTAGCATCATGCATTTATCTGCCCATGCAGCCTTTGAAAAGCTTCAGAACCAACTCTGGGGAAAACTGCGAAGCCATGAGCAAACAAAAAGGTTAACCAAACAACATGACCTGGCATATCAAGACGGATCGCAGGCGTCTTAAGCAGCAGAGCCTTCGACCACAGTATTCATGCAGAGACAAATTAACATCTCTCATGACAAACTCATGTGCCACAGTGACAGTGGTTGGGAATCACTGCTCTGTCAAGTCTTTCCTGGCAGACTCACCAGGTACCACTGCTGGTTCCACATGGGATCATCAAACAGCTTGTCTGCCGGGCAGTCCCTGCACTGCCCAATGGAAGCTCGCTTGCTGCGCCGTTTCTCATACTGCTGCTCTGCCCACAACACCTGCGGAAGAGGAGGTTACTCTGTGTCCAAGGTAGGACAGAATATATGTGCAAAGACTCGCCCAACTGAACATTCAAAGGCACTACTCACCCGATCATCCTCCGACAGCTGCCTGGTGACGTGCGTGGCGCTTCGCTTCATCCTGCGGGGATGTTTGCGATGTCTGAACAAGAAATGGTCCTTCAAGGCCCCAATCTGCACGGATCATATACAGTGAGGATGAATAATGATGGCAAACTATGCTTGTTGGTCTCTAGGATCAATTTGAGGCATCAGAGATTGAATTATTCTTGTCTCATCAGTTACAATTTTAACATTGTAATTCTATCCAAGACCGCAGCCCCAATACTTGCATGATATGAGAACCAAGATGATAAGGCTCTGTTGACTAGTGATGGGCGAGTATCGACACCAAGTATCGGTATTGGGCCGATACCAGCCTTATTTCAAGGCATCAAGAACTTGCGAAGAATGCCGATTGCCGTCACAGAAAAAAAATCTGACATCAAATAAGTCTTCCTTGCCAGTCGTTGGTGCTACACTGCTGCCGTTTGACACATAAGAGAGTTATCATATATTTGACAACGACAGAAAGGTCAAGTTCAGAATTATCTTGTCAGTGTGTTAATTTAAAATTGTATGTATCATAAACTTGGTATCGGGATTGTGAGTACTCAAATATGACTATTGGTGTCAGTCTGAAAAAAGTGGTATCAACCATCTCTAATTTAGATGAGCCAATATTTTAACAGTGTTATCAATGATTGTTGCTATTTACAGCTCTTTGGGACTGCATTGAAGAGTTTCCGTTCTCATGGTTACCTTTCTTTATTCGGTTCTACGTCATTAGTGCACACGACAGCCTGAATAATAAGGACGTTGTTTTACAAATGCATGATTGTGCCAATACAAGCTGGACATTTTTAGCCTTTGTGAAGACACCAATAAGCCATAATATTTACCTTTGATCTAGTATTTTTTTGTTTGTTTGTTTGTTTGTTTTGGGTCTCATTAAATTATTTGTGTGTACCTAATGTTGTGGCCAGTGATGTCTTACAAATAGTGCTGGAAATATCAATTCAGATGATGGCTGGATGGATGGATGGATGTTGTAGTGTACTGTTGGGCTACCATAAAAGCTATTATTTTTCCACTTAAACGCTCTAATCGGAGAAAGCAGAATTTTTACAAAGGTTATGAGATACTGACGCCTAATTAACGAGGGCGACTACAAAGATCTTCCATTGTAGTGATCACGAATCAAAATGAGAGTTTTGGTTTTAGGAAGTCCTTCAGGTGACCGGTGCCTACCTGTCGGACCAATTGGTAGTCCAGCTCCCGGGCGATCTCCGCCGCGGCATCCAGTCCACCCGGGATCTCGACGGCCCACTCGTTCAGATACTGTCTGTCCACGTAAGGCGAGCCCACGGAGCGTGGAATCACGGAAGAGAGGACGGCGAGAAAACAACACATCACCGCGGGACGACATCTCAATTCCATTTCAGAGGAAATTAAATCAGATGAGGGAGGTAAAAAAAAAAAAAATCACACAGCACAGGTTGGACGTTCTCGTAAAAACACCTAACTGGTAAATCTGTTCCGAGATTGGTGGTGATGTGCGATTTTTTTTTCCAATGCGCGTTTTTATCCCGTCAAGGAAACACTTAGTGATGGATCGAGAGTGCGCGTGCGTCTGGGTGTGCGCGTGTGCGTTCACGTCTGGGGGAGGGGTGTTCGATAACACGTCACGGTACAGATGCTATGACGTCAATCAGCTTCCACCTTCAGTGAAGTCTATTAGTTGGTGTCCCTCCAGACGTAGCGGGAGGTGAGCCTAAAAATATCCCAGAATGAGGAGCAGTGAAGAAAGAAGACATGTAGTAACATATAAATCAATCATGATCTGATGAGATTAATCTGAATTAAAGAAAAAACACGGATTCGTTTTTCTTTACGATCGTTGTACATGATGCGTTCACTTGCAACCGAAATCTGGATAAAGCTTTGAGATGTATTGGATTTCTTCTTCTTCTTCTTCTTCTTCTTCTTCTTCTTCTTCTTCTTCTTATTATTATTATTATTATTACTATTATTGTTATTCTTATTATAATTTGAACAGAGCAGGAATATCTGAAAATGCTTCATGATGAAGGTCTGCACTGTACCGAAAAGGCAACATAAGTAATAGCAAACAGCTGAGCTGTTGAGCTCAGCACAATCAAAAGGCCTGGACGAGCACAAGTTTGGGGAACGAAAGGAGCAGTATGACACAAACATGTACAACTGCTTGGCAGAGCAGTTTTTAAAATTGCAGAGGCACTGTGGTGATGTAGCAAATTCATGAAAACTCTTGTCTTTTTCCAAATAACCCCTTTTTCTAACGAACATTCAGCGGACAGCTCCACTTTGCTTTATTTGATGCGGAACAAATACCGTAAATGGCAGTCAATTCCAAATTTGTGCGATACATAACATGGAACCAATTTATGCTTTACCCAACAATATCTTTGGATCCATTTTTTTTCAAGTGGAAGAGGAAGTAAGCTCCACTAATAATGAGGATGCTGAGCTGGAGCTGTTGTCGGTATGGATGATCACACAGTGGAAGGTTGTCGCACAATAAAGGAGGGAGTCCATATCAGACAAGCTGTGTAGTGAGAGCAAACAAACATGGCTCAAAGGGCACAAAAAAACCCTCGTAATTGACATGTACAAAACAAGACAAAGGAGGGTGATGTGGTTCCAAAAGAGGGAGCTTCTCAATGATGCCGAATGGACTGTGTGCACATGAGAACATTAACCTCATCCAGTCAGTACTACATGCTTGTCAGTGTTATTCTTTAATTTTTTTGTTGTCTTTTATGTTTGCATGAGCTCCACTTTGTTGCATCTGCACCATAGAATGTGACAACAAAGGCTTTCCATCCTGTTTTGTGATGGTTCTAATGCTCTATGAATGAAGTTGATTGAGCATGTCAAAATTGGCCTCTCTTTTCACAGGCCTCCATGTACTGAGACACTACAAATGGCTCATGAAATGAGATGCGGTGCTTGGTTCGCTCCGCCGACACTTTAATAACTGGAGCAATGAACAAGTTAACGCATCATTTACGGTAACTTGACGTAATGTCAGCAGTCTGCCAGTACACTGTTAAAGAGTTTGACGCAATTGCTATGCGTTAGATTAGACTAGCTGCTGGAAGTTAGCACGCCTCCGTAGCCGAAATACGGAAATGATGCGTGCGTCGAGTCCATTAGATGTGTGAAGGCTCATACTGACTGATTAGCTCTGCTCATCTGGTGGTGAGCAAACACCTTAGCTCATGGTCAGCTATATAATCCACCTTTACCTAGCAACAGCTATTTGCTTTGAGAGGAGGCATTGCGAACACACACGCGCGCAAGCACGCACACACACACTGTTAGAAAGCCACAGAAAACAACAGCAAGATAGATACTGGCATTTGCAGCAGTATGTGGGCTTTTCATAGACCTATGTCTTCCTCATCGATTGCGGCATAATGTTTCTGTCAGATGAGAATGTGTGTGTGTGTGTGTGTGTGTGTGTGTGTGTGTGTGTGTGTGTGTGTTTCTTTCACAGTAATGGACTCAGATCACTCATGTGGGTTCCCCTTGACCATCCACAGAACAAAAACATCGGATGAGGTCAGGGGTGTGACTGCATTTTGCGCACTCAGTATGTTTTTTTTTCCAGTTCCGAGGTTGCTTATGGCTTGTGGATTGACGCACATGAAGCTGCAGGGCCCCTCGAGGAGTCAATTCAGTGAACTGTAAAGCACCCAAAATCAATTCAATGTGGTAAATGCGAGAAAAGACGTCATGTGCGCTTCCTGTGCCTTCTGCGTTTTTATGATCATCTTAGGTAAGAGTGAAGATTCTAAATTATCCCAACGATTGAATAATGTGCCCTGTGATTGTCTTGCAACCTGAAGGATCACAAACACCAAAGTGAATACTGGTGATGGAAGTATTTTGGTCATGCTGATAACTACGGAAGTTGAATGCATTTGCTAAGCACTGTAAATCTGCCGTGATGGGGAAAAGATGCAAAATTGAAACATTGGGTTCCATCTTCTTTTGTCAGCAAACTTGTACAATGTTGCACAAATGTCAAGTCCATCAGTTAATGGAGCGAAAATGTCATCCAGACTGGCATGTAGAGAGAGGAAATGGGACACTGATGTGACACAATGCATATGGTTATCAACAAGTATGAAGGTCAGGAAAGTGACGCTTTCAGTCTTGATGTCATGTACATCTGAACGTGGGGACCAACAGGATGTACCCATGAGGACTTTTATGTGTGTCATCGCAGCTCTTTTACGACACTGTAATATACTTATGCAGCTCCACATATGGTGTGCTGTATTATGTACAATAGACTGCATTCATTGTTTTAAGCAATATAAATCTGGTTGCCCTTTTTGTTGCTGATTCAGAAAATTACATCAATTTTCTTGAATAGGCTCGAGTTTATGAGATGCCAATATATTTGGCAATTACAGTAAATGGTTGAAAAGTGTTTGTGCTTTGATCTGATTGAAAATGTGTTGAGTGAACACGGGGTGTCATTTTCGGATTCAAGAACATCAAAATATCAAAATACCCTAAGTACTTTCTCGACACCCAAATGTGTGTCGACCAGTACTGCAATAATAGTAATAATAATACTGTAGTAATAATAAGAATAATAATGCTTTAGATTGAAGGTATTTATTTCATTCCACTAGAGGGCAGCATTGAATGACTACTGCAAGCGTCACCAATGGAAACACGATGACGTAACGATGACTCATCTTGTCCACTGGTTTGGGGCGTGCTATGTAAATACTTTGCTAGGGAAGGTTTTGAAAGGACATTGCTACACGATTAAGCATTCAGCTACTATTAAGAGCCCTCAGAGTGTTGGTAATTTGAGTAAGAGACGCATTGCTGTGGCTTTACAGATTATGTCGGGGAATTTGAAACAGCAATGTAAAAACAGTAGCACGATTCTCTTGATAGCATCCGAAACGTTGTTGCTTAACAATAATTAGCACATTCGAACTCTTATTACAAAAGTTTTTTCTTCCACTAGCATAACCTTAAAGTGTTTTGCTACAGTTTCGCGAGGGTGCTTTACAAAGTTTAATAAAGCCGATTTAGAGAAAGGAGAAAAAAGGGTGTTAGTGGGTGTGTCCACTAACATTGGTGTTGGTTTTTTTTTCCCTGTAGGAACAATGTGGTTTCAAATGGAATGAAATGGGCACTAGGTCGTCAAATTATACAAATTACCTTTATGTAGAAGGCAAAGGATGCCTTTTGTTGCACACATACACGGTCACATAGAAACAGAAGCATTCTGCATCTGACAAACATCTTTAAACCATCAAGTCTGACAAAAGTGATGCCAGCGGGAGGGGCAACTTTTTTTTCGGCTTCAAGGGACTCTCTTGCGTCCACTTTTTGTGTGTGAGAAGAAGTGAAACGGTTGATCCACTCAGTTGTTATCAAGATGCCACACAAGAGGAGAAACCACGACCATCGGAAGCACGCCGCGGCCACTAAGGAGGTGAGTAACAAAAATGTAAAACGACGCAAACGCTGTCTCTTCTTCAAGTGATGTGCGTTGTCGGGTGGTTTGTTTCGGCGACAACTCTTAACGTGTTTTCTGACGCAGTTTGTCATACTTGTTGAATAACTTGTGTCCGCAATCAAGCGAAGTTTCATTTCTGAGGAAAACAGAGATCCCGAAACATTGCCCAACTGAATTGTCCACGCATGCAACAGTGACAAAATGTGCAGCCTACTTCTTTGGAAGTACAGTAACAGTCCACTACCGGTACAGTGTGGTGATGAAAGGGGGGGGGGTGATACGGAAAGCACACTCACGCACACAGGTTGTTACTCGCCTATTGTTTCTCGGGAGGGGAAGAGGCTGCTGGAAAAGAATGATTTTGATGCGACTTGAGCAGTGATTCAGAAGGCAACAGCGCAGACAGCTTCGTGTGTTAATTGTCGACAGTGTGCTGGGAGTGGCACACACACACGTTTCGGAGTGGCATGATAAAGTCGGTGTAACGTAAGAAGAAGTCCACCAAGAAGTGCGTTCTCGTGTTGGGAAGACTGCTTAACTCCTGTTGTGTGTTTGGCCTCCTCCTTCCATCATGGCGTATGCAGCCTACTACAAGTTCCTTGTAAGTAGTTTGAAGCCACTTTCTTGCTTTACAAGCTGGACAGTAACACACTTCGTTCACTCGGTTCACAATAGCGTGAGGTTTCTGCAATGTTTGAATGTGAACTTGTTATCTGACATTGCGATCAAACTTAAGATTTGTGTCAATGATTTGATTGAGCACGCCAGGCTGTTTTTCTGAGGGCCTTCCTCAAGAAAGAGGTTTTAGCTGTTAGCGTCTTGCTAAGTCTATAATCAACTTACCAACAAACATACTCTTCGCACTTGTGTGTTTTTAGTAAGTGAGTCAGCCTGTGAAATAAATTCTTCTGACGTTAAATGAATAACTCAGGGAAACAATGCGTGGAAAACAGCATCCTGTAGAGTTCCCCCTGAATTCACTCCCTCACATTCTGTTGTCAAACAATAACAATGCAGGATATTTCTGGATTGATGGGATTCGGGGTGTTTCCTAAACTTGCCGAATTTCGGTTTTACAACCCCTTGTTGGAACATTTTTTGCAGCAGAAGTGAAAGTGTGGATATTTTGCAAAGAAAAAGCATAAAAATACCCAGTAGTGATAGCGTAATCATTTTAACTTGATAGGTTATAATATGGCCATTACACAATCTAGAAACATTGCACATGTAAATCAATTTGTCCTCCTAAAATGATTTTTTTTTATAATTCCAATGACGACTGTCGAAATATTGTTCATATACAGCGAACCCACATTTATCGTGAGGATACATTGTAGACCACCCCAGTAGGTGAAAATCCGTCATATGGAGAGGCCATAAAAAACATAGAAACATAAAAACTCGCGATGCACCGATACCGTAATGCAGATACTTCTTTACCAGCCTGACATACCTTCCGGGTAGAAGCCATGTCAGTCATATGGAGATAACTTTTTAATGAACTTATTATTATTTTGACACACAAAAGTAACATGGCATTAATCCAACTTGTTTACATCCACCGCACTGCATGTGCTTCTTCATCTCTTTTTAATGTAGTCCTTTTGCATTGTGTTCAGACTGTGACACCACATAATTGAATTGCCTTGTGCACTTAAAGGTTACTTTTATTTGAAATGAGGCGCAATACTGTGAGAGAAAAATTAAAATTGATCAGATGGAGGAGCATCTTCTTCCTCTTGCTTGTTATTACAGCGCTTCGCTCCCCATCGACCTCAGCTGACCTCATGTTGCGGGACAATGAACTGTGATATGAGACTCTTCTCTGTGTTTCATATCCATAACGCCAGTTTATCGACTGCGACAGTATTTACTTTCTACCTATTCATCCATCCCTTCATCCATCCATCTCTCTGTTTCAGGTCAGAAATGCGGACTCAATGAATCCTTAAGAGTGCGTGATGTTCAATCTGTTTGTGTCCCTCTGCTGCCGAAAACAATCACGTGTAAGGTCATCCTGATAACGCTACTTCCTCAAATCACTTCTGAAGTTTCTGGTTTTGTCTATATCCTTTTCATGAGGTGACCGCCATCATTATTTGATACCTTCTCAACTCAGGAGGCAGCGCTCACGAAACCTTTTTTTTGATTCGAGGTGAGCGAGGGTTCTGAAATTTTTATACATTGGAGGATAGCTGCGGGCGGCCCGGTGAACCAGTGGTGAGCGCGATGACCTCACAGTGCAGAGGTCGTGGGTTCGATCCCGGCTCCGGCCTCCCTGTGTGGAGTTTGCATGTTCTCCCTGGGCCTGTGTGGGTTTTCTCCGGGTACTTACATTCCAAAAACATGCATGGCAGGCTGATTGAACACTCTAAATTGTTCCTAGGTGTGAGTGTGAGCGCGGATGGTTGTTCGTCTCTGTGGGCCCTGCCATTGGCTGGCAACCGGTTCAGGGTGTCCTCCGCCTACTGCCCGAAGACGGCTGGGATAGGCTCCAGCACGCCCCGCGACCCTTGTGAGGATAAAGCGGTTCAGAAAATGGATGGCTGACTCATTCGGGATCCTCCCCCAAAAAATCTGGAAAACCGAAAAGGCGCAAAACGGTTTTACGCTAAATCTCCACAATTCAGTACTTTGCAGCAATCACGTTCAAACACCTACAAGCTATTGAGCAAAAAAATAAGTGTCTTCCGTGCCAACAGTTGCATCTCTTGTATCTTCCCATGCAATTCTGCTCTCATTCAGTCTTGACTGGAGCCTTATCATCGAGAGTTGAGGACACCGACTAATTACAGTGTTTGTATTGTTTCACATGGTGCATCAGCTAGTTTGACAGGCTGGGTGGCTTGGGACTTGACACCGCCGATAATGTCTGCATGACAGGGAGTGTGTCATGCACGGTATGGAGAAAGGAAGACAAATGGCTTGTAACGTGACATGTAATGTCATGTTCGCTTCATGCTTGCTTTTCTTTTTTTCTTCTTTTAAATGACACGAGTCAACACGCTTCTGTCTGGACGCACCGGCTGGATCAATATACTGCAATATTCAAAAACTTGATTCTGTATGCTGTATGTAATGCCATGGCAGGGTTTGTTTGATCATTTTGTGCCAAAATAACCGTTGGCGATGTTTCCACCAAAGTACAAGTTTTAGCCAGCCAGGGGGTTCATGTTCCCGCTACAAATCTGTCACAGGGTGCAAAGACACTCATATATATTTGACACCCATAAAACACGACGCTATAAATGGTGACAAGGTGGCCCTGGACCCGAGCCTTCGGTGACCAGTTGATGTTGTTGGCTGCACAAACAGGAGTAGCGAGTTTTAAAGGCCGTTATGGTGCGAGCAGCATACCGATTCTATCTGGCTGACTCACGCAAAAGCTGTATTGTGTGCACACTCCACCCAAGTACGGCCCGAAGAGGCACACCGCCGTGCGCGGAACACAGATAAGAATGCAGATTTTGCACTCACGGTAGTTTTCGGGTGATCATAAGAGCTTGAACATCCCTTGGTTTGCATGAGTATTAGTTTTTTCAAAAAAAAAAAAAAAAAAAAAAAGTGGGGTGTTTATCAGCTCTCAACCGCCCTCTATTTTAGCCGACGTGCTCGCTAAATTACGTTGACGATAGCCATTGAAGTAAAATAAGTGGCTTATTGGATGCACTTTTCACAAAATATTTCATGATTGAATTGGCCATTGGAATGTCACAATCGTGTGCTGTGAAAAGGACCAACTTGAATCTCAACATAACTTAACGTGCAGCGCACCCTGCATCATTTAATCATCATCGACATCATTTAACCCTTGCAGCAATAATGATAACCTGTAACCTGGAAACATGATCGTGACCGCTGTCGCTGAAAGGCCTTATTTAGTGACTCAACTCCCACTTTAAAGATGCTTTCCATCGGCCCATTTTGCTCTTTGCTAAATAAGTTGGTCAGATGAAAATAATTGTCATTAAAAAAACAAACTAGAGTATGTTGATTCTCTTTCCTTTATCTTGAGTTCGGCCGAAGTCGGCCAGGCTACAAAAACAAATGTAGTTCGTGTCAATGTGAACGATTGCATGCGGATTTAAAACCTCCAGCCTCCCTTTATTGTTGTCAGCGGGACGTTACGTAAGCTCCCTTTTATAACAGATAGTTGATTGACCCGTATGTGATCACGAAAACGGGTGTGTTTCACACATCTCGGATATAATCTTAGAGAATTTTCTCAGGCATTGTTGAAAAAAGATTTACTGCGCACGTCCATGTGCGTGGAGGCATGCGTATAATCTGCAAGGATGTGTGTGCGCGGCTCCGGTGACTCGACTCACTTCTCTTTTAATCCCAGGGAGTTCAAGGCCAGCCTCCTGTGACTCGTGCACATGCGAGCTTCCTCTCCCCCCACCCTCCGAGCTGTTGTCCTCCCCCACCACGCCCCTGCTCCTCGCTGCCCCCTCCCTTTTCCCTCCCTGCGTGTTGGAAACATGCTGCAAGCCGACAGACACGCCAGCGGTTGACAGACAACCATTAACACACATACACGCACACACACACATACACACACACACACACACGCACACACAGGGGCACCATTAGCCAACATGGGCCAGATACTGAGCTGGATCCGAGGTCCCCGAGAGACCCCGACCCTGCAGGATGTTGCCGTGGAGGAACAGGTGTGTGTTACTTTGCGTGAATGTGTGTGAGCGCCGGTGCCAGGAAATGTACTGGGCGACCTATTGAAAGTATCCACGTGTGTTTTGTTTTGTTGCCGTGAATCAGACTGTGAAGAGAAAGGCACAAAGCTTGCCCTTTTACCGCTCCAGTCGAAGAAACGCTGTCTTGGGGAGAAAAGTGTACTTGGCCCCGGTCCAAGATAGACCTCGCTCCCTGTTTGTGGAATGTGGAGTTCCTGGTCAGCCCTTGCAAGCTGAATGTGTGTGTTTTTTTTTTCCCAGCGGTCATATATTAAGCCAGTGGTGGGACAAGGCCTTCACTGTTTGCGTCCCGTTTGTTGAAGGCACACAAGCAGGCGTGTGTTTTGTTTTCTTCCATTCTGCACAGATTGTTGATAGTCAGGAAAAGGCTGCGAGTCCTCGGGAGAGTTTCTGTGTCTCGCCCAAATAGCATTCTCATGTGATAATGTGCTGCGATGGAGCAAGCTGGAATGGGTGTGTTGCCATGTCGGAGGCTTACATTTTCCTTGTCGTCTTTGTGCAACCTGAAAATGGTGACGGCAACCTGAGCGCGGTTGACTTTTATGATACTCGAATGAGTTGCGAAGGGATTATAGCGATTATATAACAGTCCCACTCTGGTTATTCCACTGTCAGTACTTTATTATCGGGTCCATGTTTGTTTACGTGCGACCGCCAGCCGGGAGCGTTCGGCATATTCACGGGAATGTTGTCGTGCTCAGATTCACTTCACAATTTCCACTGGCCCGGAAGCATTTTCATGACAAGGACAGGAAATGGCCTAAGGGAAAACATATCTGAACGGCACTTGCGCAGGCATCAGAACAAAGTCCACAGATAAGAGGAGCACAGAGCCATTAAAAGTTGACTACATTTTTTTTCTTTTTTTTTACCGTGTACTTTAGGGGTGTGAATCATAAAGTAACTCCCTGTACTTACATTACCCTTGATATGGATTGCATCACAATTGTGGTTGTAGAAGTTTGGCTCTTTCATTATTTTCATTACTTTTATGATTTCGTTATTTCATTTGGACTTTTGTTAGTTTTGGTTTGTTTTCAAAGAAAGGCTTTCATTTATTTATTAGTTTTTATTAGTGTGTTGTAGTTATCGAGTGCAAGATGGAAAAAAGGTCACCAAGTATTGTGTAAGAACCTCAGCTACAGTTCTGAGACCTTCCTCCTTCTGTAACTGTGGATACCGAAATGAATACATTTGAATTGAACCCTGCGAGCTCATGTATGATGTTAAGGAGCAAAAATGAAAAAAAAAAAGATTTTCGCTATCAAACTGTTAGTTTTTGTTAGTGTTATAAAAAGAAGTCGTTTCCGTTTTGGTTCAAAAGCAGCGGACTTTGTGAGGAAATCAGATCGTTTCCGTGTTTTCAGTCACTGCAGATCAGCTGGGCCGGTTCGCCTGTGCCATGTGCGGGTCGTGGACACCGAACATCATTTGTGTCATCAATAGCCTGCTAGTTGACGTTGGCTTATTTCAAATGTGCATGTTAGGTGAGGCAAAGCTCCAAATACGTAAAGAGGAATCTGCCGAATAGATAAAATTAGCATTCATGGATTGTGTAATGCAAAAGAGAATCGGCGCACATGCACCTTTTGTTGTTTTTTTTTTTTTTAATGGAGTAAATTATAATTAGCATTCATGGATTGTGTAATGCAAAAGAGAATCAGCGCACATGCACTTTTTTTTGTTGTTTTTTTTAATGGAGTAAATTATAGTGATTTACATTGAATGTGGTTGCGTATGATTGCACTGGACTCAACAAGACTTCAAGGTCACTCTGACTGCGGCTCGGAATATTGCTTGCATGCTTTTGCCTTGTCTGCCATCTGTTCACGTGCTTCACAAGGGCTGACCTGTTACCTGTCGATTTGAGTCTGCTCTTTTTCTTCCTCCTGTCTGTTTGCATCTGCCACGCTTGGGGTGAGGCAGCTGTTTGTTCTGATATGTAAGCCGAGGAACAAAAGGGGGGGGGTTGGGGCTAATTTTAGTGAAGGCCGAGCAAAGGACACCTAAAGCGGGAGGACATAGGATGCACGTAGAAACTGGAGCTTTGTTGCTCTATTAAATCATGCGCGAGAATGCTGTTTGGCCCTGTGACTGACAGTTGATATTACCCCCCCTCACACACACACACACACACACACACACACACCCTCCCAAATCAGCTGGGAAACGTCACCCTGAACAGGATGAACAGTATCAGGCTCGCAGTGAAGCGCAGACCCATGACAAAGTTGAACTGGACTGGCTGCGTTTGTTTGCCCGCTAATATTGTAGCAGGCCAGATGGAACCTTCTGGGGTGGTTGGAATAATTTTGTCAGGGCTCAAATGTCAAAAAGAAAAAAAAAATCATCTCACCAAAGTGGAAACATTATGCATGTCGTTTATATATTTCTTGTGCAATATATATATATATATATATATATACACACACACACACACTCGGTGAAACAAGATGGTGATTGTCTCTTTATTTATTTATTTGTTTGTTTGTTTGTTTGTTTGGACAAGAACTGGACCTTTAGTTGAAACAGAGAACATTTTAAAATCAGTATCAATTTTGGCCCCGAACCTTTCGGAAGTCTGCACGTGTCATGCTGAAAGACTTCTCCCCTCCCCCACCCCCACTCCAATCAGTGGAAGGAATGCTGCCCCTTTAAGCAAAAGGTGGTTCGTTTGAGGGTGTGCACACTTATGCAAATTACACATATGTTTCCATATTTCATATATTTTCCCCAGGGATATTCCAGTTGAAATCCACTCAACATATCGTCACGACTAATATCCTCCTCCTTTGTGTAACGTTTTTTCAGAATACCTTTTGACAGACTCATCGCATGAAGTCAAGAGATTGCCTTGCGAATATGCACACGCAACAACATTCAGGTCTTATTGTTGTTCTGGTGTTATGACTCCAGGACAACATCGACTCCTCAATATCTGAAGCGAAATGAATCGCTCAGCTGCGTCACGGTGTCTACAAAATGAAGGACTTAAGAGAAACCTGTCAAACCTGCTACGTATTTATCTTTCGATACTCTGTTAGAACTAACTTGGCGGGGCGAAAAAAAAACATTGTCCACCATTGTTAGATTTAATTTTTTAATGAATTATTTAAATGGACATGATCAAGAAATCGCCTTCGAGCTTTTTGATGGCCATTGTCGTCGTCCTTCCGAAGAAATGAATCCTCCCCCGTATTGTTTTGGTTCGGTGTGATGACATGATTGTTACTTTGTGATATTTTATTCAAATTCAGCTTTTGATGTTTCGCAGAATGCACGAGTGCCGTTCCCAGGTTGTCGCATTCGGTACCCGAGCACACCCAGTTGAGACGTGTGAATGGCTTGTGGCGATTTCGTGGGTCTCTTTGAAGAGATTGATGAGGTTTTACCAAGCCTTTCTCGGGCAATGGAAAACCGAAAAAAGAAAAGAAATAAATAACAGGTCTCACGCGGGCATGATGATATTGCATGTTGCTCTGCCAGCCAGCTGTTAGTGCAGTGTTTGGCTTGGCATGTTAAGGCAAGCACACTCACGTCGGCTATTCGCATTCCGTTCACATTGAGTTTGGTCTTCCCCACCGGAAATTTGCAGTGCCGTCCTTAAAAGTTATTTGGTGGCATGTATTTTGTCTGGCGTCCATTCCGAGCGAGTCACTGAAGCTTGTTGTTGGTGGGAAAGTTTTTTGTTTAGTTTTTTTTGTGTGCATTATCTAAACTATGGTTTCACTCCTGTAAAATGCGAGGCTCGCAGGCTCTGAGACTGAAAAAACCTTGGAAGATAACAAGCGTTCTACGGGCAGGGCCAGGGTCTGCTCTGGTTCATTATTTGACAACACAGATAAGTGTTGTCAGAGGTTACCAAGTAAGGCATTTGGATCCAGTGCAAGCACGCAGTGTTGTTGGCTTTCAGAGACACGCTCGCTCTTTGTGGCGGTCGAAAGCCGAACGAGACATTCGCTTATCTCATTCAGCGGGGAGAGTCGATTTGCTCTTCTCGGATCCCAAAACAAGCAACTATTCCCACCAGGAAGCTGATTTTTTCTCTCTTACTTCGGCTCGGTCCTTTTAAGGCGGGTTGGCTGTGAATAATTCAGACACTAGGGGGCGCCTGTTGTAGGTGAAGCGTTTTTCCCAAATTTCTTGTGCAATCCAAGCTATAATTTGTAACTGCCTGTTGGTGCCTTGTGTGTGTGTGTGTGTGTGTGTGTGCGTGCGTGCGTGCGTGCGTGCGTGCGATTGTGTGTCTTAGGTTAAGCCCAAGATTCATTCACTGGGCAAGTTGTGTGTGTGTGTGAAAGTGCACATTTATTTGATGAGTGAGTAGCACAGCTCAAAATGTCAGAAGTGCCAAAAGACTGTAAGATGTTGACTATTTATTTCTCATCAAGGCAAATAGATGAGTATTCACCTTTTTTTTTTTACACTAGTTAGTACAATAATGATATAAACAATACGTTGTATCACAACATTGCCACTTTTCACTATCCAGTCATTCAAAAAAAAACCCCAAAAAAAACTCCAAATGTGTTCTCGCGATAGCTAATGTTGTGGCCAGCGCAGGCACCCTGACGTCATGACCGATGTAGACAATGTGGTGCATTGTCAGCAGCGCTGACCCACATTTCATATCGAGTGTTTATCATGAAGCAGATATTAGCCCGAAAGTGTGAGATGACGGACGCGGCGAGCCGACAGCCGACTGTGCCTCTACATTCTTGTCACTTAAGTGCGGGTAGTATTATTAGACGGGGGAGGTGCTGTTCTCCTGGCAACCCCATCATGAGTCACTTAAGTAATTAAAAGGATTAACACTCAAGTGCAGGCAGTGCTGAGCCAGAGGAAGCCTGACATGCTATTTTTTTCTGCAGCGCCCTCTTACATCACATCTGACCCCTGACCCGAAGTTTCCTGTGCGCTGTTCTCAATACGCTTTTGAAGTTCTGCAAAAGCCACATGAAAACATGTCCGTTCATGATCCTGCATTCGATTCTTTGGAGTTTTTAAATGAACCTTTTTGTTCCCCCGCCGTGTTGCGTTTGGGTTGGGTCGGGGACAACATGTGATCCGATCCGCCTCGTCTCCTTTTTTCTTCTTTCCAACCACGCACACTCAAGTCTCTGCTGGGGCGGCTGTGCAGTCGAGATTCCAGAGCAGTGAGTCTATCAGGCACACCCAGATGCAGCCCGACTACGCGGGCCCAACTATGTCTTCTCTTCGCATAGCACGAGAACTCTCCCTCCATGTCGCCCATCGTGTCAGTTTAGTGAACTGCCATGTTCCTATTTATAAAGCGCCGCACATGGCCGCCATATAGCTTCCCCCCACCTCAAGTTGATTTATGTTTTTTTTTTTTTTCTGCGCAGGCAGCGACAAGTGGGCGGTTCTGTATTGGGCCGACCGTCCAATCTGACGAGCCTGCTCAGCTGGCTTCAGGGTGAAGGGGGAGGGCCCTGACGGAGACATGGCGGCTTGTTGTGCACTTCCTAAAGGGCGGAGCGGCAACTTGTGCTCGGCTGGGCGTGTGTTGTCAGACGCGTGTGTCTGTGTGGTGTGTGCGTCTGTGCGTGTGGGATATGTGCGTGAGCATGAATGTGGATTAATATTGTTTACCGCAGAGAGGATCTAAGGTGATTCAGCCCGAAGGGAACATCTTGGCCGCGCATACAACAAGTTCTGTAGAGGATAGTATCCCGAAAGCAAATCTATGGTATGTGCGTTTCTCTTTGGTAAATGTGCGCGTTTGGGTGCTTGGAAGGACTTCCTGGCTGCGACCTGTCAACGTGATTACGGCTCTCAATGTGGAGGCGTGTAATTTGCTGACAGGATCCTTTTATGCCGTGTGTTGAGCTGTCGGTGAAAAGTAGCCTTCGTGAACTTGTTGTCAAAGTAAACAACACGTCACGTTCTATTCATATCTCGCATGTGTCATCATGCTCAGACAGGCGGCGAAAATGACTGCATCGCCAAACATTATCGAAGGTGTGTCATTAGATTGTTCCGGGACTCATAGTTCTCGTATTTTAAAGCCAAACTATGAGTCTTCCCCTTCAATGGCGGGCAAGACGATCAACCCGCCCGTCCCCCAAGAGATCCGGTGGCGTTTGCTTCGTTCAGTGCGTGAGAAGAGGTGAGAGTAGTAGCAGGCCAACTCGGGGCTTTCTCGCCATGACCACATACCAGCTCGCAATGCCCTGAGCATCTGACAGTTCCTGGCCAAGAAGAACACGACTGTGCCGCAGCCCCCCCCCCCCCCCCCGTTCACCTGACCTGGCTCTGTGCTCTTCATCCTCAGCCGTTCAGGTTTGCGCCAGATTTGTAGATGCGTCATTTAAAGGCGCAAAAACAAGCGTCGCGATTCGTCATCGGGCTATTTTGGAGTGAGTTGAGGAGCTTCATTTTCACAACAGTAGTGCTTTGCAATTCAGAACTCTTTGCAATTCAAAGAAGGGCACAGTCCCTATTTCCTGTGATTGGCAGGGGTGGGGGGGGAGACACAATGTGCTGTTGCCTATGTGCGACTATTTTTTATGATTTTTTTTTTTTTAACTGGCTTTGCAAGAATCTTCCTGCCTGTCAAATGTGAGGCAGCGGTTCCCTGCCACTTAATTGGTGCAAAAATGATTACTCATAAATATCTTTGTTCATCAATGTGTGCTAGCGGCATGTAGTGAGAGGCAGTGCAATGAAATGCCTTCCGCTGGATGGCAGACAATGCAATAATCCTGCCCAACCATTGGTTGCCATTCATATGCATCCAGTAAATAATCACCTCCCATGCGTTTATCAGTTTGATGCTCACTAAACGGGCCCGGATTTGAGAGCAGTGACAAGCGCAAGAATCCACTGCATCCAATGTATTGATACTCCAGCACAGAGGCTGGCTGATCCCGCATCGTTAAGTGGCCTCCCTTCACTCTTCCCCTCGCTTTCCGCCTCTTTGCTCCCTTGCACCTTTAATCCCGTGATGATGCACGTCCCCCTCATTTCCCATCTTCTCCGAGCTGGACGCTCTATTTTAAAGCCGTCATAATAGCCCGAGAAGCAGCTGCTGCCATCTCAGTTCACATGTGTCAGTCTGTGAGGGGGCGGAGCCCGAGGTGAGTCATGGCTTTTTCAAAACAGGCTCCAGCTTCAAGTGCATAGTTGTATAAAGCCCGGGCCTACTGCATTGTTTGTGCACTGACCCCTTTTTCCACCTTGTTATGTTTTTGATAATGTAAGCTGACAGGTGATCTGTGCATCACACCCATCGAAACCGGAGCCGCGGTATTTATTTTTTTCCCCTTCCTCCCCTTGTTGGCATGAGAATTCCGTCATCTTTGTGATGTCACTGTTGAAGCCATTAGGTAGACACTCGTTCCTATTTTGGGCAAACACTAGCTCAGCCGTTCTGAGCGAAACGTCATGTTGATATCATGTCGGTTACTTCATTTAGCTGAATCGGGCACAGCGAAAATTGAAGGAATACTTGCCTGGGTGATGCACGTTTGCACACCATCGTGAGATTGTGACATGGGGTGTGTCGTTGTTTATATACGGTGCGATACACTTGATTCCATGGTTGCACCATGTGTCACTCAAATGACAAATTTGCGATTTAACTATCAAAATAAAATCAGACTAGCAGCTGCTAAATCGTCATAACCACTGCAACAGTTTTCATCCGCATCCAAGAGCTTTCAGCAACATTTTTCATTTTGGACAACGGTAAGGTTGCCCGTCGTGATGAGTTTGCTGCTCGCTTCATGGATGTTCTACTCAATGCAGCTGTGTCCGGTTTGTTGTTGTTGTTGCGATTTGTGTTGTGGTTGGTTTGACATTGTAGTTTGGCGACATTTCTTTTCCAGAGATGTGGAAAACCTTAATTGTCCTGTTCCAAGGGTTTCATTCTGTTTAACTTTATAGAGGCAGGAGTGAACTGTGTTATCGTTTGGGCCTGGTTGCGGGAAATGCTGCTTTGTGAACAATGTATTTATTTTATTTTTTTTGAGGTGTGGTCATAGATGGACAAGGAGTGAGGAATGTCTGGAATGCTGCAGGTGGGAGAGACGCGGCACACCAGGAAGCCTGCGTGAACGTTTTGAGTGCTTCCCAACTCAACATTTGTGTGATGAAACCTCAAACAACAAGCGATCGATCGTCCCACATTTTCCTACTTTTTTTGCCCAACCAATTTTACATTATCGATGAAAACAAATGGAATCTCCAATGGACCGCAAAAAGTGCATCTACCACTATCATCGCCTGTGATTTTACAAATTCCCCGCTGTTTCCTCCTGTGGTCGTGTTCACCGTACCAGAGCGTTTCCTTTCGATTCGTTTTGCCACTCAACATTCCCTCAAGTGTTTATTTCATCGTTTCTACCATCATAACAAGGAGTTGTCGAGTGCAAATGCTCTGAACTGTGAACTTGATGGTGCGCGATGTTTTGACTCAATCTTCTGTTTGCATCTATCGCAAGACTTTCAACGACTCAGGAAAGTTCAACATTTTGAATGTAGAAAGGTTAACATCAAGGCAACGCGTGTTTGGAAACCTCTTGATGGGTACACTGCGCTTTGTACGACCGAAAGGCAAATGAGTCACCAAATCCTGTTGGGCAACTTCCTTTACATTTGAATGGCACAAATACGAGTTGCATTCGCTACAAAATTGTGTGATCTGGATCATGGCTTGACATTACACCCTCAGTCCCTCAATCCCGTTGTAGGCCCACCGCTTACCGAGCAACAATTTCTACGATTCTCACCAATAGGTGATGCCCTATTTGGATTAATCGAACCTACACACAAATTAACACGTCCTGACGAATAACATTTACGCACCAAATATCCGCTCAAGGGACTCGTAATGGGATTTGTTTTTCTTCAAGATTGACTCATCATAATGAAAATAACCCAGCCTGTTGAATCTCGTCGCACACCGAAGTTTGCTCAGCATATTTTGGGGGGTAGCTTAGCAACAATATTATTTACTGCAATTACCAGAACCGCGTGACCAACCATGTGGCAGGGCGATGCTCTGGGTGCTGGGTGAACTCACTTCATTTTTGTCTTGCTTCTCTATCAACAGCTTTGGCTCTCGTCATATCCAGTCGAAAAGGGACAAACAGTATCCTGCCACGTTTTGTTTGTGGCTGTTGTTGAGGCAGAGTGAGTGAGGGCAACACATGTGATTTGTCGGCTTTGACCGAGCTTGTGACCCACTTTGTGTTACATACAACACCAGTCTGTGAGGCAATCGCTGACATTGCCGGCGAAATCAACTCTGTCAAGTACCAACTGAGCCCCCCTGAAATGTCTGTAACGTTGCGAAGGAAAGATTCGTTCATGGTTCCAAATGTGTTGACGTTTAGCCCAGGGGTCGGCAACCCAAAATGTTGAAAGAGCCATATTGGCCCAAAAAAAACAAAAAACAAATATGTCTGGAGCCACAAATAAATTAAAAGCAGAAATCGTTAAAACATTTTCAAATCAATCAAAGAACTTTAAAATCAATCCTGAAACACATTAGGGAGCCAGTGCAGTGATTTTAAAAATAAATGTCGTGCTCCCGCATCCTGGACATGTGCTGCCAAATTCTGTAGCAATTGTAAACTTGAGATCCCCTTTTTAGGAAGACCAAAAAGCAGGATGTTATCATCAGTCGGATTCGTAATATAAAAGCATGCATTCGCGTGTCCGTGTTGGCCAGAGAGTGAAAATGGCCGACTTTGCCGTTATTCTTCTGGTGATTAAAAAAATGTGATATTGAAGAACCAAGAGTGTGTATTGGGGTCTTTATTTTCATCTTAAGTTTCAGGATCTTAGGTTTCGTGCTGTTTGTGAGTGTGTTTTCTTTTTCCCCTGTATGCGTAACTTATCTCTGTGCACGCTTCTGTGTGTGTCTTTGCAGTCGCAGCCCAGCCAGGCCACGCCCAAACCAGCAGCTCAGGTCTCCACCGTGACGCCTTCTCAGTTTGAGGTAACCAAACATCCTCTCGAATAAGCACAAAAATCTGATCTCAAATCACTTTCTCCATTTGCTATTCTCCCATTGGCTCTAAGGGGGATTGTTGTCAAGGTGACCTCTGATCCCGCTGTTATGTGGACCGCTTGGTATTGTTGTGGCCTTCCTCTTCCGGTGCCAGGTGTTTTGATTGCGATGTCTGAAGTTGAAAAAGGGAAACCGTTTAGCCTGCAGGATCAAATGTCCCTTATTGTGGCATTTGAGCATGTGAAGGTCTTGGAAGAGTCAACCCCCTCAGAAAGGCTGCTTATCAAATTAATACATTTTTAAAAGTCCGCCTCAAATCCAGAGCTTAGATAAGCTAATATATTAGAAACCGTCTAGTTCAACATATTTACTTGCATTCACAAGTATGTGGTTTATAGATTAGTTTGCTGACGGATTGGCTCAACGTGTTTTTGCAGCACTTCAATCTTGTTTTGGTTCGTGGAAGGTCCACTTCCTGTGCGTCTAGTCTTTGTATTTCTAGTCCTGTTTTACTTGGGTCTTGAGGTTGAAGCCATTAGGGAGTCTTATTATTAGGCCGGGACCTTTGCGTCCTTCTTTAATGCCTCCTCAGGTCACCTGACAACTGCCTGTCACAGTCAATACCATATGTATATTCTCTATGCCATAATTAGCTCGATAAACCTAGAATTCTACAGTGACCAATAGATACGATGGTTTGGGTTGAACCGATGAGTTGACGTGTTGACTTTATTGCTCCTCAACGACCGCTAGCTTGCGGTCGATTAATCAGCCACTACACGTTCACTTGCTTTAATATACAAATATAACAAAATCACAGGTGCTATGAGCGCTAATGCTAGCCGGTGAGCAATCAGGAAGCTGTAAATGAGGGCAGATGATGGACATCTTCACTCCTGGTGCTTTTCAGAAGGCGTCATCAGGCTCCAACATGGCTACAAAGCCTGGGGGAGTTACCACAACAAAAGGCGGCACCGCAGGAAGTACTTCTATCACGACAGCGGGACAAGGGGTTCCTCGAGCTAAACCCCAGGTAGACTGACAGCGGGTGATGACGGGTCAAAAGGAAGGGCTTGGCTTCAGCGTGACAGGAACTTCCCGCTTCCTTTTTTGTGCTCTTGCTCACTCCTCCGGATGCCGTTGACGGGCTTCTTCTTTTCACGCGTGTTGCCTCGGCGAGCTCCGCATCACGGCCCTTCACCTGCGTCGCCGTCTTTGCTTACAGCACATCACTCACTGCTCTGTCTTGGGCTTTTGGGGATCGGAGGCTTAGCCGCAAGCTTTTGATCCGCTTGTACAAATAACCTCACGGCGTACATTAAACACTTGCTCCTTGGTTTGTAGACTAACACCAAGCCCACTGTTATTGACATGTCGTCTGCTGGGTCGACTGTTGTCAACATGACATTGTCTGGGGCGAGCGGCAGTCCCCAAATGATGTCGAAGGTAACTGTTGGGTGATGCACGGTTGCTTTTTGTTGCCTTATGCATCATGTGTTTTTGACAGAACATTTCTTGTATCAATTTTGGATCTTTTGACTGAATTTATGATGTGTGTTTTGAAGTCATTGGTATGGTTTGATTTATAGACGTCACCTGTCTCCACTCTAAAGTCTTCTACTGCCGCTACCGGAACAGCGGCGGCCACAGCAGCAGCTAATGTTGCCGTGTCGTCATCTAAAGGCTCCCCAAAAGACATGGCCAAGGTACATTTGAGCAAGAAACATGAAGTAAATGTTTTTGCTTTCGCAGGCTACATTAAATGATGTGGTGGGCCGTATCGAAGCTTGACAGTTGTGCTATGTGGCACAAAATAGCAGTAGTTTGGGTTCGTTGTTGGGGTTTTGCTGTCGATGCTGGACTTCAGTTTTTTTGGGGTCTGTTAGCTCAACCATGCATGTGCTTGTTGTATTTACCAGGAATTCACCTCCGACTCCTTGCATCACCAACAAGACGACACAACTTTTTTTTTTTGGGGGGTGGGGGGGGCACTGGCAGCATTAAACCACAGTATTGATGAGTTGGTGGAAGCTTTCTCAAAAACAAGTCGTTCCATGACAAACCAATACTGATTAAATCTGATTGGCCGGTGGAATAAATGTGAACAGGAAGTACATAATTTTTTGCTTCGTCAGAGATAAACAGATCAAAATCTTTTGGCACATATTAGCTGGGCGGGAATGCAGTGCCCTAGCGCCATCTATGGATGAGCTGCCACTGCTAAATTGTCCATAGGTGTCAATGGCTGTGATTGATGGATGGATTAATTTTTTTTCCAGTGTGTTGGAATCGTTTCTGTCTTGCATGTCTCATGTTGTGAAGTTCTACGCATTGATGTCGATTCTTCGTTGCAGGTGCAAGTGCAAGTACGTCCCACTCCCGAAACAATCGGGCCCAAAGAGGTAAACGAGCATTTCTCCGCTCCGGAAAGCATGTTGGTGTGTAGCTTTGCTCCCGCCCCGTGTGCTCAATTGCGCGGCATGTGCAGACACCTGAAATCGATCCCTTTGACGCCTTGGCCAGTATCCTTCCACCAGTTGATCCGGTCACTCCTAAACAACCGATATTCACTGGGCCCGAGGTCAAAGAGGTACGCCGTGTTTCCGTCAACGGATCCGATGTGTAATTGCACTGACGCGCAGCATGGCCGTGGCGTGAGTTAACCTGTGCGTCGCATGTGTCACAGCGTGACGCCACAGCCGAGAAGGCTCCCAAGTGTGGAGAAAGAGATGACACGCTGCCTCCCGATTACAGATTTGAAAATATGGTCAGTTCTCTGTCAAGAACAATGCTCGTAGCTTAAACTGGCCGCATGACTCGTCTGTTTCATTCTGTTTTGGATTATGTTGTGAATAAACCACACGGTTTCTTAACTAGAAAAAGAACGACTTTAAAACAGAGTTTGGGTTGTTCCTGTTTCCATCAGCTGATGATGCAACTTTTTTTTTTCCTCACTGAATACCATTATCATTTTTAGGCTCCGCCTCCTGCAGACGCCATACCTAAGGATGTTCCTGTAAGTGGCTACCATTTTTTTTTTAAAGAATATTTTTAGTGCAGTTAAAAGAGACACTGAAGCACACTCGCGTGAGGAATGTTGCATAGCAGTGCCGTGTGTCGACTTTGCAAGCCATACAGGAACCACCACCTTCCTGACTGGATCTTGTTGGCTCTTTTCTGACAACCACATCCAAAAAAAAGTATTAAAACACAGCTTCTAATCCATAAATTAATCAGTCAGGGGTTGACCTCGACTCCTCCCCTCCATCTGCATTGCAATTCCTCAACAAAGTGCATATTTTCTTCTATTTTCCGAAACTCCTTTATAGAGTGGAGTGTTTTCTTCACATTTGCATACTGACATACGCTAAATGTACAAGTTCACCCATCACGTCATTCCTTCACTCTTTCCTACTGGTCATCATGGACTCATTTTGAAATTTAGCACACGCCCACTTTGTCATTCTGTGTTGCAAGGCACTCTTTTTTTTCTCTCCCATGATCTTCCCCACTTATTTTCTTTCTCCTGTGTGACTTTGGTGACTTTAGGCTTTGGTGTTTTGAATGCTGCGCGCGTGTGAAACAGTCTTATGTTACATGTGTCATTTCAGGTAGTTTATCTGATACTGCTTTGCCTCTTGATGGAATTTCATGGGTGTGTCTGTATTTTTCCTTCACTTGTGATCCCTGTGTGTGGTTTGAAGTTATTTTATTTTGTTTGTGTGTGTGGTCAGAAACGCCCCCTAGTGGTGAATTTAAAAACCCTTAGGGTCATTCTTCTAAGCAGACTTTTAACTTTTGTCGTTGGAAGAAAATGGTGACACTCTGCATTTCTCCTCAGAAACCACTCAGCACCGACGAGGCCCTGGAGTCGCTTTCAGCGGGTTTCATGACATCAACTGTTCCAACTGCACCCAAAATGCACCAGGTCAGAGTCCACATCTACTAGCATTGCACTCCGTCACGTTGAACATCCAAGTACTTAGCTCAGCAAGTTATAGGAAACATATTACAAATCAAATATATATATATTTTCATAATTCCAAACAGTTCCTTGGTGTCTTAACCCTTTCATGCACCAAAAATGATAACCCGTAACCTGATATCATGATAAGCTGTCCACTGTAGTAACCGCTGTCCCTGAAACGGTTGATAACATATCGGTGCCATGCTTTTGTCAAAATATCCCCAAGGATCAACAATTACAGCCCACATAAAAGTGACTTTTAATACCTTTGTAAAATCACTTGGTTTCGAGGGGGCGGTCCTGTCTTATGCAAATGAGCTAGAGATGTTATTTGGAAAATATGCAGGTAACAAAAGATTTACTGGGTTGTTTTGATTTCACACTTTAAGGATCCAACTATTTGTACACAAGATATTAAAAGTCAATTTTGCAGTCACTTTCATAGTACGGTAGAATGAATACACCTCTTGGCATCTCCATCTATGAAACTCCATCTCCAGAGCAGTGTGTACATTTAAGTTGTTTTGGATGTGTAACGCGGTATTATATTTTGTAACCCTCAGCAAAAAGACACCACCGATGCCTCATCTGCTGCCCCTTGTTACGTTGCACCACCGCTTGTGAAGGTAGAGAAAGATGTTCCGATTCATTATTTGCATCACTTGTTTTGTGTCTCGCCACGCATCTTCATTTCCTCCTGTCGGTGGTGTTTTGCAGAAAGTTGACATCCCTGCACCGGCTCCTTACGTAGCAGCTCAGCCTCCAGCTGACAAAAAAGCCAAGATGGAAGTTGATAACTTCTCGTTGGAAGCTTTAATTCCCCCTGCCCAATTCCAGGTACAAAAGCAATAAAGTAACTCATAGTGCCACTGTGATACACTCTAAGATGGATATTAAATTCGATTTTCTGCTCCCCAAAAACAATAATAATAATAATAATAATGTCATGTACTTCTCCGCTTCAGTGAAAAAAATAAAACTAAAGTCAGGCTGTAAATCTGAACAGTTGTATATGGTGGCCACTGCTGTTCCACTCCATTCCTGTCGGTGGCAGGAAATGCATTACAAAATGGATTGCTGACTTCCAAACTAAAGAAGGAGATAAAGCTCCTGTTGTTTTGCTCATAGGCCACCATTTCATGTTTGTTTGTTTTCACGTGAAATCGTCTCAAAGTCATGTATGCAACTGTTGTGAATGTGTTACCTTTTGTTTTCTGTTTTGTAGAAAACAGTGTGCGTGGGTCCTCCCCCTACTGAAAAGGAAACCCTTGCGGAAAAAGCTTCTTCTGATTTTTCTCTGAAAGCTGAACTGGACACAAAGCCCAAGACGGATGAGGTCAGTGGCCTTTCAGTGACTTTCCCTGCACCCATTTTTCGCTACATAGTGCTAATTAGCTAACTTTATCGCCACCGGACAGTTTTATGTGGCTCACTTTTAAACTGTAACATTTGACCCAGTTTATTGATCCGTGGCACTTTTGTATTTTACACTGTTAGACCAGCAAACCAGAATGGTAACGTGATCTTGTTTTACACATTACCTACTCTGCTTGAAATCTGGGCCTGTTTAGTTGAACACAAAGCTGATACTTTATGAATGGCAACAGAGGTTGGAAGAGCATTTCACTGTTCTGCGTGTCACCACCATATGCCGTGATATAGATTATTGTAGTAGATTATTCGAGTATTTGAAGTAAATGAATACAAATTTTCAGCCCAAGTACCGACCGGTAAGAGAAACTGGATAATTTCCCACGGCAGACCTGATGACCTCTTACAATACCGATACATTAATGTTCACAGTGGACGGGAATCCGTGTTGTCGCGCTATTACTTTCTAGTTTCAAACCACGTGCCTTGTCTCTCACCTCAGGGTGGCTCGATGTCTCTGGGTGCTCTCAGTGCTCTTGGAGACATGCTGGCAGCACCAGAACCCAAACCAGAACCCAAACTTAGACCGGAGGACATGGTCTCGGTAGGTGTCAATGTCACACAAGCGTCCAGGCTGTATCCGAACCACACACAGCACCTTCTCAGAATACCAAATTCCATATTCACCTTGTAGGAGAATAAACATAAGGAGGAAGACGCCGTGCGTGTCGGAGAGAGGGAGGATTCAATTGCACCGGAGTACAGGTTTAATGAAGAGGAACTCAAGAAACTGCCTGCTCCCAAACCTCAGGTGCGACCGCATGACATTTAGGCTCCAAGGCCCGAGGGACAGGCGACATGGCCTTCACATAAAATTTCCGATTTTTTTTTTGTTTTTGAACAAAAATTATTTATGATTTCATCAAATGTGCAATTGTGTGCATTTCAGTACAAAATCTTTTTAGCATTTAGCCTATGTTTTACAATACATTTTTAATATGTTTATATTTTTATTATTATATTATTTAAATAATTATTTTATAATTACATTTATTTATGTACTTGTTGTCTTTGACTTCCTCCCTTTCATAATTTTGCTGCCGTAAATTGGGAATTTCTCCATTGTGAGACAAATAAAGGTTTTCTTATCTTATCTTTTTAAACCTCTTTGCAGTATGTTTCAACGACATTGCCAAGTCACAAACGTCGCTGCTTTTGAAAACGGGCTCCGCTCCAATTCTGCGATGTTGTTCACAAGTGCACATCGGCAGGGGGATGTCTTGAACAAAGGAAAAAGCAAAAAGAAACCATTTCAAAAGTCATTTGGACAAAAAATAAAAAATAAAAAAGAAAGCATCGCCTTCCCCAGCCAAGCATGAATAACAACAACAACAACAGTTCTAATTTATTTTTTTCCAAACTGTACATCACGCAGCCCACCTTGAACACTAATGAGGCACTGGATCTTCTCTCCGACGACTTCTTGACCTCCTCAACTGCTCCTGCACAGGTTCATTGCACATATTGGACAGACAGCAGTCGACGCAATAGGTCAAGCGATGCCTAACACGGTGTTTGTTTTCTACCGTCGTAGAAAGCCGAGGTCCCTGCGTTTGTTCCAACTGTCTCTGTGTGTCCTGCTCCACCCAAGCCTTCTCAGGTGAAAATTCGCACTTTTTTTTTTTTCCCCCTTCCATAATGTTGCACATACTGTAAATTCCTGCTCCAAATTGTTTCCCCGGGGCGGTTTAATGATTCGCTCAATAGCACTTTGAACTCGCCGACTGCCAGTTACGACGTGTACATTTTGGGGTTCTGAACCCTCTGATCCAAAGTCCTTACAAATGAGCTCCCGCCGCTCCATCAAGTTCTTCATAAAACTATCCGAGTTTCATCTCTTGTTCTTTCCACAGGGTGGCGCCATGCCTCTGGATGCACTCAGCGCTTTGAGTGACACTCTACCGGTGGATGCACCAAAACCAGAACCCCCCAAGCTCAGACCCGAAGAGATCATCTCTGTAGGATTCCCGACAGATCGCATCTTTTCCAGTGGTCACACGCGACACACTTCACTGACGTTGATTCCTTTTACGATAGGAGAAAAAACATAAGGAGGAGGAGGCCGTGCGGGTAGGAGAGAGGGAGGACTCAATTGCACCCGAGTACAGGTTCAATGAGGAGGAGCTTAAAAAATTACCTCCTCCCAAACCTCAGGTGAGACAGCGTCAACGGCATTTTTCAGGGTTTAAAAATGATGACTAGTGTGCTATAATACAAAAAAAAATTTTTTTCAAACATAATGTGTTCTTTATTCTTCTTGACGTGTATAAAAGTGTGTTGCAACTTTGCAACAAAAGCAAAATGCAGGTGCCATGGTGACAATTTTATTTTATGTTTGAAGCCACACGAATCTTTGAAGCCTTGATGTCATGCGGGAAGATGTTTCAGATTCTTTTTTTCCTTTGCGCTTCTTGCAGCCCACCTTGAATACGAATGAGGCTTTAGATCTTTTGTCTGGAGACTTCGCAAGCTCCTCAGCCGCCCCAGCACAGGTAAACAATTGGCGGCATCATGTACAGATGACTATTTTGTTTATTTATTTATTATTATTATTTTCTTGATGACGGTCTCGTTCTGCTTATGAAGCAGCATATGTTCATAAGCATATGCTTTTTCTACCGTGGATGAGAGGACATGATATCCACGATTTCCAAAAACAATTTGACCTGTGGACTCGTCAGACCACAGCACACCGCCGGGGGCGTTTCTGGGTGTTTTGGATGTATGGCTTTTGATTTGCATTGTTGAGTTTTCAATTTGATTTGTAGACGTGGTGACAGACTCTGTTAACTGACCGTGGTTTTCTGAAGTTTTCCTATTTTTTGATCATGATCCGATTTTGATGGTTGTCTATTTCGTCAAAAAGTGGCCATTTGTGTTTCCAGACCAAAAAAACGTTGTCCGCTCAAGATCTTCTGACTTCAACCAAATCGTCCGCTGTTCACGCACCTCTTCCTCCTTTGACCAGAAAGGCACCCCAGGTAAAACCCGCAAATCATTTTGTGAGTCTTTGTCCCCTCTTGAGTCTTCAGTTCAGTAGTCCTAAACTCTTTGTCTTTTATTTCCGCAGGTATCGGACTGCCCTCCAGTGTTGGCGCCACCAGCAAAGCCCGAGACCGATGAAGTAATCTCGAACATCACCTCGCTTACAACGGCGATCGCAAGAACTATCCTGAAGTTCCAGTCTTGTCTCCTCAGGGTGACTCCATGTCGCTGGATGCTCTCAGCGCTCTTGGTGACACATTGGCAGCACCGGAACCAAGACCAGAACCCCCCAAACTTAGACCCGAGGACATTGTGTTGGTAAGAAATGCAAACCTGGGCTTACTACACAGAATGAATCCAATGAATCATTTTGGGCTAACAAAGTTGTTGTCACTGTACTAATCGAGGCCATATTTTTTTAATAGGAGGATAAACACAAGGAGGAAGACGCAGTGCTTGTTGGAGAGAGGGAAGACTCAATTGCACCCGAGTACAGATTTAATGAGGAGGAGCTTAAAAAACTGCCCGCTCCCAAACCTCAGGTAAGACCTGATGAGAATCACTTGTGAGTGTTTGTTGGCGGCGATTGTTTTGGGTTTCCGCTTGGATCCCGACGATGACGATTCACTTTCTCTAATTCTAATTGGGCTCAAAGTCTAATTCTCGCACCGTTTCTACCCACAGCCCAAGATGAATACCAGTGAGGCCCTGGACCTTCTGTCTGGAGACTTCGCCACCTCCTCTGCCGCTCCTGCTGTCCACGCTCCCGTGGTCTCCTCCTCCGCCGCTCCTGCGCAGGTACGCTGTGTTCTGTTGTTGACAGTGACATTGGAATGGTGGTCTGCTACATTAGTTAGGCGCTGCGTGATTTCAATCAATGCATAAATGCATCAAGAAAGCAAATCCTCGTGAAGGACTATGATAAAAACGTCCTTACTTGAAGCCTCTCTCCCGCAGTCCTCTGCAGACTTTGCTCTGGATGCCTTAGCGGGAGACTTTGTTTCATCCTCTGCTGCCCCCACAGTGAAATCTGCTGCTTGTGTCCCCACAGAAACTGCCTCAGAGGTAACAACAACACACAAAAAAAGCCTGAACTACTTGTAAATTGCTTCATGTCGTCAGATTCCGATTTATAATGTAACGATTTGTTATTGCGCCCGTTTTCTAGACGCAGTTTTCTCCAGGAGCAGACAGCGCCCTGGATGCTCTTTCAGAAACTCTCGTCACGGAAATTACACCCGCCCCTCAGCCAGCCCCCATTCCTGCCAAAGACCTTGTCAAGGTGGGCACCGATAAAAAAAAACACTCGTAGAATTAGGGTTGTAACTGCTTAAATCAAGAGATTTGATCCAAGTCAGGATAAGGGGGGAAACAAACGTGATGATATAGAAACATGCGCTTCATATTAAATTGCTTTACGGATTTAGATTCCTATTCTTTCTTAAAGGTTGTCATTTTTATTTTAGTATTATTTTTATAGTTGCGTCACTGTCTGGATCGATACAACACTTTTGGAAGAATACTTACCCGTCATTAAAACAAAACAAACAAAAAAAAAGAAGCAGATCGTTGTATCAAAAACTGTAAGGCAAGTAGCACATGGATAAACCTGCAACGTCACGTTCAAAGTGCTCATCGGAAGTGTCATTTCTTTTTATCCTCGTGTGTGTTTGGTGTGCAGGAGAAGAAGGCCGTTGAAGAGAGGCTCATTAAAATGGGAGAGAGAGACGACACCCTTCCGCCCGAGTACAGACCCACCGAGGAGGATCTTAAGGTAACGGACGCCATCAAATAACGCTGCATTTATTCAAACATTTCCTCAACGTCATGCGAATGTCATCAAATGTTCTTTTTCAAGAATATGGCCGAGGCGAAGGCGAACGCGGGCGCCACACCGAAGACGGTGAGTCTCTCGCACGATACAACGATCACGCGTGTGGCGTGCCTATTGAAATTTCACGTTCTATTCCTCGGCTCCCCTGTTGAAGTTGATGGACGATAAGACGGCCTTGGACTTGCTGTCCAGTGACTTCAACACATCGGTCTCATCGTCTGCTGCCGCCACCGCAGTGGTGACGCCTTCCGCGCTTGACTCGGAGGCCCTCAAGGTAACGCCAAATTCAATTGCGTGAAAACAACAATTGCGCTCGTAAAATGGGATTACCCTGAGCAAAATTATTATGATATGCTGTCAAAGTAAATATCTTTGTCTGGATTTGTCCTCACTGGAACGTAATGGGACATGACGCAAATGTTAGCCATGTTAAGGTGCATATTTTACATTAAAGCTCACAGCACCCCACAAACAAAAATGTCACAAAAAATAAATATTCTGACCCCCCCACCCCCCTGTGATCTCATCTTAACTCACTCAGTATTTTACCGAGTGTGAAATCTGAGCCCGTTTCACTCCACCCAAAGCTGTTCCACTGTTGACATCTGGCTGTGAAGTTCATTGTAAATTCTGCCATCTAGTGGAAGAACATGTCATTGTTGTGCCAGTCGCCATGCCATACCAGGGGTGTCAAACTCATTTTTGTCTCGGGCCACTTCGGAGTTACATGATTTGCTTTTGCGGGCCACGTAAAATGACGTGGCGGGCCAGGTCTGGCCCCCAAGCCTTGAGTTTGGCACCTGTGCCATAGACTGACAAAGATGCAGTCGCAAATGATTTACAATTCTTACAATGTCTGGATTTTTCTGTATTTGGGGGTTTCTCTCATTTTCGAGGCCCTGTTCAGTCAGAGCGCGTTTGTGTTTGCTGTGATTTGACAGTGAATGCAGACATCGTTCAATATTCGTAGACATTTCAATCATGTCTTTGTTTTCTGCAGCAGCCCATGCCCCGTCCCGTTCCGGAGACACTGGCTGACACCCTCCTTCCAGATGACCCAGCATTCAAGGCGAAGGCGGGCACAGCCAAGGTAAATAAACAGAAATAAGTTTACCGGTATGTGAGGTTTAAAACACACAATTTATTAGACATCCTGTTAATGAGTTAAAACCACAACCCATGAAAGAAGCTCGTGACGCCCCCTCCTGAGGTCGCTTGACATGACTTAGATGTCAACTTTGTTACCTACAGAGCAAGAGCAAGTCAAAGTCAAAATCTAAAGTAAGCAACGTTCCTGCTGCATGGTGATGTGCGCTACAATGCACACAATTCCTCTTTGTCAGCCTGTTTTTGTGCTTGACACCGCCGCACACAAGCTGCATGTACGCTTCACCTTATCCAAATGCACTGAAAGCCTGTTTGATGATCGTATGAAGAAGGTTCCCATTAGTATCACTTTTTTTTTTTTTTTTTTTTTTTAACTGACCCTTGTGTTCCAGAAACAACATGCATCGGAGCCTCCTGCCGACAAGCAGCTCTCCGGCCAACAAAGCTCAGACGTCGTACCGACATCTGCACAGAAGGGAAGGAAGAGCTAGACGACCGGCTGTCAGGTTGGTGTTGACCTGCGTTTCGTAAGAATCAAAAGAGCAAGAATCAAATCATGAAATCGATACATGTTTTGTGTTGCGGGTGCAGTTTGGACCTCCGGAGGCCTTTGAGGAAGCACTGGTGGTGGACCCTCGTCTCTGCATTGAGATTGTACTTTATTAAATCATCCAGGATGTACACAAGAATTTAACGACAATGTACACACACACACACACACACTCGCACACACCCACACTATTTACAAGCATGACTTTTCTGCTTGGTTTCCACTTGTACTCAAAGATGAGGAGCTTTCGGTTTCTGCTTGTACTGTAGCAAGACATGCTGGAGGGGAAAAAAACAAAACAAAAAAAAAAACTTATGCGTTTGCTGGTCAATGTGGATAAGAATGTTGTCCATGTCTTGGTTTCGTTCTCCTGCGCTACACTGGTTAACACAACGGCCGTGTGAACTAGCTGACTGTTGGCTTACACGAGCAGTGGGGAGCGAGTGTATAGTATTTCGATGTTGTGCAATGCTTGATGCAAATCCAATTTGTTTTCCGATCACCATGTGCTCAAGTGCCATGAAGACGCTTTGTTCGCCTATATTTTTCGACAATACATAGAAACAGGCAGAGGAGGCTTCATTCCGTGCAAATGTCATTTTGAGAAATAGCTGTAGGGTCTCTGGTATATATTTTGTAAAATAAAGTACTGGCGTCCACAATTGCACTTTGTAAACCAAGGCGGTGTTTAAAACAAACTGTAAAAAAAAAAAAAGATTTTAGTCTATACAAGAAAACACTGTGTGACTTACAAAGGGCTTTGATACGTTAAGTAGATGTAAAGACATTTATTTTCTTCCTCTGTTTTTTGATCGGGTGTCCATCAAGAGAGGTAAACTATTTTCAATAGCCATCCATTTTCTAATGGGAATATTCATTACATCTAATAATCAGTAAATGTGTAGTTCATACACCGCTTGTGCCTAAAAAGAATTAAAAACAAACTACAAACTGTCAGCGAGGCAAAGTACTGCAAAGAACATCTTTGGTGACTTTTTTTTCTGAAAGGTGCAAGGGATCCGTGTGAGTGTATGTGTGTGTGCGTGCGTGCGCGCGCCAAACCTTCACAGGAACAAAAACTCCTGACTTGGTGGTTTTTCATGCTGCAAAAAGGTAGAGCAGCCCACTTCCTGTTCACTTCGGGGGGCTTCAACGCATCTATTTTGATAAAACCATTGAATGTTTTATATATATATATATATATATATATATATATATATATATATTTAGAGATAAAATATTTTCGCCAAGATCATGAATGACTGATGGTGCAAATGAGTGGGTTTGTTGAAATTATTAAATAAATTTACAAGACAATGAACATAAATAAAGACGAATAATTAATTGAAATTCAAATGAGTGCTCTTTTCATTTTTCATAGTACTCATTTGGGAATTCTAATATAATGTGCGCGTAGCGCACAAATGAGTGCTTCTGTTGAGTTAAAAATCCAAATGACAAAAACATGCATCGATACAAACGGCTCATTTAAAATGTCTAAATGCTCTTTGATTTTGAATCCGACCATCGCAAATGTAAGAATTCTAAAATTCTGTGCACTTAGATTAAAAACACACGAGTAATAACCTAGACTGAAAAAAAAAATTACCAAAAAAATGCAAGTAAAAATTACTTACCAATTGGATATTTGTAAATCAAAAACAATAAACTTACAAAAAACAGTAATAATCTCCAATGTAAATCATTTTTCTCACAGTACTACTCCGTCCAAAATTATGAACATTTTATTCGAGAAACATACAAACAAAAATGAAAAAAACAATTTCAAAACTTGACTACGATCACTGGCTAAACATTCACCTGAATCCCAAAATATTTTTTGGCACTATACATGTTGAACATTCATTAATAGGCCTACAACTCACTACGTTTACCGCAACATATTGAGTCCAAAAAATAAAAACTAATTCAGTTGATTCATTGCAAAAAAAAAAAAAAAAAAGAAATGGGAACGTCTCATCGCCGCTAAAACTGAGCTACACTGAAGGGAGTTGTCAAAAGGGAGCTGTTGAGTACTTCAGTGACATTTTGGGAAATAAATAAAGTCAGCACGATAGAACGTTCACAGATGTGCACAATGATCAAGTGTGCTGCTGCTGCTGCTGCTGCTGCTGCTGTTGTTTTCCAGGAGCCGTTTTCTTCAGCAGCCTGGGAACGACAGAAAAGTTTATTGATATGAAGAGGTTCTATTCAGTACTTTCAAGTACTAATAACTGTTTTTCAACTTAATTTTATCCTTTTTGTCATGACAGCTTTAAGTCATTCAAATTTCAGAAGCGGTATTGAAAATATATTTTAGAATCTTCTTAATTCCTAATTATCATCTGAAGGAGCTATTCAATTTGATAATGACATTGAGTATTTGGTGGATGAATTACACCAAAGTATTGTGTGTTATTATTTCACAGCATATTAATTAATATTCCTGTTTAGTCCAAATATGAACAGTACGCAATTTCAGCATCATAATGCCATGTTCGGAGGACTTAAACCAATGACCTCAGTCTGTCTTAAGTTGTGGGCCACAGTTTAAAATATTACAATTATTACATAATTGTTTATTACATTTAAAAAAAACAACAACATACCTCTTTTTATAATGATGTGGGCACCTGCGTGTCCTCATGCCTCCAGAAAAAAAGAAAAAAATATTTAAACTGAAATAAGGTGAATATATTTCCAAATGTGTTAAGGAATAGAGCCAAAATTAAAATGGGATGCGATAGCCTCCTTGAGGACTGCCTCTTAGGTTTTTGACATATTCAAAAGGGACTTACGATTGCAGTACACTACGATAATGAGGATGAGCAGAAGCAGAAGGCCACAAATGCCCGCTAGTGGAATCAGTATGATGGGATTACATAATATGAACTCATCTGATGGAAAAAAAAAAGATCATTAATGATTATTGATTATTCCGTCCCTGTATTCATTCACACAGGATTGCAAGGTAGGACTCACAAGAGTGACATTACCAACGTACCTTGCATAGTCACGTTCTCACATGAACAGGGTAAGGCGCTTGTGGATGGATTGTATGTGACTGGGGGGGCCGCAGCTTCATCTACAAAAAAAAAAAAAGTTTTATATCACGAAACGGTGTCCCGACATTATCAATTAAATCATTTTAACGTGATTAAAAAACAAACAAAAAAAATCTTACCTCCCACCAATCGTGTGATGTCACCAAAATGCAATTCGTTGCTTCTCATAGACGCGCAACTGTAAATGCCGCTGTCACGACCTTTGTTGAAGGACTTTATAATGAGGACGTTGTCGCGGATTCTCATGTCACTGAAGGTGGATGTGAAGGAGTCACTTTGTGACTTCACCATGCCATTGGTCGAGAAAGTTGCCAGGAATTCAATGCCGGATTTGTTCAGTACTCGAAACCACACAATTATGGCGGTAACCTCAGAGGGCCTGCAATTCAATTCAACCTTCAGCCCTTCTTTGATTTTCTGCACTGTAACAGCTCCTCCACTTAACTCTGGAAGACAAAACAAACGCGGGAATTGTCTCTCACCTCATTCACATGGCAGTAAGCATATTTTCAAGTCACATTTAAGGAACTTACTGCTGCAAAACAAGAGGGCTGCCAGGAGGCGAATCCACTGTCGATCCATTTTACGGTGCAGAACGGCTGAGAATGTGTTGGTGATGTTCGGAGGGAGTCTGCTTATGACAGAGGAAGTGCGATCCACGCCCCTCCTGGGGTGTCAAACGACCTCACTGCAGCACGTTGCATCGAGGTCGCGCTCCACATAATGCTTGAGGAGGAGCTCACTGATCTGCACGTCACCCCTCTTTATGACTTGATCACCATCCAGATCATTTGAATCGGGTACAATGTTGGACGGAAACATCTAAAACCTGCCGGATAGGGGGCCCTCGAGGAATGGAATTGGTGACTCCCCCCGGCTCTAAAATTTAAATCAATAAGAACCTTTCACAAATACGATTGCTTAGCTTCACGTTCAAAGTGGAGTTTTGCTAGCAAGATTTGAACGTGGCCTCGTTGAATGCAGCCCTCGAGTCTTGATGATGAAAGTCATGCGTGTCACTCGCCCGCGCAAGCGGAATCCTCAAGCATGGCCGTTCATCATGGCGTGCTGTTTATGAGAGCGTGCACTCATGATAAATAGTCACAGAGAATGCATATGGAGCTTTGAAAAAAAATAAAAATACAAAAAATGGCGGTCCTAGCAAGATAGCGCTGTAAACAGGCCGCCGTTAGCCACGACTATGATGATGATCGTATGACTTAATCGTAATGGTGTGTTTTTAATCAAACAAAATTTGGGTTTGAAGCTTGATTTTTTTGGGGGAGTGCGGGGGAACTAAAAAAAAAAAAAAACTCCTGGGCAAAATGAGAAATCTTGAGAAGGGGCCGCAGAAAGGGAGAATCTCCCTTCGAGGATGACCAGGCCGCAATGGCTGCCGAATGATTCTTCCAAATAGCAGTTTCTTGCACTTCAAATAACAGGCGGAAGATGGCGCCAGATTAGTTTTACTCATTTGCCAATGTCACATCAAACTGAGTTTTTACAATGGTTGGCATTTAACGTTAAATATTTTATTTACAAAAAAAAAAAAAGTGGATGATACATGTTGACCGAAACCCTTGTAAATGCATTGTAAAATATTATGAACCGATTAAGTTACTATCAGATTAATTTTTTTAAAAAATTATTCAACGTATTTTAGTGATTACGACATGCTTTAAAACTGAATTCAAATTATAACGTCTGCAGGTAATGAAGCAGACCAGTCAACACGTTTAATATTTATAATTTACTATGAACGCATTTCTGTGCAGACACACGCAAACCTCAGTGCTTCTTTGCGATTGAACACATCTGTAAAATACAGTGGCGCCGGAGAACCAGATGGAAATTTCCATTCCTGTTTCGCATGTATCTTCTCAAACACATGCCCCATTTCCTCTTCATTGATGAAAAGTAAAATATGGTACAACAGTTAAAAATACAATACAATACACTACATGCTGATTTATATAGCGCTTTCACAACAGCTGCAGCTGTAACAAAGCGCTTAACAAAACAGTTAACAGGAAGTAAAATAATAAACACAACACATAACATAAAACACGAACGTAAAGTAAAATAATGAACACAACACTTAACATAAAACACGGATAGTCGTGCAGTCCTAACTTGACTATCGTTCAAGAATAGATGGAGCCTTCCGAAAATGGACACCATGTCGACGTTGGATAGTTATAAAAACAAAGAGAGCGTGGTGGCTATCTGTTGGAAACGCACGCTGTGGACCTACGCTAGATGCCTGCCTTTCATGCATACATTTGAACGTTGACATAATCAGGACTACGTTTTATGTAAATGAAGGAAGATGAATCTAGATCCTAAAGCTACTGGACTCTTCTGTGATCCCGTTAATAAACAAAAGTTCTTGGAAGACAAATAACCTAAACCTATTATAATCAGACCACGTAAAACGTAAAACTCATCTGAGATCGGCTGTTTGTAAAGTCACGATCAGCAGCAACCAACATGTCACGTAACTCAAAAGTTGTTTTAATGTCGCAGGTTGCACTCCTGTGGTCTCAGGTGCCTAACCTCGAGCTCAGCCGAGGCCTAAAAACCCAGCTTCCATAATACCTTTAAACATCAAAGCGAACTGAAAGAATTACGCACGGCAGCCTGAATTATTTAGGCGACATTTGAACAAAGGAATTGGCTCAAAATGTGTAGTTATTTTATTTTTTGCAAATGCATGTTGTTTTTCACGTATTTTAGTACAGCACTTGGAAATAATTAGCATTTGTGATCCGAATCAGATTGGTCATTTGGGACACATTATTTGCTTTTTGTTTTAATGTGATCGAGCTAGGCCAGGTTTAATTTACAACAGTCTAATTCCTGTGAAATAAAGATCTTCAAAGATGTGTGTGTGTGTGTGTGTGTGTGTGTGTGTGTGTGTGTGTGTGTGTGTGTGTGTGTGTGTGTGTGTGTGTGTGTGTGGTGGTGGTCTCTTCGGCGAGAGGATGTGGGCCGCCCTTGAAGACAGGGAACGACAGCACATGATTCTATGAAAACAGGAGATCTTCTTGATGAGCTTCAGTTACGCGTCACTCCATGATGATGATGTTCTAATTTCAATCTTTGTCATCGCAGTGCCAAACGAAATGAGGGGACAGGGGGGTTAAATCAGCATTTGTCGAGACGCTGCTTTCACCTAATTGCAGTTCATTTAAGCAACTGTTCTGCTGCTGAACATTTTAATTAGGTCTAACTTTTTTCATGCACATTTTATAATTTGTACCGAGGCAGTTTTAAAACTTGTGATCAGCCGTTTTCTTGTGCATTGACAACTACGTATCGTTTATCATTGACAGCTGTTTGTTTTCCATTAGATTCGTGCATGCTTTGCTTCCTCCTGAATTTGTACACAAGACTCGCAGTAAAGAAATACGAACAGAAACATGAGATCATTTAATCCGCTTCAGCTAAAACATTTAGGTTTAAGGTGAAACGACACGCACACACATCCACGCAGCTCTGTTGTCTTCGCTTTTGTTATAAAGAAAAAAAAACGTTTACTATTCAAGCATACTTTAATTTTATTATTTTTTACGTAATATAATCCCACAGGGGGAAATCCAAATGGTACTCCAAAGTATACGTCGTGTTGCATGCCACACATCGAAACACATCACTCGCGTGCAGGCATGCAAGGAGATTCGGAATGAGATGCGCACACATCCTTGCGCCGCTCGAGCTGGGAGGACAGTGAAGATCGCTTGCTCGAGGCCACCTCGACAGTAGCCGGCAAAGAGACGAGCATTTCTCCAACAACTAGCGAGCGTTTTCATGACATTTAAAGATCGCCATTCCACCGTGAGACACATATGAGCTTGTTTACAAGGGTAGGCCAGCTGCAAGTTTGCCTCTGAAAAAAACCCTCAAGAGAGACGAAATGACTCAACTTTCAACATGTGGCCTCCCCAACCCAATAGCGCCTACCGCAGGCTGCTAAGGGCATTACAAGACCTGATCGACACATTGGTTTTGCCACATTATTTATTTTCAATTGTCTTGAAAATTACTTGGAACATTCATACCAGTAATAACTGAAAGTGCAAGTTGATAAAATGTCATTTTGTATGAGGGTGACAAAAGTAGCTTATAAGGGCATCAATAGAAGAATAAATTAATTGGAGCTCAAACCTCGCTAACCAGCTAGCATAAATTGCTAATAGTTTTTTTTTAGACAGATTGTTTTTTTAATTAACTAGATCTCTGCAGTTCAAATTATAGAGGTGAGTAGTTTTTCTCTTAAATTATGTTAATGCGTTAACAGCCAAGAATGGAATCATCCCACAACTTCTCCTCCTCTGTCCTGTTGTCCATGATCTCCTTTGATCTTTTCTTCTCTTTTCTACATTTCACACTGGCGTGGTCTTCCTGTCTGTCACTCTGCTTGACAACATTTTCATCGGTTTCTTCTCGAGTCTCCATCGTGTCTGTCGGCACGACGCTGCCCTTCACCTGATCTTCTTCCGCCACTTGTTTCCTTACTTGCCGTCTCTGCTTGCTGGGATGTTTGCGCTTTTTTCTTCCCTCGTCCCCCGACTCCCCAACATCATTTCTCCTCCTCTCCTCTGAGTAATCATCTCTTGTTCTCTTCTGTTGCTTGCGCCTCGCCTTGTCCGAGCTTGCAGCTCCTGATCGTCTGCCTCTTTCCCTCCTGGATCTTTTGGTCCTCCTCCTCTCTCTTTGCCCGCGTTCACCTGCATCGCTGTCACTTGCTCCACTGCTAAAGGAAGAGGAATACGAGGAGGAGGAAGAGGATGAGGTAGAATACGAGGAGGAGCTGGAGCACTTTCTTCGTCTCTTCAGAGGTCGAGCAGCGGATTCCAGCGAAGGCCTTAAGTGGGGGAAAGATGGAGGACCATCGCATTCCCAACCCCTGGACGGCCAGGGAGGGCCCATGTACGGAGGTTGGAAACCTTCTACACCAAAGTGAGGGACACGGTAGCGAGGGTAGGGGTCATACGTGGGAGAAAAGTTGGCCAGAGTCTGGTTTTGTTGAGCCTCGTGCCCCTTTTGTACATCCACTACTTCTTCTGATTGATCATCTTCGTTTTGCGCTTCATTCTTCGATAGATTGGTGCCAATCTTGGGCGTGAGTCCGCGAGCTTTCTGGACTTGGATGTAATGCGCAAGCTCATCGGCAAACGTGCTGTAGGATTTCTGTCGGGTTTTGCACAGTTTGAAGACCTTCCTCTCCCTGGTGAACAAACAGAAGGATGGTTGCGAACTTGGTAAACAGGGGCGGTGTACCCAATGGATGCTTGTGGATATTCTCGTTCATCCAAGTCATGTTATTTTGGATGCAAAATGTTGGATCATTACAATTGAATTGACAAAGGCATACATTGGGAAAGGAGAAAAGCAGTAAATGTGGTACAGTAAGTCTCATGAATTGTATAGCAAGCTTACCTTGCATGGTGCTTGTTCCCCTGCATATGGGCTTGGTACATCTCAACGGAGTTCAATTGCAAATTACATATGGCGCACGTCAGAGGGTTTTCTGCAGAAAACAAATGAGGTGGGAATGAAGGAAGTAGAAAAAAAATGCAACCATCTAGGTTCAGTCTGATCCCATTTCAAATGAAATATTTGGATTTCGATTCCTGCAGTGTGTGCGTTTGTGTTCATCCTGCTTTGCGCCGCGTTACCTTCTTGAACATCTGCAAGCTCTTTCAACATCTCCTGTCTGGCCTTCTTCCTTTGGTGCTTGCGGCCGTTGTAGTGCTGCAGCGCCATTTGGGGATTATTGAAGGAGGCCGCACACAAGACGCAGTACTTGTTTGGATCTGAACTGGCAGTATTTGGATTCGATGCTGGGTCTGTAACATCCCCTGATCCCGACACGTGGTCCTTGGTAGCACAGTCCACCAGAGGTCTGGGTAAAGTACTGACCACTGCGTTATTCGCTGTTAGGTCGGAAAAGGAATCAATTCAACTTCAATGGCAGTTGCCCTTTTCAAATATCACAGTGCGCCACTGCTCCGAAATATTTCGCCTTTCCTCTCATGTACACGTACCTGCGTTTTGAGGACTTTGCTTCCTGAGATTCTTCATGTGGACTTTGCCGTCGTAATGTGACTTTGCTACCACGGGAGAAGTAAACACCATGTTGCACAGCTCACAGAAACGGTCCTTGTCAGACGGCATGCGGTGCTGCGAAATTAGAAGAGAACATCAGCTTCTGTCGCACATCCTCTTAATTATGCTTCCGCTGATGTATGTAAGACCTTTCTGTTATCATATAGTTGGGCAGTGAATATTACAGGGCCAATAAAAATAGCAGTTCCCCAAGACGGATGACATTATACCGCTGAAATATAAAACAAGCGCTAACCAGCAGTCCAGCAGACTCTGTATGCCTCAGTTCATCCCTCTTGTTTTGCAGGTAGAGTTTCAACTTCTGGGCATGTTTTTTTCCCTGCAAATGAGTGGTAAGAGATAATATAATGAGGTCTCACAGGCCGTGATTCAATGCGCGTTGGAAAAGAAATGTCCCAAACCTCATAATGTGACAGCCGCTGCGCCTCAAATAACAGCACGGCTTCACACACATGGCAATGCTGGTCAGTGAGGAGACCTTTCAGGAGTTCCTCATCACTCACATTGGCTGAATGGCAAACAAAAAACAAAAATACGCTTGAAGAACAACAACGTGAAGAGACTGCATGCTCATGCATAAGAGAAAAAGTGATTCAATTCCACTTGATTCATCACTGCACTAATGCAAATAATAGAACATACCTTTGGGCTCCATTTGATTCCAAAAGTGAAACCGTAAACTTCGAGAGATCCTCGATTATTATTCTTAATGTGGTATCAGTGGTGGGTGGGCTCCCTCTAGTGGTAAGTGGAAGTATCACTTAATTAAATGTTCAAACTGCGCATGTTTCAGTGACTTAAACATGTTTTTAATCCAACATGGCATATTTGTTAAATTCCGTTTGGTTGTATTTCCCTTTATAGTACAATATTTGATCTTATAGAACTGGTTGTTTTTTTAACATTGATTTTGAAACAATTTGTATCAAATAGCTACTATGTTTTAATTACATTTTTTTAGGGGGGATCATTACTCACAGTTCAAACGGTGTATAATGTGACTTACATTAGTATTACATGTACTTTTTTAGGAGTAAAGCTACTACCTCATTTCAAATGATCACTTGGGCCTACTACACTACTGTATTTTAATTTTGGTTATAATCGTGGTAATAGGAGTTTCAGTGTTTTTTAGGTGGTACTAGATGTAAAGGGTTTAAAAGCCAGTACTCTAGACTAACACACTTATTGAAACCTAACAATGGGAAACATATTATTGTTATTATTTCTAACTCTGGCACACCTAAAAGTAATTGTGGATGAGCCATTATGCCTAACGTGCAAGTTCTTCAAATTTTAAAATTAACTTGCAGTAAAACATACTGTAAATGAATTAAATCACGGTTCACATTGTTGTGACTTTTGGCTGTAAATATTCTCACTCGTCGCACGCCAAACACTATATATATATATATATATATATATATATATATATATATATATATAAAACGTATTACACAAAAAGTAAAAAATGATTGTGATGTCACAATGGTCTGAGAAGACTACCACAGCAGAGTGGTAGTTGCTGTTGCTGCTCCTTTGCTGTTCCTAAAACTTGAGTTTTGGTAATGTGACATAGACTTAGGAAGCCTCTTGTACTTTTGGCACAATGTGAAACTATTTTAAAGTCTTGTCAACGAGAATGTCACTGCAGCGCCGAAGAAAACAAAGATAGCATGCGATGATTCTATTTAAAAATCTAATATTGTAGACATGTTTTTCAGCTATTTAAAAAAAAATTTTTTCTTTGATCTTAACTTTTACATGGTTAAGAAATGGTCACAAGGATTGGTAAATGGTGCTACAGGGTGCCAAAAGTTGCGAACCACTGTTGCAGTATATGCCCTGGGATACATAGATATGATGAATAAAAGATATCAGACATACCATTAATTTGCGAAACACTTATTATTAGCTAGCAACTGAAAAGTAAACAATGATGTCTGCACAAGTCATTTTGTTGACGTTATCATTTACTTTAACTTGGTGCTGAAATCGAGTTTCCTCAGCACTTCACTTGATTATGTTGGAAACTGGGTTTGCACAGTAAAAATGCAGGATAAGCGTCACTTAAAAAAAAAGTACCAGATAAAATAAAGTTCTGAATTAAATCTAATACATTTGGATGTTTGCCGACACATTCCGGATAGGGTACTTACCACGATCTGTCGCGGTTTAAAGCTAACTATTTCAAAGTGATTGATCAGGCTTATACACCTCACTGATGTCATTGGAACGCTGATAAAGCTTTAGAGTGTCTTAAATCCAATCAGTGAATTTTAATCTCATTGACACAACAGCTCGATATATTATTTTAATCATACAACCCAAAAAGTTAAGGTATTTTTATAAATAGCCCTGGCATGTTGAATTTTTTACTGTTCCATCAGCTGAGTAATGGGCCTGCTCTCTGTCACGACAGACTGGACAGAAAAACGGCAAATTTTAACACCGCGAGCCAACGGTGAAGACATATTTTTATTTTTTGCCTTATCAAAGCCATTCCCGGTATTGCCCTAGCGTTTGGTTGTTCTGTTCTGACGGGGTGATTTCAGCTTTGCTTGCTTCGGCTAGTTCAAAACAGGGACGTTAGCAGTTGAGGCTAAAGGAGCTATCCATCTGAATGCGATGCGGCTAGCCTGTTAGCAAGAAAGCTAACGTCGTTCTTCCGGTCATGACACACGACTGAATTGCCCCGTTTCAGGCAAGACTCACCTCCAACCAGGGTACTATCAGTTTTAATGTTTATTACTTTGTCAGGTTCTGTGGTGGAAATCGCTAAAGGGGCACTATCAATGTTATTTTGAGCGCCAGACTCCACAGACAGCGGAGCACTGACGTTCGGCAGGTCCATTTTTTTAGCCCCGACTGACGCGCAGGCGTGCTGAGGTCGAAGAGCTGGTTGTCGTCAAGACAAAAAGCAATGCAATACCTGCAGCCGATTGAGTAAGATAGTTCCCAATAAGATGTAGGCATGATGGCTAACCATCCCTAATCGTAATCGTAAAAAAGTCTAATAATAATAATATTAATACTACTACTAATAATAATCATCATCAGTTAATCGGGGGTTACCATTGCTCAGGCTCATGGCAACTTTCGGCCAAATGCATTTCTGAAGAGACACTACGTGGTAGGAAAAGATGTTCTGGCACGACCCAATCATTTCTTCCTCAAAACCTACCTGGGACATGTTTGTTGTCATGGAGGTGTTCAGACAAAAGATGGAAATAAGCGAATCAAGGGGATATCAAAATTATTTATCAAAAAAGGGCAAATCAAGGTACGTTTTAGCAGGCTCATATATACAAATAAAACATTCATCACGACAGCCCTTCTGTTATTGCTGCCCAAAGCTTAACCATTTATTAAATACAAAGGTTGACATAATTTTTTTCACCCTATGTTATGATTTGTACATGTTGTGTAAAAAAAAACATGTCATTTTGTTTAATTGCTGTTACTTAAATGAGGCTCATATCACATTTTATGACCAATGAATGCAGAAATCGAGGTTAAATAAGCGTTCACACAGCGTTTCTTCAAACTGTACATGAAGTGCAAATTAACCAATCACCTTCTGTGACCTTGCAGCGGACGCAAATTGAAGACAACATATAATATCAAAATAAACTCTTTATTTCAAGGCATGTTTTGAACACAGGTTAACTGATCACTGAATGCCAGAAATCTTTCCGCCGAAGCCAACAGCCCACATTGCGTTAAATGAATTCAAAATTATTACGAAGAAGAGTAGAGTCAGGCTGCTCCAAGCTGTCACTTTTTCTTCTGGAGCTCTCTGGTTAACACATCCAACTGTAAAGAGAGCCATTTTTGTGAGTTACAGCACATGAGACCCATAATTAAAAGCATTGATGCCTTGATTCATTTTTCCATTTCTTAAAATGAAATTCTTTGCATTGAATCCAGTGAACTGACCGTTTCCACTTACAATAATGCCCTTTAGAATACCCCTCCGGGGTGGTCTCAAATAACTGCAATCCGCCCTCTCGCATAGTTTGATCTCCTCTGAAATCTGAAAATTAGATGTTAGGTTGATATATACAAAATAGGTCCATCACACGCACTCACAAAAATTTTGTGGGTACACGCAACCACTGTGCCTAACCTCTGATGTGCCAAAAGAGTCCAGGTCCCTTTTGCCTCCAGGATACCAACCATGGGACCAGTGCTGGGCGTTGGACAGCTGAGCTTCAATACAGAGAAGCAGTCCAAGCAGTAAAACCAGCCGAGATACACTCATGATAGCTTTTATTTACCTAGGAGCAAAGATGGATAGGAGTCACGTTGGTTGAATGGAAAATGCCAATAATACTGGTATTAATTCATACTGTGGGAATGGAGCTTCAGCAGTGTTGGGAAGACTGACAATATATATTTTTTGCAGATTTGATGCAAAGTAAGACCATCAGAGGACAATGAACTGAAACATAAGTCTGATGGAATGCCACACGCCCCATTAAAAGACAGAAGAACCCAATAATTTATGCCATGATAATGGTGAAGAAAAATAATGACAATCATTGAGAAAGGTATGATTCACTACAAAATATATTGAAAGAAATTATATAAATTATTTCATACAATGCTGACATATTGAACTTTCTCTTCTCCAGGGCCAATTTCGAGATGAGTGACAGAAATCCGATCATTGTGACAACAAGTCACGGAATTGCAAAAACGTATTGAGATTGATCTGATGAAAGAATGCCGCTTACACGCTTTGCTCTCGTAACATGAGGATCAGACGTAATTTCTTTCTTTGGAATGCCAACTGTGACAGCCGTTTCCTTCTGAGGGCACTCTCATTTCCAAAAAGTTTTTATTATGATGTCGGACCAAATAGCATCATTGCCCAAGTCTTTTGAACACACTGCCACAATACCAATAAATAAATAAATAAAATACAAATGCGCTCCCCCAAATCTCAGTTTTTCTTAATTCACAAAGGTTTGAAATCAGCAGCTGGACTCATCTTGTTAAATTTTTTTTTTCTGAAAACATTGACACATGGGCAACTATGCTGTATAAGGCTATCAATTTGCTTGCTTCTAGATATGTTACATTACGTTCTCACAATAAAATAGATCGATGAATAAAATATTGTGAAAATATCACAGCCTTACCTTCTAAATCTGCTTGTCTTAACTCTGACTTGATCTTGCCTGAAGGCGCCTCCAAAGGTGTCGGACCCAACTTTCTGTTACTCAGTAATTTCACAGAGCTTTTCTTGAACAGATGCTTTTCACATACTATATATATACGTAGCCTATATCCCATCACCCACCACCACATTAATGTTCGTCCCACCCTTATTGACACCATTGCTCCTTTCCTCCCAAGCGGAGAAATTAACATCTATGTGGGGGGCACAAGGTGAAGCGGACCTGGATAATTCCAATTATCATCTGCAAACAGCAGTGACACCCACCGGGGCTGAGGTGTTTACGTATGAATCACCCCTCTACAAGAAAAAAAAAATCTTGGAACAATTACTATGAAAACGGTGCTTTTAAGATGTACTTTTTTTTGAACGTCATTTCAAATGGCCCTTTTCCTAGCTAAATTAGCACCATTCCAAACACAAATGTGCCCACATCTATTTTCGATCAGACCTAAAGATTTTCAAGCATACTCTGAAGCAATCCCTCTCTTTTGGATTTGATCTTGATGACTCAAGCCTTGAACCTTACTTCTGCCAGGCCAATATCGGAAGGCGGAACGGCAGAGGAACAAACATGGTCGACTGCTAGCCAGGCCACAGACAATTTCCCTTTTCAATTAGATTTCCTGTACAAATGTGGAAATGAAATGATGGTGCCAGGTGTCAAAGTCAAAAGTCACCCACTCCGCCGATAGGATTTGTTACGCTGCAGTTTGATTTCAGATTTAATTTTCTTAACTTGAGCTTTTTATTGGTAGGAGTTGTGCCACTTACTACTCTAAAAAGAGTCAATGCATATTGCATTTAAGTCATTGCTTGTAAGTCTTATCGTGTAACGGCGTCCTTTGCGATGTATTTTCACACAACTTTGAACAAAAAAAGTTAAAGTCCACAATTGTTCATAACTTGGGGCAAATAGGGCAAAGTTATATTTGCTGAACCGGGTTCAGGAAATGACACAGCCTTTAAGGAAATTAAAAAGTATGCAATAATTTTATCATAATATTTTTAAAATATTCTCTACTTGGAATAATTTTTATGCTGACAATTTAGAACACTATGCCTGTATTGAGAAAGAAAAAATATTTTTAAATGGGACTTCTTAGGAATACAAATAAATAATGGAGTAGTGTAAAAAAGCACAAATATATCTGATGGGAGCTTGAAGGATTAAACATCAGTTGAAGACCCTTCAAGACCACACAAGAGGACTGTGTGATCTATAATTTTGTCATTTTATGTTAACTTTTCTTTTGATGGCAGCGCGGGCACCCGCAGCGGCTCCTCTTGTTGTATGTTGTCTTGAGAGGGAATGGGAAATTTCATCTGTGCTGGATACATTTGACAATAAAGTTGTACTTGATACTTGATAGCGGACAAGAATGAGTGACAATTATTTTGGGCCCACCATGCCGCCGGTCCTCATTGCGTTGTAAGCTTTGACTGAGCATCAGGTTGCTGTTCTTGACTTCAAATAAGCATCGTAGATACAGACTGAGAAGGAAAAAAAAATCTCAAGCACTTTATTAGTTTGGAACAGTATCTTGCTTAGAAAGGCCATCTGGCATTATATAATTATATATCTTTTTTTCCCCGTATATATAATTATATACACATATATTCAAATGTTGAATAACAAAACACTAGAAACCAACATGGGCAAAATAAAAAGTTGGATTACTTTAAGACAATGATACCAATTAAAAATTGCAAACAAAACATCCAATACATTTCAAAATGGTCCCATTACAATTCAATATAAAGCTTTTTTTTTCAGAAAAAAGCAAGGTGGGGGGCGGGGGGAATAAAATAAAGGCAGCAGACAGGAATGAAATATAAATAACCTTACATTATGTACAAAGTCGGGAAATCATTCAACCCGGAACAACAGTTCGTTGATGGTCCAAGGTAAACGTCAGCGAGGAAAAGGGACGAGTGAGTGCACTTGGAGACATCAAGGCGACATTTAGGTGGAGAGAAGACGAAGGATTTTTTGCAACCATAAAATGGTTTCCCTCGGTGCTGTTGTAGCCGCTGCGCACGGGGAGGGGGGCAAACGAATGACTTATTTTGCAAATGTTGGGTCATTTCCCGATATATGGCAAACACTTTCCACTTCAATCAGCAAGTGACACGTTAGCACGTCTATGAAAATTGATGGCGCGTCAATGAAAAGACGACTTTATTTTGCTTTGGTTCCATCTTTCTCAAAAGCATCCTCCGCATTTCGCGTCTGTGACTAGAAAACAAACCATTTTAGACCTCACCGCATATCGGTAGTAATATTTTTTGGGGGGGAAATTAATATGAGGCACTTTTGTTGAAGCAAAACGGTGGTTTTCATGAGTTGGCACAGTGTCATGTGAAGAAGTGTCATGATTTAAACACAAATGACCATGACGATGAAGCGTAAACTGACAATCAGATACGTGTCCAATTCTTGTACAAAAGTGTCAAATGGAAAGAAAGAAATGTCACGAACAGATTATGTGCAAATAGCACAATGCACAAATATTAATTTCAGTGGCTGGTCATACATTTGCTACTTGAAATCCCTACAGAGGATGAATAGAAGGCTTGCAGACTAAAAAAAAGGTATTTGAATTCCCACAGTTTTCATCATCATGTGGGTCTTTATTTCGTTGTTTTTTTTTTCTTCTGGTGCAAATAGTGCATGAGACAATCGACATCTACAACTGCTTCCTGGCTCACCACGGAAATTGCTGAATGTACTTGTCATTATTTGGTACACTGCAAACAAGGGTCACATCAGTGTGGTGCAAATTATGTTCACGTGTGAATCTCTTCTAAGATTGGGTCATCATTCAAACATCTAAATAGCTTGATAAACGCCGAGAAAGATTTTGACATTATGTTTTCAATGCCGTCTGTGTGTTATAATGACACAAAAACTATTGAAGTGATTTCTGTGACAAAAAAAAAGTGAAGAGAGGAGCAGTCCGTACAATTTTAGTATGAGCCGGGAATTTCTTGAGTTCTAACATTGGTATTTTCTCCACATTTTCTGCAATTGCCCGGTGGAAAAAAAATAGAAAATGACTCATAATGTGGCAGGTGCTGATCCAAACTGGCTTGCAAGACAAAAATGTGGATATTGTCTTTTTTTGTTTTGGTTTTGGTTTTCCAGTGTGTGTGTGTAAGGATGAGCTTAATTTCCTGTGTTTGCTCCAGCAAAGATTATGGTTGCCTTGAACGCCCCCCTGCCTTCACCCTCTTAACTGACATCATTCATTTTCATCACAATCATCAAGAGGGGGATAACCTCATCTGTAATGGTAGTGAGAGTTCAAGTGTGTGTCATGGAGAACAGCCACTAAAACCACACCGAAATGTGTAAACACAGCATGGCACACAAAATTAAAAAAAAAAAAATGAAGAAAAAACCCATTTTTGTTCAAAACAGCATTCAAATAAAAAGCGACATTCTTCAACATCGGTGCTCACGGTGGGAATGAATGGACATTCTTTTTACTCGCGATAGTACAGCGTTGGGATGTCTGGCAGAGATCAAAAAAGGCTCAAAGGAAAAGCAAGAAAGGCTCAACACGACTTGAGGAAATACTGCTGCTTGCGTGCGCCGCTTTTATCTGACATGCGTGGGCAAAAGAATTGGGACAGCTGACCATACAGAAATGAAAAAAAAAAAAAAAAAAAGGGAAGAAAATACTCTACAGAGTTGGGCTCCCTTTTACAGGCAAAAACAATTGACACTCTCCTGGAAAGACTGAGGCAGATCCATTTATTCTCAAAATGTTTTGATGGTTTGAGGTCAGGGTTCCGTGCAAATTCTTCCAAACATGATCCTGCAAATGTTGGTGAAGGAGTAGACTGAATAAATTAATATTTTGTGGGGGTGTGGGTGTTTTGCCATAAATTGTCATAGTTCAGCAGAGGTCTTTAAGATTTTTTTTTCCTCAAGTGCCTTAACATGGTTGGACCCTTTCGCTGCAGAAGCAAGTGACAGACAACCTTTGGCTGTCTGCACACAGAAGACTCCGTGACCCCTGCACCATTATGCATTATAAATGCAAACAATTACTCCAAAAATTGCACCAGGCTGCCGATGCCAATATGCATTTGACTTGAAATTGATCTTAACTAATCCTGTGAGAACAAATTGATCCGCCTGTGTCATATATCAAAGTCTCAGAGTTCAGCTTTAAGCCTTTGTCACGGCACGATACTACAGCGTGGCTCTGGCAAATCAGAAGCGTTTACATTTTTTCAGTCCTTAACGAGTTAAAAAAAAAAAATCTCCAAAGCATTAGTTTTATATTTAGATAGATTTTTTTTTAATATATATAGCAATAAAATACTTTACAGGTGCCACCCAAAAATGCAGCCAAACTTAAAACTATGTCCAAAAGTAGAAGTTAAACGATGCAACACAGTAAATATGTGTATGTAAGCAATTTAGGGCCTGTGTCAACAAAATGTTACAAAATACTCAAGAAGGCATGTCCTTTCCTCTCTGTCCAAATTGCACTGCCCTCCCATCCAGACTGAAATCTTGGTTCCCTTTTCCAGCAGGCAGTTTGTCCCATCCACAGAACCAAACAATAAGTGATGTGTCACCGAAAAGGAAAACAATCCTGCGGCCGGAGGTATGCGGCTTTCTGCACAGTCATGTTTCGTGTGTGTTCTGGGGCATGCACGTGGGTGGTGTTAGTATGATGTGGAGCCATCCATCCAATGGTGGGTCTCTATTTGAAATTGGCATAGTCAGAAAAGGCATCAATATACTCCTGGACGACTTTGTAGCAGAACTCGTACTGCTCCTGGAAAGCGGGGTGGAAAATATCACATCATCAGTCTCAGCGATGGCAAATTCTTTTTTCTGTTCTGCATCATTAATGAGTCAATGATATTATCATTGATCAAGAATTGAGCCCCCACACCCCTCATGGTTTCCTATCAATGCCTCAAAATGGGAGCAAAGCACGACTTCTATTGGAATGAAACTCAACACTTGAACAAAGTTCTTTGACACCAAGACGCCACAAGATGGTGGCAAAGGAAAGTTTACAGCATGGCCTGAGCACACAAAAAAAAGCTAATCGGTCAGGTTGTTTTTCTGACTCATCACCATAATAGCAAGTAAAATATATACAAACATACATGATATGAAAATGCATCCTCAAGGCAGATGGACTATCACTTGATTAGAATAAATGGTACAATAAAAGCAATGTAAAAAGACGACAAAAAGATGCAGACACGGTGTGGGTTAAATTGTATTTTGTGTCTGGTAAATATAATAATAATAATAATAATAAAGCAATATAATGCCTGCTCACCAGTGTCTGCACCATGTGGGGTCTCTGCAATCTGAGGCTCTTGACTGTTTGGAAAACATCCAGAATGCCTTCTGCCTTCACCCTCTCCAGGACCGTGCTCAATGCACAGAATGTCCCTGTCCGGCCCGCACCAGCACTGTACACATAACGGGAAACGGAAGCATGTTCACGTACAATGAAAGCATGCATGAAGAGCATTTCAATGTCAAGTATTTCTTAGGAGAAGAAACGACTGCACGGTGTGAGTGTCTCTCGGGCTTTCCCACAATATGCTGACTTTGGACTGGTTGGTGTATCAACAAGGACCCCAACAGTCACTGTGTAGTTTTGTTGTAAAATGGGAGGTGGTTCTGGCGCCATGAGTGGCGATTCAAAGTACTGTGAAACGATAACTAATGCATATCCAAACACAGTGGAACTCCACATTCACAGGAGACAGGCACCATGGCTGACTGTGAAAAACTAACTTCTGCGACTAACTCTGGTTAAGTGGACTGCCTACTAGAATGATGCTTTTTTTTTTTTTTGGCGTGGTTAAGGCAGACCATAACTGTTTTCGTCTGGTTTAAGGAGATGGTATGATTCAATAAACACCAGACAGTATATGCTGTCGATGTCATTTTACCACAAAAAAAACAAAAAACTAAAAAAATCCATTTCGTGACATGTTACAGAAAACCGTGAAT